TCTTGCTTACTTTGCAGAACTCTAGCAATCTGTTTAGCATGTGATCTGATTTACCATCTTTGCTTTTATTTTGTATTTGACTCTTTAGCAATAAGAGAAAAAGAAAAGAAAGTATTTTTGATTCTCCACTTTAGCACATCTGTCTCCATTATCTTACACCAAAAAGAGAGTAAACATTTAAGTTGGTTGCGTATGAACTTCGGCATATTTCGAAGATAAAATGAATAGATAGTCTTACCCCAACTAGTTTTACATTCTTTTGGGATACTACCTTTGGTTGCTATGTCCTGGAATGGTGATTCTTAATTCAAAATAATTTTTGAACAGGCTGTATATGATGGAGTGGATATACTGAGCCTTTCAGTGGGACCAAACAGTCCTCCAGCTACCACCAAGACCACTTATTTGAATCCTTTTGATGCCACACTTCTTTCAGCTGTGAAAGCAGGTGTATTTGTTGCACAGGCAGCTGGAAATGGAGGACCTTTTCCAAAAACTTTGGTTTCCTATAGCCCTTGGATAGCATCTGTTGCTGCTGCCATCGATGATCGCAGATATAAAAACCATCTGATGCTTGGAAATGGAAAAATATTAGCTGGAATTGGGTTGTCACGTAAGTATCTATTTTGAGAGCAAGCGTTTGTATTCAGTAACCTTTTGTTCAATAGCATTTTCGTTACTTGCCCCTTCTCTACATTTCTGCATTTCGCAAGCTGACGTACTTCCTCCCGTGTTCCCCCTTTTGCAGCATCAACACATCCAAATCGAACGTACACATTGGTTGCTGCAAATGATGCTCTTCTTGATTCTTCAGTAGTGAAATATAGTCCCTCAGATTGCCAGAAACCAGAAGTTTTAAACAAGAACTTGGTTCAGGGGAATATTCTTCTTTGTGGCTATTCATTCAATTTTGTTGTTGGTACTGCATCAATCAAGAAAGTGTCAGAAACAGCCAAAAGTCTTGGTGCAATCGGCTTTGTTCTTGCTGTGGAAAATGTTTCCCCAGGAACAAAATTTGATCCTGTTCCTGTTGGCGTTCCTGGGATTCTAATCACTGACGTTAGCAAGTCATTGGTAATTATTTCAACTTTTCTCCTTACTGATGTGGTTCCCTTTTTTCTCTTTTTGAAACAAAATTCTAAAGATTTGAGTTGTCTCATAATCAAGTCATGAGTCTGGAACATTCTCCAAGTGTTTCGCGAAATTTGATTAGAGGACTACATTTGCTATAGCCAAATTCTGTCATAGGCTTGTCATATTTGAAAAGTGGACAGGACCAGGAACAAATTTATACAGGGAGAAAGGAAAATATATAATATAGTCAGGCAAATTTATTTTTGTCATGTCTTAGTAGCATAGGAGCTTGATCCTAATAACTGTTGCTTTACTTATTACCTGTTACAGTTCATGTGAACTACTGTTTAACTCTTGGCTCCTTTCTCGTCTTATGTATGTTCTAACTTTTCCCCTTTCATGCAATGATGTGCGTCATTGGTGCTTGGTGCTCTGGCTTTCCGTTATTCAGGATCTTATAGATTATTACAACATTTCTACATCAAGGGATTGGACTGGTCGTGTGAAGAGCTTCAAAGGTATAGGTAGCATTGGGGATGGTTTGATGCCTATACTCCACAAATCAGCACCACTGGTGGCACTATTCTCTGCTCGAGGACCCAACATCAGAGATTTCAGCTTCCAAGATGCAGACCTTCTCAAACCAGATATTCTAGCCCCCGGTTCTCTGATTTGGGCTGCTTGGTCTCCAAATGGAACCGATGAGCCTGATTACGTTGGTAAGAATTGAATCAAAGCGTTTAAATGTTCTCTCCCCAGATTTTGATGTTTCAAGCTTTCCCCATACAACACAGTCTATCAAACTTCAGTGCCGTAGTGCAGTTATTATGTGGTTTGGACATAAATGTTAAAAATAGGTTTTTGAGGTATCAAAATTTTGGTAAGATAACGCTCGTTTTGCTAAGAAAATAAGGTGAAGTATTCAGAATTTTTTGTCAGTAATTGCTTTTCCTTGTCTTTCTCAGCTGTCAAATTAAACCCAAGGCAATAACAATTGTACCTCTAGAGATTCAATTTGGCATATTAACGGATTATTTGCTATGACAGGGGAGGGATTTGCTATGATTTCTGGAACAAGTATGGCTGCACCACATATAGCAGGAATAGCTGCTCTTATAAAGCAAAAGCACCCTCATTGGAGCCCTGCTGCCATCAAATCAGCCTTGATGACTACATCAACAACTCTGGACAGGGCTGGAAGACCTCTTCAAGCACAACAATATTCCGAAACACAAGCCATGAAGCTGGTCAGTGCCAACCCTTTTGATTATGGGAGTGGCCATGTTGATCCAAGAGCTGCCCTGGATCCTGGACTAATCTTTGACGTGGGTATGTATTTTTCTACCTCTTTATAAATGATTTTACGCTACTGGACTTGAAGTAAATCCCCATGTAACTTTGGAAATATGGATTGTCCAAACCAGGGAAGAAAATTGGGGGTGGGGACGGGGGGGATTAGGAAGCATTAGGAAATCAATATTATAACATACATTTCCCATAAATGTTAAAGAAAAATTTGTAGGTTGCCTTCCAGAGCACTGCAGATATTTCCTCCTGGGATGAAACAGATTATTCTGTTGAATTATATTTGGCCTGTTATCTGATGAAATCTCAATCCAATTTTTATTGGATTTTAGGTTATCAGGATTACTTGGGTTTCTTGTGTACAACACCTGGTATTGATGCTCGTGAAATAAGGAACTACACAAACTGCGCCTGCAATTACACCATTGGCCACCCATCAAATTTCAACTCTCCTTCAATCACAGTATCTCATCTAGTGAGAAGTCAAACAGTTACACGCACAGTCACAAATGTTGCTGAACAAGAAACTTATGTGATCACAACAAGAATGGCTCCAGCCATTGCCATTGAAGCCAACCCTCCGGCAATGACTCTGAAACCCGGTGCATCACGAAAGTTCTCGGTGACTCTCACAGTTCGGTCTGTGACCGGAGCCTACAGTTTTGGAGAGGTGCTAATGAAAGGTAACCGGGGCCACAAGGTGAGGATCCCGGTGGTTGCCATGGGTTACCAACGATAATTTGGGTTGGTTAAATTAAAAATTTTAACTGTCGTGGTTGTAATATTCTTTGTAATCTGTGGGAATAAGGTGTGAGGCTAGATGTATGTGCCTGAAATATATATATATGTATGTGGAATAGCTGTAAAGAGAACTGGTATGAGGGGTGACTCTTAGTTTCTTCCACTTATAAGTTTTGCTAATTTGATTTGGTACAAGTTTTGTTCCTTGATTTTTGAACATCACTTTAATGCATCATCTCAATTGGTCAACTACTCTGCATCAGACTCCAATATAATTGAGCCTTGCAACCATTTTTTTTAGTACAAGTGATTGGGAAGGGGTCTTACGCAAATATTTATTGGGTGTTTGGAGTTTCAAACCTCTGCCCACATAGGTGGGAGGGGGAAGAGCTAAACCATTGGGGTATATTCCACTGTCATGTTTTAAATTTGAAGAGAACATATTTGGTCAGTTTAGTCATTTTTAAAATTAAAAAAGAAAAAAAGGGAAATGGTTGTGACATTTAGCCTTGTAAGAACTGAATAAATGCAAATGTTATTCCCATGATCTTGAAAAGTCTAGTTGAATGCATGAAGGATATGGGATGAAATATATAGTCATTCTATGGTAAAGGGCCTATGGTAAATATTGGAGTGTAAATCCATCAGCGTTGATTGAGAAGAGGGCTTTGGCAACCCAACAGATCATTAACTTTGAACAACCCAACGGGAAAGGTCAACTTAGCATTATTACAAAAACAAAAAAAATTACAATGCAATCCTGATACGGGCTTAGTCAAGTTAGTTAAAATGGATATGCTCCCCGCTCTTTATTCGAGCTGGAGTCCCTTTTCCTATAGTTTATATTAAATTAAAGTAGAATATCACTTGTATACAAAATAAAAAATAAAAAAGATTACAACTATGAAATTAAATATGTATTAAAGTCGTGCCATGCACTCCAATATTTACTGCTACACTTCATCCTAAACCCCAAATGGAATTGTTCATGTAGTCAACGAACTTTCTATGTTGTAGGAGTGTTATTTTTCCGTTGTTTTGGTTGGAAGGAGTCTTATTTTTCTTGCTAGAATCAATCAGTATAATCAGTGGACATAAAAGAAAAAAAGGGTAACTCTTGGAAGGATAGGAATCTCGATCTGAGTTGGCAATATGGTTAGTTGTTAACTATCAGTTAGGCTATGGTTAGTCAAGAGTTGGTTAGGTTAACTCTATATTAACTGAGAGAGTCTATATTGAGGAGTTTAGTTGAGAAATATTGTATTCTGTTCTTGTAAAAGAAATAATAGCACTCTACTGTTCTTGAGATATTGAGTCAAGTAGAAGGCAGGTTTTATCGATACTTACGTGATGAGTTTCAAGTGAATAATAAATGCAATGGGTTAGTTTTTTAACACATGACACAATTCTGAAGGGAGATGAGGCCACACCAAAGTTTAAGTGAGCAAAAACGCTACATCACTATCATTCCAAAAGTACAATAAACAAAAGCAAATAATTGTGATTCACGGGGAGTGCTTAAGTCGTAACCAGTTAACAAGATAATATGACATGACCCATTCGTTTCAGTCTATTTGGTAATGTGATATTATAATCCGAAATGAGCATTTTTAAGTCATCATTCAAGGATCACAATATCAATTTTAGTCATTTAATTGAGATCAAATAAATAGATGGATGTTCTTTTTGGTAAACAATAAAATTAATCATATGTTAAGGTCCGGTTTGGTTTGTTTTTTTTATGCTTCACTTTAAAGTTAAGCAATTTAAAGTGTTTGGTAAAAATAAAATATCATGATTATTTTAAAAGCAATCCCCTTTTAAAAGCAGCCTCTAGATTGCTTTTCAAAGCTGCTTTCAAAAGAAGCATAGATGAGCCTTCAATGAATTTTTTCAATTCCTATAATGACATCGTTTACCACCACCACTATCACCAGCTCCACCTTCATCACCATCACCACTTCCACCCAACCACCTCCTTCTTCACCACCACCTTCACCTCCTACACCTCCACCCCCACCTCCTTCACCACCTCCTCCTTCATCTCCACATTCACCTTCATCACCACAACCACCACATGATTAGCATATAACACTTTCAAGATTATGTCTACTTTAGTCATTGTTCACAGTTAGAACAGCTTTGTATTAAAATTTATCTAACGGTTTGGACACTATTTTTTATACTAACAACACTTTAAAAATAAGGAGTTGATTTTCCAACTCCTCTTTTGTCTACTTACACTCTTTTTGTTGTTATAGTAAAAAGTTTTTTAAAAAAAGAGTGTAAATGGACAAAATGAAAGTGGAAAATCACCACTCTAAAAATATTGTTTATCTAACATAGAACTGTTTTACTTTACTTTACTGCTCATTATTTTTAAAGCACATTAGAAACTGTTTTTTATTTTTATTTTAAAGTAACAGTAATCCCGAATTGACTAAAGTTGTGTTAACTTAACTGGTTGGTGCTTCACTGCTTATGCATAGGATACTCGATTGGGCGATGAAAATCTTTTGTCTTTTGGCACCATGTTGACCTCACCTTCTCCTTTAAGAAACTCCCACCAATTAAGGGATAACCTTCTTGTCATAAGTCGCATCCCACCAAATAAGGAGTAGCTAGCCATGCCCCTTCCTATGCCTTTTCAAGGCCCAAGACCCTAAATTAAGGGGAGTCATGCAAATATCTCAGCCATTAAAAAAACCTTGTCTACTCCAACTTGAACTATAAAAGGGAGCTCACCACCTCCAAGCAAAAGGATCGGCTGCTACTTTTTCATTTCTCCAAGAGCTATCCAAAGTTCTCCCAAGCTATCTATTACTCTTCTACTAGAGCTCTCAAGCCTTTCCCCCTATTTTCCCTCATGTACAATGTAACCTCTTCAAATACAAATACAAAGCTATAAATAATAGTGGATGTATCCCCATTATGGGTGAACCACTCAAACACTGGTGTTATGTGTGATTATGTCTTAATCCGTTAGGTACAAATTCACCCGTTAACAGTCTTAATTAACAATTCACAACCTTTGGTTACGTGAGAGAGAGTCTTTGGTTTCATATATCCTCACACAATAATCCTTCTTTATGCTTGGTCTTAAAATTTTAATCCCTCAAGAAACCATGGGATTTGCTAGTGAGCTTTCCTGGAGTTAGCTGCCAGGAAAGCAGCTTCTCTCTCCTTTGTGTTCGGCTGTTTTGATGCTACAGATGTTATATCTCTCTGCTATCATTCAGTTCACCTGTGTTACATATTCTCAAATTTGAATTGGATTACCAACTCCTAGAATATGAGGAATGGGACGATCTGGGAAAGATTATTAGACACAGAAAATACATAACTAAAAGAGGAACTCATCATAAACCCAAACACAAACGAAAACCAGAGCAAAGCATTCTGCACTATGAAAATCACACAACCAATATGGTGGTTATAATAAAACCATACGGACACAAGCACAACCATGAAGCTAAATTATAAAAGCGACACTTTATTACATTTTCGATGAAAAAGAAAATGTCATGTTTTGGGTGGTGGGATCATGAGATAGGTGAAGCAAAAGAGATATAAATCAAAACTAAGAATGGCTTTTGGCTATTTGTTCAGCTGGTGGGTGGTGAGATCTTGAGATGAGAGAGAGAAAGAGATGTTGAGTTCTGTTGAGACGATAAAGAAGAAGAGTCTTGAACCACCAATAAAGGGATATTTCGTTTATTATTACTATTTTTTAATGGGAACTAACGTTGTTAGCAGACTGTTATATTAAGGAACGTCTGTCAAATGTTAAGAAGGGGACAGGGAATTGGGGACAATGGATCTCATCTCATCTCATCCATGTTAGGGGTGGGCACAACTTCGGGTTAACCTGATTATAGCGAGTTGAGTTAGCCTAAAAATAATGAGCGGGTCTTTGGTTTAAAATATCATAAACCGTTATGTGCGGGTTGAAATCAAAACTTAAAAGTAGACTTAATTTTGAATTAATCCAACCGAACCATCCAATCTGATCACAAAAAGTTTGGGTTGGCCCAATAATAAGCAAGTCTTGGATTCAAGAAATTGTAAACCGCTATATATCGAGTTAGGTTACGTGTTGAAATTAAAACCGACACAACTCAACCCATGCCCATGTTATAAGGTTTAGCGACGTGGGAGAATCTAAGAGGCTTTCCAAAGCTAAGTGGGCCCACTAGCCAACTAGGCTATAAGTTCATGTAATTTGTCGGGTCTTATTTTATGTTATTTGAGAAATTCTAATAAAATCGGTTATAAGTTCATGTAACGATCAAATATCCAAATTAAAATATATCAATTAGTTTATATATATATTTCTCTAGAATTCTGCTGTTTATTATCACTCGGGGTGTGATTTGGCACTGCGTAACGACACCAGCTGGGTATTGGTGCGTTGATCAAATCAATGGGGGAGCCATCACTTTTTGATAAAATGATCAACCATCTCCGTGCAACTTCCAAGTATGAGCATTAGTATTCTCTACTTTTTCACTTCTGTCTACAATTTGTTGTCGGTCTGAGTCATGCGTGCAAGGTGTTCGACAAAATGCCTCAAAGAGGCCGAGGCTCAGGCTCAGGCCGGGCAGGGAGCCAAGGGCAACTAGGAAAAGTTGTTTTCTTTTTATAGAATCTTCAATCTCAATTGAGATAATGTCTGCATTTCTTACTGTCTTTCCTATATTCAATTACTACCATTTGGTGGTGATGAATTGTATCCAAATTCTCTGTTGTTCCTTGGACAGTTCTTTTCTTCCTTTTAAAGTTTAAATTCAAGCATGTGGTAATATATTGAAACCTTTGGTGTAGATGGTAGTATCTTTATAAAATTTCCCGAACTAAGTTAAATTACTATATCCATATGAAATTTTGATTGATGCAGTAGGGTTTAGGCAGTTCTTGATTGTGGGTTTTCCCTAGGAAGCCTCTTGTCTAATCCACTTGACTTTGTTACGTTTGTACCACTCCAGTCTCCTTATGTTTATTGTCTGTGATATAAGGTATTATACTGGTTATCCAAAGGATCTTGGGCCATCAAGGATCATCCATTTTACATCAGAACGTGAGTTTGTGCAGCTCCTTCACGAAGGCTATCCCGTGGTTGTTGCATTCACCCTCAGGTCATCTAGAGTTGGTCTCCACCATTTTTTATTTTACATTTTATTCCTTTACTCTTCAATTGAAAGTCTAAATGCTCGCTTTGGATAATGCAGGTGTAATCTCACAAAGCATCTTGATAGCGTATTGGAGGAAGCCGCAGCCGAGTTTCATCCGCATGTAAAATTTATGCGTGTAAGTTATGTTTAAATGATGTCTTAACAAGCATTAGTTACGTTTTAGAAAATAAATACTACTGTCAATTTCTAATAATATATCTTTTTGCTTAAAATTATGAATGTTAAAATATGTTGATGCACACTAGTATGATCCTTCTGCAAGCATATATTAAGCAACATATATGTGAATTAAAAGCCATGTCTTGACCCTTGGCACTATAGCCCATTTGCGTTATTGGCATTCTTCCTAAACAGGGAGGTCTTGTGTTTAAAGTAGAGAGCTAGCCCCTGTTGGTGTAGCTCAGCCACCCTTAAAAGAGTAATGTCAATGATGAATGCATGATTTCCTGATTTCCTGATTTTTGAGCCAACTTTCACATAATTTTATGTTCATCTTCCCTTAGAACCCCCTAATATTCTATGATATAAATTTTTTTTCATGCTCTGGCATATTTCAGGTTGAATGCCCAAAATATCCTGGATTCTGTATTACGAGGCAGAGGAAGGAATATCCATTTATAGAAATATTTCATAGTCCCCAACAAGTAAGACAGGATCTTTTTCGTATTCCAGTCATGTTTTAACTGTAACCTGTGGAGCTTATCATAGTTGAAGTAGTTTGAATTATTTTTTATGCGAACATCTCGCACTTGAAAGAACCTACTACTTCTTAATTTTGCTTGCACTTAGGAACATATTTTATGTATTTTCTTTTCAACTATTGTTGATAATGACTTTTGACTGTCATGCCTAAAGATAGAATCAGTTGTAGTGAGGCTTGGATCCTTTACCTCTCTTACTCCAGTTAAAGCTTTAAAGATTCCTAATCCAGGTGGACAGTGGCTGCTGCTCATATATCATGGTTTATATAGTTTCTGGGAAAGTGTTGCAAAAGAAAAAGAAAAAAAGGAAGATAATGGGAAATAAAACAATATTTAACATTGAACTAGAAGCAAGTTGCCTTAGAAAGAAACAATTCTTGGTGGAATGTAAATGATCAGAGTTGCGTGATGACATTTGGTTTTTCATTGTAGCTTGTTATGGCCAATCTGCTTCATCATGTTACCATTTTTAGGCTGAATTTGTGCCTAGCAGGAAGTTTAGTGAAAGTAGTGCTTCGCTTTCCATGACATGCTTTGTAGACAGGCTGATGGTTTTCTTTTGTCCTAGTTGATAACTCCTTGAAATTACGCCCCTTAGGCACTATGCCACTGCTCATCTTTCAGCTTATTGAAAATCTTTCTGGTGCAGACACTTAACCAGGGAAGGGTTGCTGATCCAAATATTACAAAGTACGCTGTGAAAGTTCTACCTGTAAGTTTCCAAGCTTGCTTACAAATTATGATGTTATTATCCTAAGAGGTGGACCTTCACTATCATATTTTGACCTGATTTGATCACTCTGTTATTTAGCGAGGTCCATGAATAGCCATTTTCATTCTTATGTATTCATGCAGATATGATTCAGCATATTTTTTGCCCCTCCTTTATGGAAACTATAGATTCAGTGTCTGAGAATTATAATTTCTCCAAACTAATGTATTGTCTGTTTTGTTGTATCTGCACGTGTCCAGTTCAATTACGACACTAGTGCCTATGGATTTAGAGAATTTTTCAAGCGGCATGGAATACAGGTTTCAAATCCACAGTGAAAATCTTGTGAGGAATGAGTTCCAGTTTGCGATTGAATTAAATTTGGTTTGTTGGAAGATCAGATTATAATTCTATATAATGTAAGAAACCTGGGCCTATTTGTAATGGTTTGACATCTTTGAACAAAGGCTAAAGTTTTTGTTTGTTCTATTATTCAACAAATATGTAATGTCTGTTGGATCTTCTTTGGTTTTGTTGCACTTTTTGTTTACAATTCCATTCCGTTAGGTCTTTATAAAATAGTTCAGTGTTAATAGCATGCTCAGAAAATTAGGTGGATAGTCTGGTTATTTCTAACAAGAAATCTCTAGCCTTAATTCCACCTTTGGAGAGACACCTACTTTTGCTCCTTGAATACATTGTCGTTTGAATTGGTCAAGGCAGTGTGCCCGTCCCCTTTGCACTCGAGGTCTATCCCCTCCCCGTACATTAGAGAAGTGTTTTGAAGGTGCTTGATTGGTGCATCCCATTGACCTCAGTATCAGCTCTCTTGAGCTTCCCTCGTTCTGGGCCTGCCCTTGTAGTTGTTTGCCTTCGGGCTTAATTGAGGTTCATTCAGATTGAAAAAAGGAAACAAATTGAGAAGTCACATTTGCCGTCAGCATTTTTTTTTTTAATAAACTAATCTACAAAAATAAAAAATAATATAAAAAAAATCTCCCCCGAGTAGAATCCAAGAAAAACTCGTTTTTCTTTTGACCGAACCTTAAAGTAGAATTGGATCTATTGTTTTATGTAAGAAGATTGTAGATGTTTTGACCTTAGGCTAAATTCCCCAATTCTTTTATTTAGAGAATGATTTGATAAGCTTGGCTTAAAAAGAATTTTTTTCTAGGGATGCGGATGTGTCGATGCTTCATGTTGTTTGAAGCTCTAGACGTTTCTATTGGCAACGACAAATAATTGCAGGAATTAGAATCTCGTTCTGCAAGAGGCTGGGTTTTTGGTCTTTCTAGGTTTCAAGTGCCACTCCTTTGGTTAGTACTCCAAATTGGATTTCTTTCTTGTTGGTTCGAAGTAACGCTCCTTTTATTTTAGTTTAGAATGAAACAAAAGGTCTATGAAATAGTTTTTTTATTTTTTATTTTTTTTGAGTTACATGGATAAGGGGGAGGGGCCACACACTCTTTGGGATTCGAAGGTGGGTCATGGGGAACACCCAAGGACCCAGCTATGAAAGAGCATTGAAAGTGGTTTAGTTGAGATGTTGATTTTGCAACATGACAACAAATAGAATTAAACAATTTGACGTTGTCCAGATTTCATATGATCGATTCAATATTAGGGGATCGACATTTTGCTAGATTTGGTGGCCTCATACGACGGATTGCATACCTAAAACGACAATTTCTACACAATGTAGTTGGGGACTCTTGAGAGAGAACTCCTTCCCGTCTCCTCTTTCAACAATCAAAAGTTTTTTGTTTTGTTCTTTATACAAGCAATATTGGCGAATGGGTAATCAAACCTAGGACCTTAGATGGAGGGGTAAATGCTCTTAACTTAACGATTTAAGCTACAAGCTCCTTGCTCAAAAATCAAAAGTTTGTTACCCTTTCTTGTATGAGATGAATTCTTTGGATGCAATATATAAAAAGGGTGTAGTGGTAAGGACTTAATCTATGTACAACCATCTGATATGAATAACTCTTTACAATAAGACCATAATTCCACAATAACTTTTTAAGTAGTCATATCGTGCAACACCTCAGGATATACAATTCCCTTCAGTTGAAAGATACCTCAAATAACACTATTTTATCCAAATAATGTCCAAGCCTATACAAATTCACTTAATGAGCTTCAACATATACATGATCATGCCGTATAACCGAGCTATAAAGTTTGACCTCTAGAGGCCTCAAAATTCTAACAAAAACAAAAACGTTGTGAAATGGACAGAATGTGAAAGCACAATGAAATATGAGAGTCAAAGATCCAATTAAATGAAGGGAAAGATTCCTTCACTTCACTTTGCATTCAATAGCCTCCACATTTGGTGTCTTGGGGGCCTGGGCACGGATTGGTTCGGAACGGTAGAAGGCTCTTCTATTAACCAAACAAAAGACTTCAGTAGACCATTTTATCTTCCGTTAGCCAAATTACAGATTTCGGTAGACTTCAGATCGGTTAACCTAATATTCGGTTCGGATTGGTTCGGTACGCCGGTAGTACCGTAATAAAAACATACTAATAAAAATACAATTTATAATACTTTCACATAACATAAGTTCTTGAACAAATACACCAAATTATCCTTGTAAAATATAAAAATCCAATAGTCTAATTCATCCAAGTATGAAATCAAATAACTTACTCACTATATCATTCAATATATACTCAAGATGTATTGCGAGCCACTTGTGTTTGTTGTTTGAACATTTGAGTGTTATTTTTACTGAATTCTCTAAATTTATGTAAATGATTTTGACATTTGTTCTACGTTGGGTTCTTTAGTTTTTCATGCTCTATCCAACCATATAAAGAACATAAAATTTGAATCAACGGTTGGAAAGTTACAGGTAAAAAAAGGGACAAATGTCGAAACTAGAAAACATAGGAAATTCATAAATTCTTCTCTGACCAAAAAGTGCTACAGTACCTGGGTGATAAAGAAGTGATATAATGGTGATAAAGCAGTGATATAATGGTGATAAAGGAGTGATACAAAATGCTTATTGTATTTATCTTTGGGTTCTTGTTTTGCATTTAAATAATAGAATAAGTATAAATATCGGATCGGTACGGGTTTCCGTCGGGTTAGGAATATTGTTTACGTTAACCAAACCAAATATTTCGGTACGGATCGGATTGGAATAATTAAAATTTAAAAATAATTATTTAACCAAACCAAACCGCCAGTACGGTACGGTCGGTACGTGGATAATTCGGATGAGATGCTCACCCCTGGGGCATCCAAATTTACAACAAATAACAGAAAAAGTTGTTCAAAATCTACTCAATTCAAAAGAAACTTTTCTTTTTTTGTTTATGCCAATATGCACGATTCACATTACATTTTAACAGTTTGTCTCATGCTGCAAAAACTTTAGGGCCAGCTCCGACCATTGTTGTTGGAACTTGGAGATCAATTGTTGACTTGTTTGGATGTTCCCTTTGCCTTTTACGGCTGTCAAAGCGATTATTCCAGTGAAAGCAAACTGCGAAAATGGCTTATAATACAAAATAAATAAATAACTTTTTAGAAAGTTCTAGATTTTTGTTTTTTGGTTTTTCTGTTGCCAAAATGAAGAAAGGGAGGGAGTTTACATACACATTGTCAAAAGTGTCATGTGGGGGTTCGAACCTGAGACCACTAGTCTGCAAGTCAATGTCATTTTCCCCTCGTCATCAAACTTTAGTTTTTCATTCTTATTTACTCTAACTTTTAATAATGCGTGTTTGAAAGTGATTGTGCATGTTTGAAAATGGATGAGTTGGTTTTGTTTTCATCAGTGTGGTCCATACTAGCAATTCCTTATGCCCAGGTTTCTACACTAGCAATTCCTTCATATATCATGCCCACACTACTAATTCCTGCCCATTTCCTGTCCATTTCCTGCCCATTTCTATACTATGCCCATGCTATCAAAAGCTTTTGAAGAGGATATATAACATTATGCCCATTTTCTGCCCATTTCAACATATTCAGATCCGTCCATGAAGTCCGGCGTTTGATTTTCGACCCACACTCGTAGAAACAACGGCTGCAATTTGAGTATGTGGAACTCTCCTACATTTACCTTAAGGTGCGATTTGGGATACTTAGCACCTTTACGGTTTCTTCATTTTGGGGATTTCTCTTATTGAAGGATTATCAAACGAAGGAGACTCTTGGAAGTCGAAAGGACTCTTTTACCCCTCATTTTGACGGACAAATTGACAAAGTTGGATGAAATGGCCCAATTAGAACTACTTGTCGAGTTAAAGAATGTAATTCCCATTTCTCCATTTATTTTTTTCTATAACATTTTTTTCTTTTCTTTTCTTCGTCAAGCCAATATAGATTTCAGTCGAACAAATACCTGAAGATAAAGCCTAACACGCTGATGTTCCATATACCAAGCAATGAGCAAGAGTTGATCCTTACAATCAGCAATAACTACTTCTTTTCATTTGGGTCTACCACACATCATGTGATTTGAGATCAATCAAAATGGAAGTAATTTAGTTATTTAATTATCACCACAAATAATTTAGTTATATATATAAAAACCTATTTTTTTTCTTATTTAATTTTTTAATAAGGTGGAAAGAAAGTTGGTAAAATACTAGCTTGTTGTAATATATATTTAATAAGGGTTAATTTGGAAAAGAAAAATTAACTTGTGTGATGATTGATGACGTTGTTTTAAGTACGAGAAAAATGACATATGTCATGAGGAAAATGAAGAAAGTTGCTAGCATTCGTCTTTTATAATATGCCCTAATTGAGCTCGGCACCGTTGATAAGGCCATTACATCATACAACTAGAAGTAGATGGTATTGCTGTAAATAACATGGTCCAATGGGTTATGTACTGTCACTAATTTTATTGCCATTTTTATACGATGATCCCATGATTCCCATTAACCAACCTCCATAAAATAATTACGTGCACCTAACACATTTACAATTTGTACAAGGTAACATGGATAGGTCATTGAACCTGTCACATAGATTTGTTGTGAGCATTATCACAAAATTGATCACGGTTGGATAAGTGTGAGCTATTACATACATCTTAAACATTAAATTCCTGGAACACCATTTAATGTAGTACCAACGCTCACCATCAACTAAGGTTTTTTTATATAAATATATATATATAAAATAAAAAAATAAAAAAATAAAGAGAAAGTAAAATGGATAAATAAATAAAAAATTGTAAATGCCTAGCAAGCCCTTTGGTGTCCCTTTCTTTTTCTTGGTATGTTGTTGTGTTATTTGAACATTATGAGAGGCGCAAAAACAAGAAGCCATGGCTTAATTTGGAACTTTGGTCGCAACAACAAGAGTTTTCATTTCCTTTCATGAACAGTGCGCGCGATGAAAATGAAACAAATGCGTCGGCAGCCGAACAAACAAAGCAGAACACGCTACGCTTTCCGTTTGGATAGCAATCCAATGACCAACGAACAACTATTAACCGTAGTTATTTATTTTCGTTGGCTTCTTTTTTATTTTATTTCCTTCTTCTTCTTCTTTTAATTGGGAAAATAATAACAAATTAATTTTTTTAATTTTAAAAAAAAATCCTAATATTAGGAAAACACAATTTGAGGTTTGTTTTTGTCTACTCATAGTTTCCTGAATTAACATAACAAAAATTATTTATTTAAACAAATCACCATAAACTCCCCTTCTCGTTGTTCAAAACGCCTATAAAAACGCCTTTATTTTTCCCCGTGACAGTCCATCTCAGTTTCCGCCACTTCCTCTATTTCTCTTCATTACATCATCTTTTACAAAACAAAACCAGCACCTCTCTCTCTCTCTCTCTCCACACCATCTCTGCCTCTGCAAAATCTAATATGGTATGTATCTCTCTCTCTCTCTCTCTCTCTCTCCTCTCTCTCTCTCTCTGTTTTTCTCTGTAACACAGTGAGCCAGTGGCTCAAATGGTATTTATTGGTATTTATCTATTTTGGAATGATTTCCTAGTTGGTATTTATATGCATGTATTTCTTGATTGATTTCATATTTCTGGGTGCCCAATTGGGAGAAGTTCTTACAGATCAAATCAAAACCTTCCTCTTACTTATTCTTACTTATTCTAAGTCACAGTATCTACTTCATCATCTTCATCAACCATGGCATTCAAAACAGTTTTCTAAAACTTCAGCTGTTTTCCCACTCAGGATAAGCGGTATTCAGAAGACAAAAACCAGTTTTTGTTTTGTTTGCAGGCTTGCGGCAGCAGCTGCTATTGAATATTTAATTATTATATCTGCTGGGCTGTTTCATTGGATTGGAGCCTCAGCCAGCCTCTAATCCCATTTGTTAATTATTGTTTTGTTTTGTGTGCAAAGGGAAATGGAAATTGCTTTGGAATGGTGGCACGCATGGCATCTTTTTATTTTCTTTCTCTTTCTTTTAATGACCATTTCTTTAAGGCTAAGCTACCTTCTATGCAAACATGAATTAGGCCAGTTGGCACTACAGTGTGTCCGTTTCCTTGTATCCGATTTGACCAAAAAAAGGGAAGAAGAGAAGATAGCTTCTATAACATGCCCTGTTTCTAAATGGAGCAAATGCTAAGTTTCAATTCAATTCTTTTTTTAAAAAAAATTTGATGTGAATTTTTTTTTTCCCTTTTCAAGTAAGCTAATCTTCCTATTAAAGTTCCGGGTAAATTACGAAATAGTATTCCCTATATTTTAATAGAAAAAAAAAACTTACTTCTCAAGCATCTTTGTTGCTAGTTGTTGCAACATGTAGTGGAGTACAGTGTGTACTTTATTTTTTTTTTTTTTTTTTTTTTTTTTTTTTTTTTTTATTTTTCAAAACTTGGTTCCATAAGCAAGCAGCTCATACAAAATAGGTTTTATTTATTTATTTAATAATAAATTTTATAGTGTTCCTTTTGAAGTTGGATTTGCGAGAATAATACCAAATATTGGGGAATGATTCGGTGCGGTGCAGGTCACGACGGATGAGGAGGAGAAGACCGGAGTTATTTTTTTGACGAAGCCATTGTCATTAGATGGGGATTCGGAGGTTGATTATAGAGCTCCTAATCTAATTAAGCGCGTCCTAAGTCTGTTTAAAAATGTACGGCCAGGATCAGATCTCTCTCGCTTTCAGGCAAGTCTAGTGCTTCTTCTTTCATAACTTTTACGTTTTATCATTTCTGTCGTATCCTCAAATTACATTTTACAAACCTCATCTTTGGCAAGGATAGGATTCACTGGACTGGACCACTGCTGTGGTAGGTCCCATCTTTGCCGAAAATTGGAAAAACTATTATACGGTACTGAAATATGATCGTGTTGTATAAGACGACATGGGTGATATTTCCAATTTTATGGTATAATATTCATAAATATTTACTTATATTATAGGGAGCTGTCCCATTTTCTCCACTTACACTCTCTTTTGCTTTTTAATACTTTTTAATCAATTTTGTTCTTTCTCTTTCCTATTCTATCCTTATCCTACATTAATTTCTTTTTTACTTTATTTTTATATCGTTTCTTTTTCTCTATACTTAATTTTCTAATTTACACTCCATTTTTAATATTAAAGGGAAAAAAAACTTAATTTCTTACTCGATTAAGGAAACAAAAGTACTGAAAATGGAGTACAAATTGAAAAATTAAGTATAAAGAAAAAAAACTAATATAAAAGTGAAGTAAAAAAAAAATTAACGTAGAGTAATAGTAGAATGGGAAAGAGAATGAACAAAATTGATTAAAAAGAATTAAAAAGTAAAAGGGAATGTAAGTGGAGAAAAGGAGAGTGGAGAAATCATATCCCATATTATATCACGTTAATGAGTTATATACGTAACCGTATTTCAATATCATACAACACTATAATTATTCGAAAAAAATTGTGGTTAAAAAAGTGTAAAGTACGTGGCATTACTCCATACTTCTACATTTTTAGGAGTTTCTTTTATTTTCTCTTTCTTTTATTTCCATACTTTTATATGTTGACACCTGGTTTTTTTTTAATATCTGTGGTCATTACATAAAAGACAAAATGGACTATTATGCATCAGCCGGCCGTACACAAAGCTTTTGTTTTTATCGTCCAGTCCGGTCCTACTTATTGATATGGTTACAAATTACGATATCTAACTGCTACTGTGACTCACTTGTGTTTGGGAGTGCATCCGAAATGGTTAAAAATGTAGTGCTTTTGGTAGTGTTTGGCAGAAAGTCTTATCAGTGCTTCTGTGTTACAATAGTGCTTTTTAGAGAAGCACTTAGCCTTTGCTTCTTCAGGAATCATATTTTTAATGAAAATTCTAACGCTTTTCTAGTAGAAGCATTTCTAAAAAAAATGTTTATGAGTAGAAGTGCTTTCTACAGAAGCACTCCCAAAAGGGTTTCTGGATCACTTATACAAATGCTTTTTATGACATTTTACATGTGAAAATTAATACATTAAACAAAAGGTAGTCCCAATTAAAAAATTTCTGTGTGGACCAGAATAATTTTTCAAAAAGAAGTTTTTATTTTTATTTTTATTTTCTACAATGAAACTCCCAGGATGAGTTTTCAACTTTTCTATACATTTTTATGAGAAATTCGTCTCTAAAATAAAATTACCTTAAAAACATTGATATGCTTCCCAGTACACGTTCGAATTCAGCATGCTGCACATATGCAATTATAAACGGAAAATTGTTTTCATTCGCCAACTAACATTGGAATTCCTGTAACATTTACAACAGCTAATTTAGAATCATCTTTCAATTTGAATTGCTTTGAAGCAATTCGAAACGAGCCACGTGGTATATCAGATACATACAATAATTTCTCCAACCGAGGGCCTTAATAAATTCCTAGGAGCAGTGTTAAGGAGATCCAAGTAAAGAAACACAACTTTGGAAAGTCCTAAACCAATTTTATGTTCTCTTTGCTGTATGGAACAAAACAACCTTGACATAAAAAACTATATATGCATACAATTCTCTTCAATCTTGCATGTGCTTACATACAATTTACAAAGAATAACATATTTGCATTTGTGAATCTTCTTACAGTTCTGTTGAAAAACTAAATATCACACAGTAGTGTATTCTTGATTGTATTTGGTGGTCAATGGTAATTGATCTGGTTACTTGTTTTGCAAGTTCAGCTGTCACCTCTTTTTAACTTGCCAAAGTCACACCTCCAGTGTTTCGGTGAATCGGTGTATTGCATTGGTAATGATATGTTAGGGAGGTGCAACAAAGGGGAAAGTCCCCAAGATAGGTTCACAGCCGTCGTATCATGGAGCATTTCTATTTTGCGTCCTATGATCTTCGGAATTGCTCCTTACAACCCCATTCTTGGAGAAACTCATCATGTTTCAAAGGGGAATCTCAATGTTCTACTTGAGCAGGTACTTGAATTTGTGTTTTCTGCTGAACCTTTGCTCGAAAATGGTTGCCTTATGATTATCTTAGCCTCCAATTTATGCTGCCATGCTGGCCAAACTTGAACATGATCTTGCTACTACCTGGCGAGTGGCGAGTTGGTGGATCTTTTATGCATACATTGCCTAATGTGGTTGCTTTTTGGGTTGCGTACTTGCAGGTTTCACATCACCCACCAGTTACTGCCCTTCATGGAACTGATGAAAAAGAAAACCTTGAAATGATATGGTGCCAACATCCTACTCCCCAATTCTATGGTACTCTACTTCTTACTTTTCATAATAACGATTAATCTAATAGAAGAAATACTGGTTTGCTGGTTACTATAGCCTTTACATATTTAACAAACCAAATGTAAAATGTTACTATAAAAAAGATTGTAAAGCTTGAACCTTGGTTAATTTGTTTGAACTGCGAAAAAAAGAAAAAAAGAAGAAGCTATTACTCACAATCATCCAGATTGTTTATTTGTTTGTTTCTATTTGAGAAAAAATAGCAGTCACCAATCATATGCATCAAGTCTTTCCTCTCTGTCTCCAGTCTTGTTTTTGCGATCTTTGTCAGAAAATGAAAGTCAGAGATCCTTCAAACACCTGAAATTTTGTCATATCTAAGAAATTTTAACCTTTTGACTCTAATTCGCCATCCAATCTACATAAGAATTTGCTTTGCTATTTCATTAGTGTTGCATTATCTACCAATCTCTCTTACAAGGAACCTGTACTCTTTACCAAGTTCTTAGTTAATGCTGACTGTTTAGAGACAGTTTCAATGCTGCTGCTGCTTCTGATGTTCGTATATCTTCCTTTTCCTTTCTGATACTCTTTTGAAAATGTGCTTCTCTTATCTTGACTGTACAGTTCAGATGAAAGTGCTAATTGATTTTATCTGAAAACTATTCTTAGGAACAATACCTCAAAACAACAAAATTTCAGTGTGAAAACCAGAGTAGAGGATGTGATTTCAGTTTCTGACTGTAAGATTAACCGCACTATCAATCCAAAAGGTTCTTTTTATCTTTGGCCCTCGACATGTTATTAGCCTTTGTATATTACTATTATCAGGTTGTCTGTGTTTTCAGGTCACTCTAATCCTTTACTTTAGTACTCATTAGAAGCTCAAAAATCATTTACTTTAATGTTTTCAGGTTGTGTATATATTCACTAGTTAAGAACTTTAAACTCACCAACAATATGGAAGATTTCATTCTTGTCATAACTTTTACGCACTTTAAGTTCCTCCCTTTAAATCTTCTATTGGGTTTAAATGCCATATTTCTTATCAAGAACCATGCTGCAGGTACTTCAGTGGAAACTGAGGTGCATGGAAAAAGGCAACTGAAGCTCCTGAATCACGGAGAAACATATGAAATGAACTCCCCGAAACTCTTGATCAAATTCTTGCCAATACCTTGGGTTGATTGGGTTGGTGAAAACAGAATCCGGTGTCATGAGACTGGCCTTGAAGCTGAGTTATGTTATGGAAGCAGCTCATTTTTTGGGCTTAGGGGAAATCCTAGAACAGTTAAGGGAAAGATCTTTGACTCAACGTCGTTCGAGCTTCTTTATGAGATAGATGGTCAGTGGGATAGGTAATTCAAGGGTCCATGAAAGGATTATCTTCTTCTTCTTTAAACTGCTGCTATGTGCATAAAGATTAACAGTGGTTTGATTTCATACATTTGAAAAAGCAACAAAAATAAAAAACGAAACCGTTGATTACTTACAAGTTACACCTTGATGCTACAGGTACAAGGTTTCTAAACAATCTTTAACAAATAACAAGTGAAATGGTTCTCTCATATTGACTAACAACTTTTCTCCTGACCATATTTATGTTTAGCCTTGAAAAATTCTGTTCACGTTTCACACATCCATATCTATCTTGTTATAATGCTGCATCCTATATTTCATTGCAGAACTGTCAAAATGAAGGACGTCAGTAGCGGGAAAGAAACAGTTATATACAATGCGGAAGAAGCCATTTCAGGACTGAAAGCTCCAATGGTAACGGATCAGAAGGTAACTAATTTCTACCTCGATCTCCAAATCCTTTAACTTGCATTTCATTAAGTCAATATGCCCTACAGACACTAATTTCTTCTTCAAATTCAAACTGCACATTGGTTTCTCTTCATGCATATAAAGTCTTTGCAATTTATGTGGAGAATTCTTTTCCTTTTTTGTTCTTCTATCCCACCACTCTTCATGCTTTCCCTTGCTTCTTGGGATCTTGAAGTTTCTCATACTTATGAATGGATTATATGCAATTATACAAAAATTATGTAAAGAATTCATTGAACTTAATTTAGAGAAAGTACTTTTTATATAGAAAAAAAAATTGTGAAAGGAGATTCACCCCCTCTTGTAAAAAAAATTTAAAAAGTAAAGCAAAAATCAATGCAATTACTTTTCTATGTTTATGTTATCAATTACCTGTGATGTAATTTATTTAATTTGAATTAGGGAGTGTGGCCAAGTGAATCAGCTTTAATTTGGGGCATTCTGAGCCAAGCTATTCTTGGGAAAGACTGGAGCAAAGCAAGAGAAGCAAAGAAAGCTGTTGAGGAAAAACAGAGGGAGCTCTTGAGAGAAAGAGAATCAAGAGGGGAAACTTGGGTTCCTAACCATTTTACCGTGACACATAGCAAAGAAGGTGGGTGGGATTGCTCACCTATTCAAAAGTGGGTCCCTCCAGCTCCTATATCTGTACCCTTATAATTAATTTGCATCTATAACTCTGCCTTTCCAAATTTGTATATGTTTTGGGTTATATGATGTTGCTGTAACTCTTTCTGTTAGTAGCTAGACCAACCTACCAGTAATGGTTAAATGTTCTTGTGTCTTGGTTGAGAATTCAGAGTTTCCAAATACAAGTAGATGAAGAAATCCACCAAACTGCTTTTGTTGAAAAAAATGTCTTAAACTTGTGGTGGCTGCAGTTATGATACTAGTTGAAAGTCCAGAATAAACACAACCATTTATTCTGTCTCCTGCTTCCACCAGAAAAAAACTAACCTATACCAGGGATACCACTATGGCGCTATCCCAAGCCAATTACTTATTGTCATGCATTTTATTTTTCTAACAATGCGTGATAGGCTTGGGATACCACCACAATAGCATCCCCCGTTATGCTTCCATGAAAAGAATTAAATGAGTTTCCGGACTCTGGTGCTATTTTAAAGAAAATGCAGACCTTTTAAGAAGTTGTCACTTTCAACTTGCCAATCTTAAAATGTTTTAATTTATTGGCAGTGGACTTAATGAGATCCATTGCTGTGCCATGTACTGTATGTGCTGGTATTGTTTTCAACTGAGAAACATGGCAACAAAAAATATAAACATGTACCCGGTGAATAGTTTCCTTGAAAGGGAAATGACCCCTAATAATGACAAAGGCCATAGACCAAGTGTATTGACTTTAATCATCTGAAAAAGTGTAATTTCAGAACAATGATCTAAGGCTGAACCAAATATGAGACATGCATAGCAGCAGCATAAGGTGGATTCAATTCTGGAATTTTCCTTTTGGATCCAACTAAAATAAAATTAGCACTGCAAATTTTAAAAAATTTACTGTGATTTGCAACTTATCTTCTCCAACAAACCAAATGAAAACTTGCAAATTCAAAGGAAAATTTCTGATGAGAGAATTGTCAGAAGAATTATTGATATCTCAGGTTGGGATGTTTCTTATATCACTCTTGGGCAAGAAGGAAACCAAAACCAAAACAAAAACAGGAGGAGAGAGAGAAGAATGACCAGAAATTCATTTGCTTCACTTCAAAGTTAGATGTCAGCTCACAATGTAATGACAGAATTGAAAGATTCAAAGTGGGAAAAAGATCAATATCGGATGATCTACAGTTGCCATCATCTGCTGATATTTCCAAACCAGAAAAACTAAAATCAACAGAGTTTTCCATTTCATTTTCCCACAAGAAAATCCCCATTACATCCATCCCAATATCCTCTAGCAATATCTACCACAAAAAAACCAAGCATAGAGTTTTCTATTTCTTTTTTCTTTCTTCTCTCTCTCTCTCTCTCTCTCTCTCTCTCTCTCTCTCTCTCCACTACAACATATACTACTGTACCTGATCAAAGTCAAACACAATCTATTTCACAGCCTCCACATGCATCTCTTGTAAATCTGATTCAGTCCTCCTGTTAAATGATTTCTCAGTAATTGTATCCAAAAGTGGCTTCCATGACCTAGCTCTACAAGACCTTTGAGAGCCATAATCCATCAGAGAGCCCATGCTCTCCTGCTCCATAGAAAACCTGCTTGGACTTCTACCTGGTGAAGATGATGAGCTCCACACAGGGCTTGAGCAAAACTGGCCCATCATCAAAGGACTAGAAGGAGCCAAAGGAGAAGAATGAGAAGAATTATTGTTACCCTCACATGAAGACCTCCTGCTTTTTGCTGCTGCTGCAGTGAGCTTTCTGGATATGGAGGCCCAGTCCAGAGGAGAAACATCACTCTGCAATGCTGAGTATGGAAGCAGAAAATAGACCTGCCCTGGTTGCAGCAGAGTGTCCTGCTTTAATGGCTTGGACCCAGTGGAGAGAAGCTGAGCTGGGGTGCAGACAAAGTGCTTTGTGGGCTTCCCTGTGACTTGACCTACAGAAATTGGATGCTCATAGTCCTCCACATAGCCATTTAGATGAACCACTCTCACATTTTGAAGTGCAGGTTTTGGTTTGCAAGAAAAGCAAGCACCCATCTTTTTGTGTTTGGAGGTGCAGAGAAGAAAGAGAGGCACCTTGAGAGGGATAATATAAGTGTATATATATGACTTATGGGGATTTAAAGAAGGGAAGACTTTTGGTTGTTTTTTGGATTTAAATTGACAGCTTTTAGCAGCCCAACTGCAAATTGGGTTTTATTGAAAAAATCTAGTGGGTGTGTACAAATTGTATTATAATCTTGCACAGTGGAATGTTTCAATTGGATGGGGAAATTACATTATTTTAAGTCATCCACATTGATTTAACCCAACCGTGAGGAAGGGGCAACAATTTCTACCGTGCGTTATGGACCATATTTCATTTCACTAGTACAAACGCTAGCTTTCACATACATACCCTCCTAACAGTCCAGAAAATTGGCAAATTTACTGACCAAATAAGAACGAATTTTGGTTTTCCTTGAAGATTTTCAGTTTTGAAATTGAAAACTCTTCACGGCAGTCAAATAAACTTCGATTTCACAACCGAAATCCCTTCGAGTCAAACTCAAAGACTTCTGTTTGATCTTTTAACATTGAAAATTTACAAACAGTCTCACTGAAACGTCTTGAGTTTGATATAAAAAGTTTTGAATTTTGAAATCAATAAATATGACTTCTTCAAGACAATCAAATATGCTTTGCACTCACGACCTGAACATGATTCGAGTCAAACTAAAAGACTTCAATCTGATCCACAGATTTGCACATTTATGGACCTCATGCTTGGGATAATTCCATGTGTGTGAGTTTTAACTGTTGTTATTCATGATTATATGTGGTAGATCCATCGACTGAGTTGTTGACCCAGTCACCCAAATGGAAATCAGTGTCACCTAGTATTCCATGTAACTTTTTGGTTGGGTCATTGAAAGCTTGAAGAAGAGTTGTGTTTTTCTGATGACTCATGTCACTTCCTTTTGAAAGTTGCCATCTTAATCCGTAGCCGTGGGGCTTGGGCATTGGCAGCCTAAATCTTCCCATTGACCATGGAGGAAAGAGAGAGAAAAATTGTATACAATTACAGTGGAGCATTTGCCTTGATTAGGAATTTAGAATTTAGAATTTAGAAGGACCCCATTTGCTTCTATATCTGCATAATGTGACTTGTTGCGCACTCTCATTTGACGTCACATAATTAAAGATTAACTTGATTGTTTTCCCCTAATTAATCAAACAAGCATCATTTACTTGAAAAGTCGGTGGAGCTATCATGGCCAACTGGACTAGCACTACACGAAAAGAGATTGGATGATCCATAAACTCATTTCTTAATGTTGAAGACGAGGACTTGCCACTAAACCCAAAGGTTAAGCAAATTAACACAATTATTGGGAAATGATGTTTTTATTATTATTAAAAAAGCAGTTTATGGACCAACATGTCTATAGCTTTTCATTGAGCTCACCCAAAAGTCGAGCTCAGTATGTGTGGTAACATTTGAGATGAGTGCCAAACCAATTTTGCAGCAATAAAACAAATGAAACTTCTGGGAATACTAATAAACAACTTTCTATGTCATGGTAAAGAGTAATTGCGGATCTTAAGTACAGATTTATAGCCTATATGCATATCATATACGAGTATCGGAGTATCGGTGAATCATAGTTTATAGGTCTTGATGTGAGAGCAAAAATTACTCCTTAAGAAATTATTCCACTGGCACTCTAAACTTGGGAAGTGGAGCTATAATTTTAATTTTTAAAAAACATGTTTTTCCAATTTTCTATTCATGAACACACATAAATGAAATCATGGCATTTATGGGACTTGATGACCAAGACCTACCAAGACAAACATGTTCTATGCCTTATCCCTCACTACTATGCCCATGATGGAGTGACTGTCGATCATAATGAAAATCATGGAACATGGAATTTAAAGCCTAAGACTCGAATTCCTAAAAAGGCAAATTAATCCATCAACACAAATAGTGACAGAGCCAGAAGCTAATCTATGGGGGGACCAGTAATATAAATGCAAGATTATATAGAGTTATATGTTAACTAATATTGTAATTGATGCTTAAGAAGTAATAGGGTTTTCATGGAGTTTGGAGGGGCCATGGCCATGGCAGGCCTGCATGTGGCTCCGCCCCTAAACACAAAGGAAAAAAAGGGCCAATATTATTCTAAACTCTACTGCAATCTTCTTATATACCTACTGACTTACGCATCAAAGTATTTTCTTTCTTGCATGTACCTCCCTCCTCCCTCATTGACGGCAAGCGAAGACAATGTCATGCTTCTCAACATTGATTACTTGTTGGAAGTCCTGAAGAGAGCGAACTCAGATTTTTTTTTGGGGTTGTGAAAATCTGGGAAGAGAGACAAAACACTGACATTTTTCTAAAAACGTAATTTAAGGGTTCTTTCTTGACAATTATCGTGCCGTTTAAAATCAACCCAACAGAAGTTACTTTTTATAGTGCATCTCCCTACTATCATGATCAATGGTCATAGAACACCCGTGGTGCTTTAAAACACCACGATAATTTTTAGATGTTACGTGGTATAATTAGTATTATACTTTTACATTGTTGTAGTAGTGTTTAGTGATGAAAAGAGATCCGCGTGTGAGGGGAGTTTTACAGTATAAAATAATTAGTGACTTGCATCAGATCAGAAACCAAGATGGGGTTCAATTTCAAACCCACCTTTTCTTGATGTTGATAAGGTCATGTTGTGCTTTCCATCTCTGAAAGTGGCACAATTTCTTTGATATCGAAGTTTTAACTCAAATTTGGTTCAACTGCCAATTGGGATAATGTAACAAGTAATTCTTTTTAAATTAGGGTTGCACTGTGATTAATTTTCTGAAATAGTCAAAATAATTGCATTGTAGATTGTGCCTGATAATGATTTGAGTGTCAGATGGTGGGAGCCCCCTTGAGTTATTGTATGGGGCAACATGTTGGTGAGACTTGAGTGGTTGAGTGAGTATGATAAATGATGATTCAAAAAGTAGGGTTGACTCCGCGCATTTTATGAGTGACTGTTAATTGTTGATAAATTATGAATTTAATGATTTGCCAACCATTAGCATATATCAAATAAGAAAGGAAGAAATAAACATTGAAAGCACTTTGTGGCAAGAACTAAGCCGAATCCCTAGCGGGGATTAATCCCACTCTTCGGGTGTGGGGACACCTCGTGGTATTTACAAAAAAAAACACAAGAAATGAAGAAGTAAAGACATCTCATTATCATATGAGCATCACAAAACTGATCCAACTAAGTTGTTTGGATTCGTTAAGCAAAACAGTTGCTGGCCAAGTAAGAGTTTTGATCACTTATTTTCCCATGGTTCAGTTTAGATTGCTTGCTTTTCTGCAACTTTTTACTTGCACTCAAGGCTCAAAGGAAAAAAACAGGCAACAAAAGACGACCAAACAAAGCCAACCCATAAAAACAGCCCAACACATAGAAGAAAACACAACCAAAGCCCATATTCCTATGGGCCGACTAATATTTGCTATTCCTATATCTAGAAGCTGCAAATGTCTTCCTATCTGCTTCTTGTATTGGAGACATTCACATAATTCATATGCCTTTTTACGATCATTTTACCAGACATGTGCTTCATAAAAGTTTATATTTGCTTCAAATGGCTTATTCTTTTACTGTAGTTAGCATTTCAGGGAAGAATTATGCACTTGCTCTCATGCCAATTGACAATCTACGAAACTAATGCCTGTTTCGAAATTTTAAATGCATCAGCAAAAACATATTGAGCGAAAAAAGCTGCCTTATAATAAAAAGTTCAATTCTTTACAAAGTTGCACATACGCTTTTACCTCCGGGTTTCTTCTTCCTCTTCTATTTTTAGTTTTCTGTTTCTTTTTTGTGAGAGCTTCTATACAGGCTCTATCTTTTATCGATTACCTCTAAATTTGTTTGCAAGAGCTGTGATCCAGGCTTTATCTTTATCACTATATGCATACCTCATGCTTGAAGCCAACAAGACAAATCCTTCACTTTTTTGAATCTCATTATCACTTGAGGGCAGAACTTGCACAATTGGTTGTACAAGGAGAGAACGAGTCCCTTGTGGTAGCATCTCCCAAAGTCCAGAATCTGAAACAGAGACAATCAAAAATTTCATACTATTCCAAGTAAAGGCAATCATTTTCAGAAACAGAGCTGAAGACATCAAGTTATAGCTACCTTCAATCTGAGAAAGGTATAGGGTTTCCTTCACGTCAGAAAGACCAATGCTTTCAATCTGTTTCTCAAACCAACCAAGTACATTGGTTTTTGATACATCATCTGGTATGTTCCAGTAGCCGCGCACGCATAATTTATTTCGAATTGATATTATCTGAAATATTAGCAACAACCACTTTTGAAAAGCTTATAACAAAATATCCAAAATATAAGAACATAACTTCTTTTTTTCAATTGGATTCTGACCTAACAAAACAAAATTTGCATTGTCATCCAAATTAAAACGGATTTTTCTTCTCACTCTCATCGCCAGCAAAAAATTTCAACTGTCTAGTGCCAATATATAATAAAAACCTGCTAGTACCACGGCTATGGTGTTTGTATTGCGCAACAAGATGTACGTAGCCCAAGCCAAGTCCTCCTTCTGAGTATTTGAGACATTTTGTGATATCACAAATATTTGCTCACACCCTCGTGGGATGCTAGTTTGATCCATTGGAGTAGCACCCTGCAATATAATTCCACATAATCAGGCTTACAAAAATGCTGAGCAGACAGTTTATGCCTGCCTGCCACCCTATCTAATATCAATGTCATTGACATTGAAGGGTTCTTGGTAGTTTATATTTTTTGCACCACAGAAGAGGCTTACAATTCAAACTTCACCTTCATGGGGTTACGAATTTAAGCTGCACTTTGCATTTTTATGAGTTTTTTCAGATTGAAAAACAATGCCATTGACCTCTAATTAATCTATTGGAGTTGTTTTAAATGCCTTGAAAATTACCTTGAGAAATCTTCCTAGATAGGGAAGTGCTATGGAAAATGCCGCCAGAGATAGACCCAAAGCCTCTGTTCTCTAATTGAGAAAGCCGAAAACCAAACGAACCCACAAAAATTAACACAAAGCCAACAAGAAGTGAAGCAAATATAACACAGTAGAAGATGGTTTTGGTCGCTTACAAGCTGAGCCGGGGTTGTGCTGGCGGGTGAAATGGAACCAGCAAAATGGTTCAAAATCAAAAGCGAACCAAACCCATATCCAATCCATCTGGGTAAGTAGGATTCGTCAAGCCCAGGTATTCCTGCACCATCCAATAACCCATCATTCAAAATCTCAATCTCAAAGAGAGAGAGAGAGAGAGAGAGAGGAGAGAGAGAGAGAGAGAGATACCTAGTGTGAAGCGGAGGACGGAGAGATTGAGTTGTGGTTCTGCTGAGTTGCTTTTGGAATTGTCAAGACGAGCTGAGACTGCTGAGAAATTCGTGCGGCAATTTCTGGCGCGAAATTTGGGTGGGATTTTCAACTGAATTAACGAATTTGGGGACAGACCAAGGCTTGTGTTACTCATATTTTTGTTCTTTTTTTTGTTTTTTTTCCAATTTCTGGGGTTTGGGAGGAGCTGGGAAAACTGTGGGAAATGGTGGTGGTGGGATAAAATGTGACTTTGAAGAGCAAGTCCACGGGCCTAGCTGGCTGTTACCCAAGTTGAGATTGGGCCTAACTTTTAAAATTTAGAGATTTCGTCTCATAAAAAAAAATTACAAATTTATTGATAAACTCAATCCTAGACATGTATTTATAAAAAAAACTCAAACACTATTAAACATAGAAACACACCCAAAATCAACCCCAAAATCAACAATTGTATATTTTTTGGGTGTATTTATAAATGAGTTTTGAGTGTGTATAATGATGGGTTTTGGGTGTGTTTATAAAGTGTTTTGGGTGTTATGTTTTTTTATAATTTCAACCCCCATTTCGAGTGTTTTAGTGAAACTCCCAAAAAAAATTTACCGATTCTATCCCATGTTTCATACACCTCTCTCTATTTTTATCATTACATAACTCATGTCTCACGTGTTGTAATCATATATTTATGAGTTGTGCGGCTATTGTTTACTGCAAAAATTACAAAGTAAAAAAAATTTCAAAGTGTATTTATACGTTGCGTGTCATGAAGCTAAAAAAAATTCACACCAAATCCTACATTTTTCCTCCTCAAAATGATCAACTATTAAGAAATTTAGAAGGTAAGACATATCCTTCTAAAAGGAATTAGATGGATAGGTACTGGTCAAAATATTTATTTTTGGACTTTGAGTCTGTAGTTTTTCTTGTCGTGTGTGTGAAGAAGCTAGTTTGTAAATAAAAATCATTCAACTCAATGTAGTAATTTTGCAAATGAGTATAAATATAATTTTACTAAAGGAAAATTTTGATGGGTGTTGAGGGAGAAAAACTTAGTTATAATGGGAATAACACTATTTTGTAATCTCCAATCAATAATGTTATATCATATAGAAGTGTTATTATGTATGTCATAGCGTTATTGATTCAGAATAACAAAATAATGTTATTAGTGTCATAACGTTATTGACTAAGGTGAATATAGAAGTCATGAATTGGGTGTAATGAAAAAGGAAGTGCCATTTTGGCCTAAATACTGCCGTACCGATGCCTGCTCTGGCATATTCACCTGATGAATTATACCAACTCCTGCACATTTGGTCTGCGTTTAAAAAGAAACTCCCACTCAACACTTGAGGGGAGTAGCAGAAGCAGCAGCCACAACGTTCCCCAAATTCAAAAAAAATCCACTAAACTATGATAATGTTGTTCTCTACTCTCTTCCACACTAAACTCAGCCGATGCTTCTCTTCTTCTTCTTCGTCGTCTTCTTCTTCTTATCGTAACAGTCTTCCAGAACTCCCACCTATTCAAACTTTACTCAAAAGCGGCTTCACTCCCACACTCAAATCCATCATCCAATTCCTTCTCTTCCTTTCTCAAACCCGCAGGTTCAACACAGTCATCCATTTCTTCTCTCAAATGGACTCCAACCGAATCAAAGGCAACTCCCAGACTCGCTCAATTCTCACATGGGCTCTCCTAAAATTGCACAAATATGAAGAGGCGGAGCATTTCATGACGACCCAGATGGCTGAAACTTCAAAATTTCAGAGTAATCGCATTTGGGACTCTCTAATTCAAGGCCTATGTATAAACCGGAAAGACCCGGAGAAAGCTTTATTGGTATTACGGGATTGCTTGATCAACTACGGTATTTTCCCTTCTTCTTTCACTTTTTTCTCATTAATTAATAGATTTAGCTATCAAGGGGATATGAGCAAGGCAATTGAGGTCCTGGAGTTGATGACTGATGATAAAGTTAGGTACCCCTTTGATAATTTTGTTTGTAGTTCAGTAATTTCTGGGTTTTGTAAGATTGGGAAGCCAGAAATTGCGGTTAAATTTTTCGAGAATGCTGTAAATTTGGGAGCTTTACAGTCTAATATTGTGACTTATACAGCACTTGTGGGTGCTCTTTGTAAATTGGGAAGAGTTAATGAAGTTTGTGATTTGGTTTGTAGGATAGAGAAGGAAGAATTGGCATTTGATGTTGTTTTCTATAGTAGTTGGATTTGTGGTTATATTTCAGAAGGTGCTCTAATGGAGGTATTTCAGAAGAATAGACAGATGGTGGATAAAGGCATAAGATCAGATACAATTAGCTATACTATAATGATAGATGGGTTTTCCAAGCTAGGAGATGTAGAAAAGGCACTTGGTTTTCTGATAAAGATGAGGAAAGGTGGATTAGAACCCAATTTGATTACATATACTGCCATCATGTTGGGATTTTGCAAGAAAGGAAAATTGGAGGAGGCATTTGCTATTTTCAAGATGGTTGAAGATTTGGGAATTGAAGTTGATGAATTTATGTATGCAACTTTAATTAATGGGTCTTGCATGAGAGGGGATCTTGATGGTGTTTTTCATCTCCTACATAACATGGAAAAGAGGGGGATTAATCCGAGCATTGTCACATACAATACTGTAATTAATGGATTATGCAAATTCGGGAGGACATCGGAGGCTGATAAGATCTCAAAGGGAATTCTTGGAGATACAATTACATATAGTACATTGCTACATGGCTATATTGAGGAAGAAAATATCACAGGGATTATGGAAACAAAGAGGAGATTGGAGGAAGCTGGAGTCTGCATGGATGTTGTTATGTGTAACATAGTTATTAAATCACTGTTCATGGTGGGGGCATTTGAGGATGCTTATATGCTGTACAAGGGAATGCCAGAAAAGGAGTTGGTTGCAGATTCCATTACATATTGTACAATGATTGATGGGTACTGTAAAGTAGGTAGAATGGATGAGGCACTGGAGATATTTGACGAGTTCAGAAGGACACCAGTTTCCTCAGTTGCATGTTACAATTGTATTATCAGTTGGCTCTGTAAGCAGGGAATGGTAGATATGGCCACGGAGGTATTTATTGAACTCAATGGGAAAGATTTAGGTTTGGATTTAGGTATCTACAAAATTCTATTGAAGGCAATTCTTGAAGAAAAAAGTGCAGCTGGAGTTTTATGTTTGGTTCAAAGAACAGAGAATTTGAGGACAGAAGTGTATGATGTTATAAGCAATGATGCTATCAGTTTCTTGTGCAAGAGAGGTTTTCCTGAGTCTGCATGTGAAGTGTTTTTGGCGATGAGGAGGAAAGGGTCAGTTGCCACAAGCAAAACTTACTATTCAATTTTAAAAGGTCTAATTAGTGATGGGAAAGAGTGGCTAACTCAGTCTCTTTTTAACATCTTTGTGAAAGAATATGGCCTAGTTGAACCTAAGGTAAGTAAGATTCTAGCTTACTACATATGTCTGAAGGGTGTCGATGATGCTCTCCGATTTCTAAACAAAATGAAGGACAAGCCTGCAACAGCCACTTTGCCTGTTTCTCTTTTTAAGACACTTATAAAGAATGGTAGAGTTTTGGATGCATATAAACTTGTCTTGGTGGCTGAAGATGGCTTACCTGTTCTGGATGCGCTTGACTATTCGCTTATGGTTGATGGCCTTTGTAAAGTAGGATATATCAGTGAGGCATTAGAACTATGTTGTTTTGCTAAAAATAAAGGGGTTACCCTTAATATCATCTGCTATAATTCAGTTTTAAACGGATTGTGCCGCCAAGGCCACCTTGTAGAAGCGTTTCGGCTATTTGATTCGTTGGAGAAAATTAATTTGGTTCCCTCAGAAATCACATATGCTACATTGATTGATGCTTTACGTAGAGAGGGCTTTCTTCTGGATGCCAAGCAGTTATTTGAGAGGATGGTCCTCAAAGGCTTGAAACCAAATACACATATATATAACTCAATTATTGATGGTTATTGCAAAACTGGACATATGGAGGATGCGTTGAAGCTTCTTTATGAATTTGACTTAAAAACCCTCAGGCCTGATGAATTCACTGTTAGTATTATAATCAATGGGTTTTGTCTAAAGGGTGATATGGAAGGTGCTCTTGAATTCTTTATTGAGCTCAAGAGTAAAGGTACATCGCCTGATTTTTTGGGTTTCTTATATTTGATAAGAGGTTTATGTGCCAAGGGAAGGATGGAAGAAGCCAGAACCATCTTGAGGGAAATGCTTCAGTCACAATCTGTTGTGGAGCTAATAAATAGAGTTGATGTGGAGGTTGAAACAGACTCATTGGAAGGTTTGCTCGTTTCATTATGTGAGCAAGGCAGTGTCCAAGAATCACTTACTCTCCTCAACGAAATTGGGTCCATATTTTTTCCTGTTCGGAGTTCACCTAATGCCTGCAATCAATCTCATAAACTACACAATCCTTATGACAGGGAGGCTTATGGTACAGTTGCTTCAACGTCTGTAACCTCTACCGATGCGGATATGGATATCCAATTTTCTGGTATGAGGGATGTAAAGAATGTGGCAGAAAATTACGATGATAAAGGGAGAAGGTCTAAATTTGATGACTTTGACTATTGCTATAAGCAAATTGCTACACTCTGTTCAAGAGGGGAAATACGAGAAGCTAGTCAATTAGCAAAGGAAATAGTTTCCAATTTTGGCAGGGCCAATTAGTAGAACTCAGAATGCTGGCCACCTAAGTGATGTAGGTGCTTTCTTCCCTGTCACTGAGGGACCAGGCAAGGCATCATGCATGCAGATGCAGGTATATTTTTTGGCTCTTTGAAAGTTTTCCTATCCTTTCAATTTAGATAATTGTTTATCACTTGGGTGGTATGTATGTGTGCTCTGTTTATTTATTATCTCTTTGTGTTATGCCATTCGATTTGCAAGTTTTGGAAAGGCATTATATGTATTGTTTTGCAGCAATCTTTCTGTGAATATACCCAATCCATAATATGAATGACATTATATTAGTCTTCCGCTTTTTTTATGAGGTAACTGAAGTTTTTTTATTAACCTTGCTTGCTTAGGTTTTTTAATCAGTCTCGCACCAAATTTTTGAACATATTGATAGAAAGTTATAAAAATTTAACAACATGGTTCATGATTTAATATCTTTGGTTTGAAACTGTTATGATTTTCTCTCTCTCTCTCTCTCATGATTGTTCATGTACCATTTAAAGGTTCTTGTGATTGAAGTCATCTGAAATTTCATATTATCAATTCGCAGAATAACCTTAAAGGTCTAAAGGAAAAGATAACTAAATTTGACTATTGTGATCAGCCATCTGGTCAGTTAGCACCCATAAATATGTTTCATGTGTCGATGTAGTGTTTTCTGGTAACTATGCCTTCCTTTAAGCTGTGCAAATTCACACATTCTGGCTTCAGCTGCAAAGTTTTAGTCAGAAGAAAAATGCACAAAAACCAGAAAGTTCTCAATTAGTTGCCGAAAATAGAAAACAATGAAATTTAGGACAATACTATAGTTCAAACCTACCCCTCCTCCTTTGTACCCAACCAAAAAAAAAAGATTATCAGTTTGTTGCAGACAGTTTTCATGTACATGAAATTTTTTTTTTTTTTTTTTTTTTTTTTTTTTTTTTTTTTTTTTTATGCCTTAAGTATAAATTTTGGCTTGCCACAGAATACTGTCAAACATAGAGTTCAGCTGGTGGAAGTTGAAGCATGAAAATTGGAAGCAATGTTAATGGTGGTTTTTCGCCATTTAAATTTTTTTCATTTTTCTGGCGTAATGAAGATTAAAAGGTAACCCTTGATATTGTTTCAGTTCTTTATTTGTTTATTTATGTCTTTTGTCCTCTCAATTGGAGTTTATTGCTTGGCTACAGAAGCCTGCTGCACAGTGTGGCTTCCAACCATGATATCGCTGCTGTTGAAGGATATATTGGAAAAACTGGATGGATGTTTGTGCCTCAGGTAATTTACCAGCTCATGATGCATGTGGATTTATGTTCAACTTTCACTTTCTATCTTTTCCACTGTGAACCAAACCTGTGTTTGACAGTATTGTCAGACTGGACATAATTTTGGGGCTTTTGCAAGTAAAATGCATTCCCGAAAGAAGAAGAAAAAAAGTGTTGTGTGGATGACATCTTGAACAAAACAAGTACTGCACCATGTGTCTAAGCAAAGAAGTGTGAAAGACCATGAAGTCCACATTGTTTAAAGATATACTTGGCATCACTTGCTCGACAAAAGCTCGCAAAATCAAACACATCTCTCGGGTGAGCAAGCTTAATTGCAGAGTCTAAATAGATTATTGCGTATGATAACACCCTTTTTCTTCTCTCGGTGCTACAGTCCTCTTAATTTTACATTGTTGATGAATGAGTGTTTGATCATTTTGTCTGTAAGCAGGGCTTTGGTAGATATAGATTGAGCTAACAATTTTTCTCTCTCCCTTTAATCTCAGACGAGGAACTTAGTGCAACCCGGTGACACTAGTTGGATTTAGTATTCTCCAAACTTTGAAATCCTGTGTTACTTAACAACTGATGTCTAGTGAAACCTGTTGTCAATCTTGCTTCTCTCAATGGTATATCCTTATGCTGTCAAGCAGCCTTATTAAAAGGGTAGTTCTAGAATCATGCCAATTGTCAGTCAGGTTCCTTGGATGCACATGATGTTTTGTTTCATTACAACAAATTACTTTGCTGCCAACTTGATCTGGATGGTTTGGGCTTGATTAATCTACCACATTTCGTTCGAAAACATATCAGTGAATTCCTTGCTGTAAATGTAGAACTGGGGAGTAATTTCAGCATGCTTTGGCAAGGGATGTAAACTGTAGAGCTGCTGGATGGAATATTCAGTTTCTTCTCTGAGTACGCGCATCTGCAGACAATGGAATATATCTTGTACTTCTTGGTTATGTGGTTTCAGCTGTTGTTATTTGCAATTCGTTTTCATTAGAGTTTCTGTATTAGTGTTTCTGTCATGTTCAAGTGTTTCCATAATGCCCTTTATTTGTTGAGGCCAGTTTGGTGGGTTTAGTTTGTGCAAGGTATGGCCCCTGCCTGGCTCTGTGTTGTGATTTTTCTGCTTGTTTTGGAACACACGCACATATGAAGTCTGCTTATATGAGTTTCGTACCGTTGACATCTGTTTCATTCGAATGGCGTCCAATTTTTCTCCAAAACGTGCCCCAAGAGCTAAACCCTAAACTCCAACCCTTAAATAAGTTATATAAAAGTCATTTCTCCACTCATAAGGTCAACCACCAGAACTTTGTCTGCCGTTTGAACGACAGCGATTTTGCATGCAGGTTTATCCGTTGCCGCTGGAATTATCCCAAAATCAAGAGCTAAAAAATCCCTAACAGTTTCTACACTTTCTTAGGCCCTAGAGATAAATCCTAAACCCTCAACAGGTTCTACGCTCTTAAAGTCGGCAACCTGTCAGTGGAAATGAGCAAAAATTGAATCGCTGTTCCGAACGGCATTGAATTGAATCGTTCACACCTCACACTTGAAGCTTGTGTGAACACTCTGAGTACTGCTATAGTGAGCTGCATGTGAAGCATAACCCAGCAACGTTGGCCAATTTGAGGCATATCAAAAAGAGTACCAACTCTATTCCATCATTTTGCTCCAATGCAAACGCTTGCTCAACCTTCCATTGATCCAGATAAGAGTATAGTAACCACAGACAACTCAAATACACCCCATCAAATTTCGGCAACTGATTAACAATAACAAGTAATATTAGAGTGCAATCCTTGAACTTTACAAGCGTTGCCTGCTCAATAAAGGAGCTGTAATTTGGATGGCAGGCTGCCTCTTAAAACTGCTTTGGTAAAATTGACACAAATAACGGGATTTATGGTACGAATCGCAAAATTTTTTGATAATCCACCATTGATTCAAAATAAAGTTTGATGAGTTGTCCAATGCACTAATTGCTGATACTGTTCTTGGACCGTCATAAGCTCAAGGAGTTTGAAAAGTGATAAACAAGACTAAGATCTTTAATATGCTGGAATGCACTCAAGATCTTTCTGACGCAGATTGTAGAAATTGTCTTCACACTACAAGAAGAGAACTTCTAGTTCATAGTTATAGAAAAGTACGTTGATGTGCTATTTATAATAGTTGTTACATCAGATTTGAAATTTACGCCTGTTATGCCTAAACTCATTCGAGATGGGAACGAATGCCTCTCATCCATGTTGAATTACTAATTATTACAATAAAAAATAGTTTCCATTATTGCTCCCATGTTTGAGTTGTGTAATAATAGGAATCATGTAATAAGCTAAACCGCTAAAACACCCCCTTAAACTTGTAGCATACTTTCAATTTGCATCCTGACTTTTTTTTTCCTTAAGAAAATTAAAGATCTCAACTATATCAAAAATAAATAAATTAGTGTTCAGTTTAAGCCTTATTGGATTGGGTCAATAACGGGTTGACACGATAATAACATGATCATTTCATTAACAAGTCAAGATAGATTCATGAAATACGATACTGACCCGTTATCTTTGCAAAATATACTTTTAGTTATTTTTTTCTTTCTGAAAAATCTTTTAATATATATACCTTCTTTCTTTTGTATATTTGGTTTTTAGTAATTTTCTAGACATTTGCCATGTGATGTATAACTTTTTTATGATAAGATGTTTTCTTTGTGTTATGTTTGATATTATTTGGTAGTATTTTTGATTTTGAACTAAAATTTTATATATAAGAGAGAGAGAGAGAGAGAGAGAGAGAGAGAGAGTATTCCCTAGTATATCACACATAATGTAGTTAATGTGTTCCGCGCATATCCATCGTTCACCAAAGAAAAACACAAATGAACCAACTCGTTTACCTGTTTCTTCTTTTGGTTAACGAATATTAACAGTTTGAAAATCAAATAGTCAATTAATAAACTAATTTGTTGGAAATAAGAGTTTGACAATCTGTTCGAAAAAGAATAAGCAAATCTATAAGATTAAGACACATGGGAGGCAAGAGGGAAAAAGAAGAAGAAGAAATTGGTGCTTTATATTCCTAAAATGGTCCTTATCTGGTCTGGAGGATGCCTTGCCAGTGACTTAGGATCTAAGTAGCCATTCTTGGGATCCATAATCGCCTGGTATGTAAGATCATATGCTTCTGCCAACGATCTAGCCACTTGGATACATGCTTCAGAACGCAACTTTGGAACCTGCATCTGCTCAAATTCAGGCAAGGAACTCTCACTTCCCAAAACAAGCCCAAAGAAAGCCTTCAAACACTCAGAGAGAGAGGCTGGAGAAGTGTCCTCAATCTCTACCAAGGGGGTATTGCCAGTCTCCTTGTTGAGTGAGTTGCGGAAGTAAGGAATTTTCTGTGACAAGCCGCATCTTCTAAGGATGGCATCAACTTCATTTTCTACAAGTGCTTGCATGTGTCTATTTATCATCATCCCGAGGTTCTTCACGTATTCCGCTGCAACCTCATGCCCAGACAATGGTTGTTGGATGGCACACAAGCAATTGATGAGGAAAATCTTAGAGGATGTTCCACTAGACTGCACCAATCCATTAAAAAGGCATTAGTACGAAAGCAATGAAGAAGACTATGCATGAAAATCACAAGATCAAAGTTATTAATCATTAAATACAAGGGCCTTTTATTTTCAAAAATCACACCAATTTCCCTTTTCATAGCTGGTTTTTGATACACTTATATTTCCAGACATAGGGTTCTAGTACCGAGGACTTGTTTTTCTGCATTACCAAATCCTGTGGAAAGTCATAATAATACCTGTAGAATCAGACTTACAAACTCTAGTTTTCTTTTTCCTCTTTTGATAAGTTTTTTAAGAATAGTAAGGCAGAATGATAAGCTCAAACATTTTAGTTTTAATAAGCCTTAAACTCAGTTACACAACTACGGAATAAGGGAATTGGCCAGAATATTAAAGTGGGTCACAAAAATCTTTGAAACTAGCTTGACATTTGACATTTGTCATAATTGGAACCAGGAATAATTCTATGCACTAGAGTTGATGAGAATTACAACAAAATGAAACAACAAGCCACGAGAATTACAACAAATGCAACAAAAAGACCCGATATCCTCTGATTAAGTGAAGATACTTTGAAATCAGACGCTTGGAAATAAATGAGAAAAGAAAACCTGAGATGACGGGGCAGAATTGCTGTTGGACAATAGTGCGTCAACTGGTGATTTACTAAATTGACCTAAGTCAGAACTCAACCTACTTCTTCTTGAAGAGTGGCCAGCTTCCTTGGACTTGTGTGCCTCTGCTGCTTGCTCACATATCTGCAATGGTTGAAGTAATGGAATTTATTCAACATTTAAACAAACTGAAGACTACCTCTGCTCTCAAACTGAAGTTAAATATTAATTTTCACATGGAATGCATCAACACAGTTTTAAGTCCCATTAAATCTGTAACATGAATTCTGGAAGAAGAACAATGAAATATTGTCCTCGGTAAGATGTTTCCAGATATGACTTAACAGTCTGACTCTGCAACTAGTTTAACTTAAATTGCTACTAATATAGAGAGCATCTGGTTGTGGGATTATATGGACTCACAACAATAGGCGCAACAGCACTCAAAGTGAAGTTCTTTGTAGTTTGTCCTTAATTAATGGGAATATGACATAGTATTGAAACTTCAATCATGCTTAAAACCTAATTTCAATGTTGTTTTGACCATCACGAAACTAGAAGCAAGCTTACCAAGCATGCCATTTACATAACCAAATGCCCAGCACAACACACCTTGATAATTGGATCGAGCAAAGCAGAAATGACCGGACCAAATGCAGGATTTTTTCCTAAAGTAGGAAGCATCATGCTGTTATGCGTCTCCACTATTTCAAGCAGCAGAGAGACTCCTTCCCTTACTGCTGGTGGAGGGGAAAGATCAACAGCAACAAGGGGAGGATACCTCAAAAGCTTTTCCCCTCTGGTTTTCAGAATGTCAAAGAAAGTTTTCTGAGCAGCATCCTTCAGTGTCCACAATGTATCAGATAAAGCTGTTTCTCTCCCAAGAAAATCTGATATCTGCAAGTAAACACAGCCATAGATCAGGGGAAAGAAAAAAGAAAAGCAAATAACATGTGGGACAATTTGTTCCATTGATGAATAAGGAAAGGCATCACTTACAGTGTGGCTGTAGAACTCCAGGGTATTACTTAGTTTGTATGAAATTATGAGACTCGATTGAGACTGCAAAACTTGTTCAACTCTTACTTTAAATGGCCGGCAAACTCCTTCAAAAATTCTATCCATAACAAATGTCAAATCAGATTCTGTCTTTCGAGAATCACTTTCAGGGCTCCTGGAGAATTGGTTTGTGGCTGGACCAGTATCTACCGCCGCATCTGGATCCAGTAATAGAAAGACAAGTTCCCGTTCAGATGCCAAGGCCTGCAAAGGGAGCAAGAAATTACGATTGCCAGATGATGAATTATACTTCACAAATGGAAGTGGAACGCAACCAATAGGCCTTTGTTTTCACACCTGATGTAACCAACCTAGCATGTCCCCAACGTATCGTAAGGGATCATGAGCATGAACTTCAATGGGTCGAGGCATTCCACCAGGTCCTCCACGTGTAAGAGCACTGATGAACCGCCTAAACAATGCATTATGCCTCATATTTGCTACCTAGAAATTGGTCAGAAAATCAATAAACAAGGTAGTAGAAAGTGAATCAGGTGAAATGGTTAGCATAGAGAATCACCTCTTCTGCACAATACTTGAAAAGGACAGGCCTTTCCTTGAGGCAACGAACTGCTGTTTTCAAAAGATCACTAACTTCAGGATTATCAGAGTCGCCAAGTCTTCTACATTCCGCCTGAACCCACCTAGAAGACGGGGTTAATTAAGGACCCAATATATCATATTTTATTTATCCTAGTACAATACTAGTGTCAAAAAATTGAAACAACCACTATACATAGTGGTAATGATCTCTTGCCAGATCAAAGCATATTATATTGTCAATCTGTAAATCTGGGTCACACATATAAACAAGAATTCACCTAATAAATGGTAAATGTTGAAACTTTGCCAACAATGACATGTCAAGCTGTTTGAGAAGAAAAAATTTCCTTATACATGTGCACATTAAGGAAGATGGTAGAAGAGAAAAACCTGCAGAGGCGTTCGTAGGCTCCTTCTTGGTAGACAGCCATCATATCCATGAGCTCGAGACCTGCACGCTGCAAGTGAATGGTAAATTGGGTTGTTAGTATACTATCACCTTTTAAGTTTCCTTGATTCAAACAAATTTCAGATATGAGAGAGAGAGAGAGAGAGAGAGAGAGAGAGAGAGAGAGAGAGAGAGATTGAGAAGAGAGTACCTGGTGATGTGTTCTTAAGAGCAATTTACAGTTGGCATGAATTTCTTGAACATGAGAAAGCGCCTTGAAGAAGTTCTCGTTCAGTTCTTCTTCCCTCAATGCACTTATCTACAAAAAGTCACATAAACAAACAAATCAAATTGATGCAAATCTAAACACAGATCAATTATCCACACATATGGCTTGATGGGTACCTCTTGATTCGAGAGTTGGTAATCCCGGAGGAAGCAAGACACGATCTGCTGCCTCTGGGTGGTCACGTTGAGCTCCTGCTTCAGCCTTTCGGTGGTGGCGATAATGTCACCGGTGGTAGCAGTGCAGCTGCTGAGAGCCACGGCGATCTTGTCGCAGCTACTGGCCAGGGCACCGACCTCGTCCTCCACGCGATCCAAGGCCTCTTGGGCCGCCTGGGAGGCCTCCAGGAACTCGAGGTTGATGGAGAGGCCTCGCTTCTCGATGGTGGATCGGAGATTGCGCCGCGACTGAGGGGTATTTTCGGAATAGAAAGAAGAGAGGGTGTTGAGTGAGGCGAGCACATCGGGAGTGTCTGTGCGACATTCCAATACCTTCTTCAGCTTCCGGGACAGTCCCGGCGCCAGCGTCGTCGTCCCCATTTCTGATTTTCTCAGGTCTTGTCTGTCGTAGGTAATGAGATGGCGGGAGATTGGCTAGAGATTGGGAGCTGGGAGTTGGGAAAGGCGTCTAATTTATCACAGATTTGATCAAAGCTGAATTTTACCCAATTGATAAAAAATAATAATTAATTAGGGAAATTCAAATAATTCCTCTCAATACTCAATTTATGATGGCATTTTGGTTTCTACTGTCATGTTATGTATTACACTAATTCTATCCACAATAATACAACATGATTATTAATCCCCAGATTGAATTAAATTTTCGGAAAGAAAATGATAGGATTTTCACGACGTTTATCCTAAAACGACACTTCATACGATTTTACTCAATACATATACAATTGTTTTATATCATCATTGAATCATGTAACGATGTCCTGTTTAAAATTGTCACCCCTACTCCCCATTGCTCATTATACACCTTCCAAGAGGAAATGACCATTAACAACAATAGATGCTCATAAGCTCTTACGTTGACCCAAACAAAGTTAATCTTGACAAATCAAGACTCAAATCTTCCTTTGGCAGCCTTCAAATGAGGACGTATGTTGTATAAAATATTCTTCATTTAGAACTCGGCTTCTCTTCTTCTGGTTCCATCCAACGCCTGTCGAGAGCATCACCTTTACAATCTTTTCCTTTAATTGTGGATAATAAAACTCTTCATTGTCTTTACAAAATACTATTTACACTGACATAAACACACACCATAGATGTAGATAGAACAATTCCTCCAATTTTATGAAGGCTTAGGTTCCAATTTTATGCATATTATTGCAAATCCCTTAGCTCCAAGAGTCTAGACCACCTCTTATCAATAGAAGCAGTGCTTTGTCCACCAATATCTGCAAATCAGAATTGTATTAGGAATTGGCCTCGCTTAAATTAATTGCTAATCTTCTAGTTCTGAAGCTGTCACAGAAAACTTACACTCTACAGTTGGATATGATTTCTCACACAGCTCTGAACAAGTATCCTGCAAATTAAAATTTCCCGCATTCGTTCGTCGATCATTTAGTATAGGAAAAAGTATTGCGTCATGTTGGTTTTACATTCAAAAGTATTGCATTAGTAGTTCTTACTTTTATGGAGGTGGCAAGCCGTATCGTGTCCTGTATCAGTGAATCGAGCTCAGCTTCATTTCCAGGCTTCACATAGATTACCTGTTGAAGCAGCTGTGTTAAGGCACTATCTTGGGGAGTGACAGAGAGCAAGAGGGAGAGAGTTTAGAGACTTAATGATGGATCGTCACCACCGATCTCAGGCAGTTGAATTGTGTGCTCGTCTCTGCTTGACGACAGAACCCATACATTAAATTGTGTGTTGATCTGTTACAATGCACATGTATAAAATCAGCCGGATTGAATTTATGATTGGATAAAGCATCAAAGTTTCAGGCTTCTGCAAAGACAAAGTACCTTTCTGCAGTACGGAGAAGAGCAGTTGCTACATTTTCTGGTGAATGATGTCATGATCTTTCCATCAACAGAGAAGCCAAAGCTAGCATGCTGGTAATTATCACAAGGGAAAATTAGGGTTGTTGAGTATATATACCTACCATTAATCTCTGCTAATTAATACCACTTTTATCTTCCTTACTACCCTAATCTGCACAAAGAAACTCAACTGCATTTAGGAAATTCGGTTCGTTTCAGAGTTTGGTTTCGCTTATATAACAATCCGTATACATGACAGCCAAAAAGAGAGGGAAAAAAATCCCTAATGTACTTACATGCTCTAAACTGTTGCCCTATTAATCAACCGCATCAAACGACTTAGAAAATGGTACGATACGTTATAAATTAACTACTTAGCGATACGAATCTGAAGATTCTTGATGACATTAACTTAAACTTATTTCATTTAAAAAAAAAAAATCAAACTTCTATAATGATGAAATAATGTGATCTGAGGAAGTTGTAACTAGAAGTAATCAACTAAAAGGTCATATAAAATAGGAGTGACCTTCTGGACGCAGAGATTAACTGAAACTTGTGCATCCTTTTCATTTTCATCTTCAATCAAATCTTCCAAACGCAGGTCATGGAGGGAGAGAAGGTAATCACAGCACCAATTCCCATGCCATCTCCCATCTGCTGTTGATATTTTGATCAGACTCCTGCTGTTCTTTTTGTTGCTCTGCATTAATTTGTGGGACCAAGTAGAAAAATATCATGTACATTACGTGGCCAACACATGTACACAAAAGGAGATGAAGTTGTAGATAATATTGTAGGCAAGAAAATCATGAAGGAAATCACAGTAAAATACCAAGAAGAAAGAAAAGAACGGAGTTTCAGAATTACATATATTTGTTGGTCATATTACCAGAGAGAAAGAGTTTCTTTTTGAAGCAGCTCTGATTTTGAATGAATGAGGCACCAATTGAGAGGGTTTCGGGTTTGCTGGCTTTACAGTAGGAAGCTTAATAAGTCTTGCTGATACCAAATGACCAACTTCTGCCATCTCTCGTTTGCTCTCTCAACAAATACAGAAGGAGGAAATGCTGGACATGTTTTCCCTTAGAACCTTATCATCATTGGCACTTGGCACTTGGACTTGAGATCGTGATAGGATGTATAAAGGGAATTTGGAACACTTAAAAACGCAGAATTACAATTTTGCCCTGTTTGTTACTGACTCTTTTTTATACAAATTCGAACTAAAATTTTATTTTTTGGGCTTGAAAATTAACAAATGATTCAATTTCATACAAAAAGAAATATTTGGCCAAGAAAAGAGAGATGTTTAGAAGTTGGGCTTGGGAAAATATTAGTTATGAGATTAAAAATGTAGCATTAGATTTGTTGATAACTCATATTATCACAAGTGAGCCATGCCCCTCGGAAGACAACTCATGTACCGAGCCAAGAAAAGTGAGAGATCATAATGAGAGAAGTGATCGGGTGTTTGAGGAACGACCCGACCACTTTATCACCATGTCTTGCTTAGAGATGCATTAAATGAAACAACCTGGCAGACAGGGAAAGTCGGTCGATGCACGTCCCATCCTTAAGCAGGTGTCGCTCTGCCCTTTAAATCTCTGAGAAAACAAGTCAGTGACAGAAAGGGAACATTTAATATGTCTCCCATCCTTGTTCACCTGTCACTTTGCTACCTGACCCCTGTCATAAAGTAAAGTGATTAGAAACAGAGCATTAAGTACGATTCAAACTGAGGGAAGTAAAGAAAAGATCTATCCCATAAAGTATCTAGACCTCCCTTTCTCCCTCCTATAAATACCCCTCATCTATCTCCAGACAAAGGTAATAAATAACTCTACACATAATATAAACCGTACTTCCATTCTCTCTAGCAAAGATTAGTTTCTGACTTAATCATCGGAAAGGGTTAGACTGGAATCAACCCTAGTCCACCCTGATTCTGATATCATTCAAAGTGTACAGATCTTCTTTCGGAGGTCATCCACACTTGTGGGCCTTGCATGGGCCCAAGCCCCCCAAATCAAGCTCAAGCTATCTATACGAGAAGGATCCACTGTTTATAGGATTTAAATAATTTTGTAAAAAAATTAAAATAATACACAACCAATCCAATTCGGTTTGGTAAGATGTGAAATCAGAACAAGAATCAGTTGGAATCAATTCAATTTGGTTTGGTGTCGGTTTGTGACTTTTTACTCTACCGATTTTTTTTTCCTATTTTTTCCATTTGGTTCGACTCAATGTTCCAATTTTTCAGTCCCGATACCCACCCCTAATGAGCTATAGGCCAAATGTAAGCCCCAAAATGTGTAAAAATCATCTCTAGTTATGGGCTAAATTTTAAGGGCCACATTTAACCTTTTAGCCCTTCTACCAGGCCACACATAGCCCAGTTGTAGCCCATGCCAAATTTTTTGTGTGGGCCCTATGCATGTGTTGCTTCACAGGAGGAAGAATCACGCGTGGGCGTGATCACGGGCTGCTATTAAGCTAACGTCAGCTAGTCGTTACTTTATTTTCTTTTAACGTTTTTACTGTAATAAAAAATTTTGTTTTTAAAAAACTTTTTGAAAAGTGAGTCAATTTTTTCAAAAATAGCCATTGTTGGCTTTAAATAAATAAAATATTTCTATAAATACCTCCAAATTTCTTCAAAATTTTTAACACTTATTTCATTCCACATTTCTTACAAATTTTATCACACATTCACAACTTTCCACATTATTTTTTTGGTCAAATATTTTCCACACTCTTATCATAAATCTTGTTAAATGCTTATCAACGCACACATGTTATATCTGGAATATTGGCTCTAAATAGTAGTTTAATTAATTTAAACAATACATAGTAGTGGATTGTATGAGTGTTGCACCATAATTTTCTCAAAATAATAATATATAAAGTGCCTTAAAATATAGCCATGCATGACTGGAGATAGAAAAATTTAGCCATACATTATTCTTTTATAAATAAATATTTTGGAAAGCTAAATTGTAGTCCATTGTTGCATTTAGCCCTCATGACTGGAGATGGCCTTAAGATTAGTTAAAACCATTTAGACTTATTTACAAATCATACTCCTACTCTAGTTAATGCACAAACATTATGGAACCAAATTTATCACTTACATATTTGTCTCATTTTATTGTCAAAGATCAGCAATTTAAATTTTATGGATGAAAATTGTTTTTTTTTCTTCTAGGTTTTAGGTTTAATGGTCCTTGAATTTTGGCCCGATTTACATTTTGGCCCCTCAATTTTCAAAATCGTTCTCGTGGTCTTTCAATTTTAGTTTCGTTATGACAAATGGTCATGCTGTCAATTTTGTTATCTTTTACATTAAATGCAGGGGCAAAATGGTCTTTTTGTATTATTTTTAATTTCCACCATCTGAATATTCCTTTCACATAAAAATAAATACTAAAAACTAAAACCTTATGAATATTCCTTTCACCATCTAAATATTTTTAATTTATCCCTGGAGTGAAGCAATTTCTGATATTGACCCCTAATAGTACACCATGCACATGCTTAAATTTAACAGAAAAAGTTAACAAAATTAACGGTAGAACCATTTGTCTTAACAAAACTGAAGTTGAAGGATCATGGGAATGATTTTGAAAATTGAGGAACCAAAATGCAAATCGGGTCAAAGTTCAGAGATCATTGAATCTAAAAACCCTTTTAAAAAATATATGCGATAGTCTAAACTATAAGCTAAAAGCCTTTTTTCACTCCATGTTGGCGTTTAATATATATTTTTTGAAGAGGAAACTATAATAATAAATAAAAATTTCATTTAAAAACCCTTAAATTTCGCTCTACAAAAGAAGGCAAATTAGGAATTCAGTGATGGTATTTTTTTCAGAAAATTGGGGTCGTGACGGTGTATGTTATTAAATAAATACATCACACAGTCTCTCTCCTTTTCTCTTACGGCAGTTGGGGGGACTTTGAAACCCTAGAAGAAGTGCAATCATCTAATTACAGACCTAAGGTACTCTCTCTCTTTCTCTCTCTCTCTCTCTGCGTTAAACCCTAATATTTCGTTACTCTTAAAACTACGAGGATCTCGATTCTCACCTTTATTTATCGTGCGAATATCTCTTGAACTAGGCTTTTGTACTAATGTTTGTTTCGTTTTGAAAGATGCAGTTTCTATTTATTTTTCGTTCCTGGTGTTTGGATTCTATCTGGGTTTGAGGTTCTCTTTCAATTAGTACTATAATTTTTAGATTCAGAAAAAAGTATTGAGTTTTCCATCTGTTTGCCTAGAAAATCGAAGATTTGTATATATTTCCATGTAGAGGTAGAGCTTGTGGTGAAATTATGTCCTTAGAATGCTGGAAAGCTGGTTTTTGGGAGTCGTGTTAATCAATTTGGCTGACTTGCTTTCAGTAGGACTGTTAGTGTTCTCGTCTTTATCACATTCATCTTTGAAATTGTTGCTGGTCGGCCTGAATTGATTTTTCTCTACTTAATAGTAGCTCAATACTTTTATAAGTTGTCTTATGTATTTGTATATGTGCAGGTTGTGGATGAGCAAAAAGCTGTTTTTTTGATGCCCTTTAGTTTGCGAATTGTTACGTAAGTTTCTGTTTTTGTATAAGGAAAATGATAGGTTCCATTTTGCCCTTACCGGCTCCTCCTTCTGATGGAGACCTTGGGCCTCTTCCAGAATCCCAAGTGACTGAACCTAATAACGATGAGAAACAATTGAATGAGGAGCAGAACAAAGCCAACTCCGTTGCAACACATACTAGGGCTATTGGTATCATTTATCCTCCTCAAGACATCAGAAATATTGTTGACAAAACTTCCCAATTCGTGGCAAAGAATGGACCGGAGTTTGAGAAAAGGATCATAGCTAATAATACTGGAAATGCAAAGTTCAGCTTTTTGATTTCCTCAGATCCCTACCATGCATATTATCAGCATCGATTGTCTGAGTTCCGTGCCCAGAATCAGTCTTCTGGACAGCAACCTTCTTTGCAGCTTGAAGATTCTGCAACACCTGAGTCAGCCCCACCAGCTCCAGCTGCAGATGGTGAAACAGGAGCACCAAAGCTGGATCCCTCTGCTCAGTTTAAATCGGTGCTTAAAGTTCCTGAACCACCAGAAAAACCCGAAGCTGAGCAGTATACTGTCCGGCTTCCTGAAGGGATTACTGGGGAAGAGTTGGATATTATAAAGCTCACAGCCCAGTTTGTAGCTCGAAATGGGAAATCATTTTTGTTAGGATTGACAAACAGGGAAACGAATAACCCCCAGTTCCATTTTTTAAAACCTAACCATAGTATGTTTACACTTTTCACTTCTCTGGCTGATGCTTACTCAAAGGTGTTGATGCCTCCGACGGGGTTGACAGAGAAGCTTAAGAAAAGTATTGCAGACATGACAACTGTGCTTGAACGGTGTGTGCATCGGCTGGAGTGGGAGCGTTCACAAGAGCAGGCAAGGCAGAAGGAAGAAGATGAGATTGAGCTGGAAAGGATGCAAATGGCTATGATTGATTGGCATGATTTTGTTGTGGTTGAATCAATAGACTTTGCAGATGATGAGGATGAGGATTTACCTCCTCCAATGACCCTTGAGGAGGTTATAAGGAGAAGCAAGGTCACAGATATGGAAGAAGATATTGTTGAGCCTGGTAAGGAGGTGGAAATGGAAATGGATGTAGAAGAGATGCAGCTTGTTGAAGAGGGCTTGAGGACAGCCAGAATTGAAGAGAATGGTGATGAAAAGAAGAATGAGAATAAGGTGACAGATGATCCAGATCCACCAATGAGAATTGTGAAGAACTGGAAGAGACCTGAAGACAGGATCCCTGCTGAAAGAGACCCAACAAAGTACGTCATTTCACCAATCACTGGAGAGCTTATCCCTATCAATGAGATGTCTGAACACATGAGGATTTCTCTCATTGATCCAAAATACAAAGAGCAAAAAGAACGGATGTTTGCCAAGATTCGAGAGACTACTCTCGCCCAGGATGATGAAATCTCAAGAAACATTGTGGGCCTTGCACGAACCCGTCCTGATATTTTTGGTACCACAGAGGAAGAAGTTTCTAACGCTGTCAAGGCTGAGATTGAAAAAAAGAAAGATGAGCAACCAAAGCAGGTCATATGGGATGGTCACACTGGAAGCATTGGCCGCACAGCAAATCAAGCCATGTCACAGAATATCAACGGAGAGGATCAGAATGATGTTCTTAACAATGATGCAAGGAATCTTCCTGGTCCTGCAGCTCCTCCTCCAAGACCTGGTGTGCCGTCTGTTCGCCCTCTACCCCCACCACCAGGTCTTGCCTTGAATCTACCTCGTGTTCCTCCAAATACAGCCCAGTATTCTGCTCCATCTAGCGGTGGCCTCCCTGTACCTCCACCAAGGCCATCAGTTGTCCAATATCAATCAGTTCGACCACCTGGACCTCCAATGCCCATGAGTTCAGGACAGCAATCCCTTTTGGTGAATCGGCCACCTCCTATGCCACCATCAATGTCTATGAATCCATCTGTACCACCTCCACCTGGTTCGCAGTTTACACCCATGCAAGTTCCCCGATCTTATATGCCTCTTCCTGTTCCTCCACCTACAATGCAAATGATGCCACCACCACCTTTGCCTCAGGGGATGCCCCCGCCACCACCACCTGAGGAAGCTCCTCCACCGCTTCCAGAAGAACCTGAGCCAAAGCGGCAGAAGCTTGACGATTCTATGCTTATTTCAGAAGATCAGTTTCTGGCACAGCATCCGGTATGGATTCCCTGCATATTCTTGTCTTTGCACTGTAAATTCTTTAGTAATTGAAATCTTATTGTATAATTATTATTGGTAGCCTGACAGAAATTATTCCTTTTTATTTATTATCTTTTTGGTTGCAGGGACCTGTTCGAATCACAGTATCTGTCCCCAATGTTGATGAAGGTAATCTGAAGGGACAACTTTTGGAGATTACGGTGCAGTCCTTATCTGAAACTGTTGGGAGTCTGAAAGAAAAAATTTCTGGGGAGATCCAGCTTCCTGCAAACAAACAGAAATTGAGTGGAAAGCCTGGTTTTCTCAAGGACAATATGTCGCTTGCGTATTATAATGTTGGAGCAGGAGAAGCACTTAGTCTTTCATTAAGAGAGCGTGGTGGAAGAAAGAGATGAGCAGATTATTTGACCAGGCTGATTAAGGTTCTTGCTGGAATTTTCGTGTTACCATGAGAATATTCAATATGTCATGTGGGACTTTTGCTATTCTACTTTCTTTGATGTTATATGGGAGATTATATGTTGGTTGTGTATTAATAGGATGATTTTTCTTGAACATATAATTGTTGTCTTTAAACTGATGGTAAGTGTCGTATCTACTACAGATTGGGTGCCTCGGCGAGTGTCTCTTAAGGACAATGGGAAGTAGATCAGTTCCTTTTGCTTAGCCAGCGCAAGTCATGCTTATATGTCTAATAACTGCTCCTTTTTGCAATGCAGTTTTTTCTCTGGAAAGTATGTGCCCATGGTCGTATTATGGTTTTCGTATCCCTAGAAGCATGCTTGGTGTCAAGTTATTTTCAGTGTTCACTTCCAATTTTTGTTGCTGAAAGATTTTTCTATTGGTGAATGTTGGTATTTTGGGTTTTTTGTTTTCTTTCTAGTATTTAATTTTATAGGGTGAAGCTATACTGCGCCTTTAGCAAAGGGTGCCACAGAAGCTTGTATTATTTGCACTCGTGTTTCATGAACCAGCCAATAGCAAGCAGTGGCTGGTAGAGTTGGTGTTTTCTAATGATGGTTGTTAACTACAGGATAGAGGCTTATAGCTACTTGTTGGGACTCATAAATGGTCTGTGCAACCAGTTAGATGTGTCTTCTTTAAGCATCTAAACCAGGTAAGATGCTATTTTATCTTTACCATTTTCATGTAGAATTCCTTGCCCTGTTTCCAACTCTGATGGCAATCCTTATGCATGCCATTTCTTTTTGCAGCATGGACTGGAACCACAGGGTTTGATTACCATGTTAAAGGAACAAGCAAGTTTTTATATCTTTGTATTTTCTCTAGGATTATTTGAGCAGGCAAGGGGTTACATAGCTTCCCTAAGGTTATGCTTGAGATTGGATTTGATATTAAAAGTTTACAGCTAGTATAGAAATGCAGAATGCCCTAATCTGTTGAAAAGAGTCGTCATTAACTGTTCAGTTATGGTAATTTGGTGCTGGCATCACAATACTGTAGAGAATTTGGTTGGCTGACGTACTAGTCCAAAATATTTGCTCAACACTGGCCTTCACTATGGGGTGTCAACATGGTCCATGCGTAATTGCAAGTCGACTCAGTATGTCGATCCAGAGTTGAAGACTCCAGTCCTGTTGTGCGGATATAAATTGTGTCTCTAGTACTTGTGCACACTAGGAATATGTATGTAGTAAAAGCCACTGTCAGCTGTTTCAGAAGGCATTGAGTTGCCTGTATAAAGTCTGCCTCATTTCCCAATATCACTTGGTTGTACTTGTTGAGAGCATCACTTATGCTGCCAATTGCCAATTAAGTTGTGTAGGCAACAATGTGGGTTGTTTTCATGCCTTAATTAGATGTTTCAAAGATGAGTCTCGCAAAAGCAAGAGTCCCTTTTGCTTTTGACATGCAATGCCGGATAGAAAGGTTCTGGAAAACTGTAACGCCCGTGTCTCAGGACAATGAAATGTTTGTCTGATCAAACCAAAACCACAATGCTTGACCTAGTTGCAACTTACAAGAATGAATGGTATATGCTCAGGACCTTGGTGGGGGCATGTCTGATCAGGACTCGAGTCCTGTATCAAACAGTTCCACTCCACCCCTGCGGATGGGGCTTGTTTATTCTAATATATATTGTACTGTTGTCCAATTGAATGAGTCTAGTCCGTATTACATGACACTGCCCGATTTTAATTAGAATAGTCCTGTGGTGCACGTAAATATTTGATATCTTCGGAAATATCGACGAATATTTCAGTATCGGTGTCTGTTGATGGAAATGTTCGAAGCATCATCGCCTTCAGTAGTTGGTTCTAAGTTAACCAGAGCGTCCAAGCAACCTTCCTTTTCATGTCACTTTGAGCAGCATCTCTCGTAGCTAGTTGTAATTTCGATTACAGTGGAATTTGGGTGCAAGGTGTGAGTGATGAATGAGTATGAGTACCAGTTAGGTGTTTTTGGGCAACAATGTGAGTGGTGGTTGCGTCAACAGGTATCAAGGAAAAGGTTGCAGACGTCAAGAAAAAGAAGAAACTGAATTGCAATGTAAGACTTGCGAAATATAGGAAAGCATGCTTTAAATTACAACTTTCACTCTTAAAGCTTATTTCCCAATTCTGATTTTCTTGATGAATGCCCTTCCTAGGAATTTTGATGCCCATCTCTTAAAGAGGCAATTTTGAAATGGAAAAAGACAATGACATTCTAATAAGTGAAATTGAAGAAATTTGATTCAATGAAAGGCGGCTTTTAAAAAATCCTTGAATTTTCGGAATAGGAAAACAGAGGGGATTTTTATTTTATTTTTAATTGTAAATAAACAAAAATGATAATAATAACATGAGTTATAACATCCATGGTTTTACCTTGGAAATTAATAGAACTTTTATTTTGAATACAAGCGAAAATCTAAATTACAATATGAGGGATTTCTTACACACACAACCAAGATGTCATGGTTCTAACACGAGACCTTGTTTTTTTCCTTTTCTTTTTCTTGGTTACAAAAGAGTCTAAAGAGAATGACAACTAGAATCTACCTTCATGTAATGGCCAATATGGGAGCAAGAAAGACAGTTTTGTTTCATCTTCTTTTATTCTTCAATAATTATATCCCATATTTAAAACCCACCAAAAGTAAATAAATACAAGAATAAATAAGAAAAAAAATGATTTTAAAAAAAAAGGCTATATAATATATACAAATTTATAAATAAACCCAATCCTAGACATGTATTTATAGAAAAACTCAAGCACTATTTAAACATAGAAACACACCCAAAATCAACGCCAAAGTCAACTTTTTGGGTGTGTTTATAAATGGATTTTGAATGTGTGTATTGATGGGTTTTGGGTGTGTTTATATGTTTAAATAATGCTTGAGTTTTTTTATAATTTAAGCCCCATTTTGGGTGTTTTAGTGAAACATATAAACACATTCAAGAAGTTTTTTTATAATATATTGAACTCCCTATATTATGGATGCCCATCAGTCATCAAGAAGTTCACAATCAATCCTCTGAAAATAAACCTTGTTTGCAGCAAGATCATAGGCAACATTATAAAATTGCTGAGCCATAATTCCAACAACATTCAAGTCATTGCCAACAGGAGACTCTTGCAAAGCCATACAAAGCTCATTCTGGCCATACTCTTGGAAAAGGCTCTCAATGTCCAAACCCAACTCAGCCCCATCTGCAAAGTTCAAGACAACATCTGGAAACCCAACAAGGTCCTGGCTTATAATCCCCTTGTAGCATAAAGCTGAAGGAATATCAGGCTCTTCTACTTTTTCCAACTTCCCATCCATCAACTTTTGCACTTCAGCTCTAAGCACATCATATGCACCTTTGGCTAGGAAGCTTAATGTTGTCCCAGAATCAATGACTGTTCCACCAGTGCCTGATGGTGTTCTTTTGAAAATTTCTGGATCAATTTCGAGCCTCCTTTCGGAGAGGCTGATGCCCTCTAAGGTCAAATAGTAGAGGTCATTGTAGACTTCAAGTGGAGTTGAAAGGCCTTCTATCTTTGCACCATCGCCTAAGATTAGTTGGTTATGAGGGTACTTAGGATCCTTCATGTTACCAATGCAATAAGAAAATTTTGACCCCAATTGGGTTGCCAAAGATATGTTTGAAGGTCCAAGACCAAGTATTCCACTAGGTTGGCCATTGTAACCATCATTGTCATGGGCACAACCAAAAACCACATTCGCGACAGGGCTAATGCCTTCGTCGGACGTGTCCAAGGTGACCTTTTCAGTCCCAAGAAGTCCGGCTACATCAGTGCCATCAAGGTACTTGTGAGAGAACTTGCAATTGTTTGAGGGGTCACATTTGTCACTAGGGGAAATGGTGCAATAGGGAGAGTTGCATTGTAATGTGGTGTATGTTGAGGACTTGGAAGGGTCAAAAATTGGAGAGGTTTGTTCAAAACACTTGGTGCAAGGAAGGCATTGAACCCACAATAAGTTGCTGCCTGTGTCTATGGTCAAGAGCTGTGGAACTAGTGGCTCACCGATTGAGAAACTTGCCATGAATTGTGCTCCATTGTCCTCAGCAACAAGCCCGGCACGAGTATCGTCTGTCACAAAAACATTAGACTTTGCTCCCAAGTATGCTAAGCGTGCCATGGAGGTTTTCAACGTATGCATAGCATGGTCTTTGATGGTTGCATTAGGGTTGTAGTAAGGAGACAAAGCCGAATCGCGATGAATGAGTTTTGTTGCAAAACTCCTTGGTCTTTCGATGGTGGAAGCTGTGGCGGTTAAGCATAACAAATTTAAGAAAATAACAAAATTAGTAAGCGAGAGCCTAACAGGTTTCGCAAACAGGGCTGCCATGGCTACTGCTTAAAAGAACACAGAATTGTTTAAGGCAGACGAAGCATGAGAGCTGTGCTTCTTTGTAACTATGCGAATGTAGAAATATACATATATGGAAATATCCTCCAGACTGTAGACTTGCCTTATATGCTTGCTCTTATCAAAAGCATCCTCCTAAGAAAATGACTATATGCAATAAAGGGAAAAATAACAAGATAATCTTGTGTGCAGGGTTCTTTAACGAGGCAATCTTTCCATTTAGTTTTCACACGCACAAGTCATGGCATTAGGTTTTCCATTAAGTTTTCGTCTTCCTTTTTAAGGTAGTCTCATAACTGCTATCTTATTCTTGTCCAAGACCATACAAAACTTAATGGAAATATGGTACATTTGTATCAGTAATGAAAACACAGCAGTAATGACTAATAAAAATTAGAAAACAATTAAAGCCATGTAAAATATGTGAAAGTTTGATTAAGGGTCATGGATTACCATTTAAAATATGGGTAATATATACAGTAGTGCTCAAGCGCTTATTAGTTAGTAAGTTTTGGGAGTGATTCTGGACTTCTGGGGAGAAGCACCTCGCATGCTTCTTCATATAATCACTTTTAATGATTCTAAGGCCTGTGCTTATCTATAAAATCACTTAAAACCACCTAAAGTGATTATATGGAAAAGTGATTTTCCATAAAAGTGATTATTGAGTTATTTCGGGCCCGTTTGGGATGCCTTTTTTTGGCCAAAAACCTACTTAACTTAAAAGTTAAGCAGCTGAAGGTGTTTGGTAAAAATAAAATATCCTGCTTATTTTAAAAGCAATGGTCTTTTGACAACAACTTTTAAAAGCAACCTTGGGGTTGCTTTTTAAATCTACTTTCAATTGAAGCAGCGAGCTCCCTTTATTGATTTTTTTGCAATTCCACAAATACCTTATTAGGTTAGAAATGTATCTCTCGTATTTCTCTCCAAGTGTGCAAACACCAACGTTTGGTATTTCCTGTAGCCTCCCAAGTTATCAATCTATTTGCTCAATCTCCTGTAGCCTTCCAAGTTTGCAAATGATTCGCTCAATCTCTTTTCAAAGGTAGATTATCAATCTCTTCAAAGCTATTGATTATAGTTTTCAAGGATATATGGATTCTTCAATCTCTCATGTATGATAGTTTTTAGGGATGGAATCCATATGGTCCAAAAGGTCCTTCAATGGCAGGGCGACCTTGCTTTCCTTCAACTCTAATTCTTCCAAGTTGAAACCTTTCTTACCCCTTGTTGGTTATATTTGGTCCTAGAAAATAAATGATATATTTTGTTCGAAAATTGAATTTTTATTTTTCTTTAAGCAAAGATTAATATAATTTTTAGGAAGAAAAGTATAACAACACTTTCAAGGTTTATTTTTCACAAAACATATTAGTAAAAAAAACACTTTCATCCTCATGTATATTTTAGCCATTATAAATAGTTACAGCACTTTTTCAAACGCTCTGCTCCTTACTTTACAACTAATTCTTTTTAAAACACAGCAGAAACAATTTTTTTTTAAACGACAGCAATCCCAAACTGGACCTTATTACTCCCAAACAATACGGTGCTAACCTCTTATTTGGGTCTACTCTACAAATAAACTCCTAACCATGGTTGGTATGTGTTTAATTATACTGTAATCTTGGTCATTGTGTGGTTGCATCTGGTCTGTAAATTCCCAAGGCAGCCAGGGCATAGAATCATTCAATGCTTACTTTAGTGTTTCCAACTCTTCTTCTCTCAAGACACAAGATAACGTACGGGAAAAAAAACATTAACTTTCCAATTCAATCATTATATGTTTCTAATTTTCTCTCTGAATTTCCACACATGCACAAAATAATTTTTAAAGCGTGAATTTCACGACTATTGTGTGTTGTATATTTGCCACTTGAGAGTTCAAACTTCATCTTTTACAAAGACTTAACCACAAAATGCAGTGAAAGAGTTCCCCGAAAAAGAAAAATTCTGTTCTAGAAATTTAACACTGATAGCGCAAAATGAAGGGTTTGTAGAGATCAACATATCCTCATACCCACGGAAGCAACACTAGCTTGTTAGCCTCCTGCCAGACTCCGGTCACCCTAACTGCTCTGCCACTTGCCCTTGCACTCAAGAAATGTGGTCGGGGGGAACGAACAATCAAGCCTCTATAATTTGGCAATTTACAACTTCGTCAGCTATACTGGAAATAAGTGGGAGGGAAAGGTCGAAAACGATCCAACCAAAGAATATGGAATCAAAAATATCTGGCTCAAATTGTTGTATAATTGGCAAAAAGGTGCAACAAGTTATTGAGAGTCTCAGGATGGAACTTCCTTGCAAACAAGTAACACGGCCGTTGTATACCATTCCATAAGCAAGGCCATTTCTGTACTACCCTCTGAAAAATGAAACAAAAAATGGGATTAAATTATAATGAGTTATTTCCAAGCCATCCAATATTCAAATTCCAGAAGCATGAATTAGCAGTCTTTTAGATGCATACCTTCTCATCACTGGTTACATGCACGCTCACATCAACTGACTGCAGAGACAAGACAACAAAAGTCTCCGTCAGAAATTAATTATGAACAATTTGTATTTGAATTGATACTACTCTCTATAGTATTATATATGTTGGAACTGATGGTGTAACATAGATTGCAATGGCACATCCAAAGCAACTATAATGAGACACTCCAACTGGTACATCCACCAGGTCATTTCAAGCCACCAATCAATTCAGGCCACATCTTCATTAAAAGGCCGAGTACTAAAAACTGAAATTCAAAAGCAAGAAGCATTTTCTTTTTTTTGGTTGGGTGGAGAGAGAGAAGTGAGGGGTGGTATTGATCAGATGACAATATTGGCTCAGTGCCAACCACCCAACCAACCAAATAAAAAAATTTCAGAGTTTTTAGAAGCAATATGCGAAGTTGCATTACGCAAACTTCCTAAGAAATTGCAGTCAGTGTCCAGCAGCACACATTCTCCACATAGGTACCTTACACAGACAGGTAGAAGAAATATTGCACAGCTGCATAATGCGAACTTCAAGAAATTGCAGTCAGTGTCTAGCAGCACATATCCAAACAAGATAAACATACATGCATGATGGGGCTCTTATTTATAAATACCACACACACACACACATATACATATAAAAGCTTATAGCAGAACTGTACCGTAATATTCTTCAGAAGGTCAGAAGTAATATCCTGACCCTTGTATAACTTTGGATGCCACTTTCTTTCAGACCAATCAACATGTGTTACAGACCAGTTTGCAATTCCACCAGGATCAATTATCTGAAAACAAGTGCAAAAGAAACTTCATTCAGACAGAGATGCTAAATACAAGGAAACACAGAAGAGGAAATTCTTAGAGAGGAGATTCTCACATTGAAAAAGGTAGGCAAGTAATGTTCATCAGCAATGCAATTGCGCCCGTCCAAACCCGGCTGTAATAACCAAGAACATCCACATCAAGAAATTGGGCTAGGGAACATAGGGTTTCATAGTTTTAAATATCACAAAAACCTATCAAATACTTGCATGTCAGCTGTATAGTGGCCCAAGCATGAGAAGGAGGAAAGGCATATGTTGAAATCGAGCACATGTTTTACATATCGACAATAAAATTTTGAGCCTTAAAAGAGCTTACGTCATCAGAAAAAACCAAATAAAGAGCAACCTAGAATTTAATTACACCTGTAATAGGAGAAAGCAAAGACGAAGGTATCGTACATGTAGATATGCTATATCTACTTGGTAAATAAATTAGAGGCAAAAACATATAACATATGAAACTATTAAGAACTACAAACAAGGCAGATGTAGAAATGAACACAAAAAAGAAAAAAAGAACTTGCCCTGCAGTAGTCCCGGAATTTCGAGTAGTAAAGACCGTCAGCCATTACTATCACAGCATGCTGACGCTTCATAGTGAACCACTGCATATAATTCAGAATATAAACTTAATTAAGGGAAGATACTTGAATTTCAAATATTTGAATACTAATACATCTCAAAAATCGATCCCTTTGTCACCACCAACCCCCTGGCCAAAAAAATGGGATCAAAATGAAAAATAATTCCCACATCTGGATAGTTAAACTGCACTACCTCTGACCTATGCACAACCTCACAGGCAAGAATCTATTACACAGCCAACAAGCCTTCAATTTTCTAACACCTTGGAATCAAGAATTACTTTTTGGGTGGTCATATTGCTCTACTGTCAAAATGTGTTGATATTACCTACTGGCAATGCATGTTCATAAGACCAATAAAATGGCCATCAAGAGATGGAGAACTCCATTTAGCAAATATCAAAATTCCCGAGATTAGAAAAACTACATTTGCAGCAACAACATAATGAAAAATACCTGTGCACCCTTTCTGAAGTCTTTCTTTTCAATTTCAGGTAACATGTGCTCAGAATACCTCCCATTTCCATGTGGACCAGGATCCTCAAAGCTGAAAAGAGAAAACAACATAAGATATAAAAATAAATATAAATAAAACCCTACTACGGAAGCAACTGTCATAACTGTACCTATTCATCAAAACAAAAATGCATTCGCAAAATGATGAGCTACCCACACATTTAAACTAAAACAGTAGCTCATAGAAGAGGATTTCACTTACCAGTCAACATAGCTTATATTTGTATTCATCAGATAGTCATAGATATGGTCAAATGTATACAGTGGCACACAACTGCATAACAGAAAGAATTAATAAGAAATTAATAATTGCAGAACTAATCAGAACTCAACAGAAAAAGGATGACTAAAGGTACCTAGAATTTGATCACCTTTCAGAAAGTAAGACAAAATGCTGGTTATCAGGATCTTCAAGAGCATTTACCAATAATCTTCTCTCTGCATCTACCATGGAAATTTTCCCCCAAATCACCTGAAAACATAATCAAATTGTCGATCTGATTAATCTACTTGATCACTAGTTAAACATGAAGACAATAAACCACCATCACCACTACTGATATAATGACTATGAGTATGATATAATATTAATCCAGCCAAAAAGGAATAAGAATTCTACCAACAATTTTAGTTGTAGTTATATTGGCTTCAAAAGTTTTGCTCTAAGTAGATCTGGTTTAAGAAAAGAAAACATGTGAAAGATATGTCACATTGTGTTATCCTCATTTTCTTCTACCTGTCTGTGTAACATCATCTACACAACTGTAACCCCTTCCATGATAGCCTGCTAGCTTAAAATTGTTCAAGATTTACATAGGTCAGAATAAAGAAACAATCAGACGTTTTCTACAATTTGAGTTATTGTGAAAGATTATGCTCAGCTTCATTAGGAGAGACTATTATACTGTATGGATTAAATAATCAATCACCCCCTCCACAACAAAATATTCCCCCGCCACCCACTTAATATCTGACATTAACAATTAACAATTAAGTGGCCGAACTGGCATGTTTTAACTCAATTAAATGAGATATAAGGCTGCCTGATACATACATCAATTAAGCAAGTAGGAGGTCTATGGTAATATATGAGATGGGATACATTGTTTTTAACATCTTCTACATGTTTGTTTGTTATTTACTAGCTTTAATATTCACTGTATATCATGTCCTTTGTTTCGTATGATGGAGGGTTTCATCAACTGTAACAAATTTTGTTTTTGTATAGCAGTAGACAAGGAGTTTGTTAATTCTCATTTCTATTTCAAATAACATTGAAAAGTATGAAACATTAATCTTGTAAAGTAATGCAATCCAATCATGAATGACTATGACAATAAAATCAGGTATACCGGGTCACTGCGTATCTCGCGATTAAAAAAGTAACGGCTCAAATGAATTGCCTTTTCTTTAGAAGCATGGACATAAACAGAGAACCTTCCTTCATGACCCTGCCAAATAAAAAATTGAAAGACTTAAGGTAAGCATATGAATTCATAATTACTTTAGCAGGCTTTATCAACACTGGAATACTGAGTGAGCAAGATCAGGAATTCTGTCCTTCGACATTTATTTCCACATATTACCATGGAAAAGCCCTAATTTGACATAAACAGATGTCTGTTGTATAACATCCTACTATAAAATCAGAGTCACTAATTTTTTTAATAAGAAAACAGCCACTGGAAAGGGCATCAAGGGACACGAAAATCCGTACATACAGATTGCACTAAAAACACCAAAAGTAACAGAGATCATCATATGTAACTTAACATTTTTCAAGCAGGTTACAACTCATAAGAAAGCTTAGCACCAACTCATCTCATCAGCCACAAAGACAACAAAAGTTCACAAATTGGATGCATGAGTGCCACTTTGGTATAGAACCTTGTTCAATGAATTATTGCCCTCATCCATATGAGAAGCTTCTCCTATTAGGCTTGTTATTTCGCTCCAAATACAATAAAAAATTTAGCATTAGTCAACCCTTATACTGTATTGTCAAACCTGAATATTTGATAGCTTGATGAAATTAAGCACACATGATGATTATTAGTCCAACATAGTGCTAAACTGTTGACCAGTAATCACAATATAAATCATGTATGAAAGACTCGCTTGTATGGGAACGCTCCAACTATCCTTGTGAAAGATTACCACAACATGAGTTAATCACTTCATATTCTTAATGTGCTAATTTGAAAGCATTGTCTGAAAAGTTAGATTTTGTTTGAATATGCTTAAACTAATTAAGCAGGACAGGCATATTAGGACAAAACTTCCAAGGAAACAAACAAAAAGGAGATTTTTTTTTCTTCTCGGGCCAATAAATCATAACAGATGAAACCTTACATGGAAAAACTTATCCCACAGCTTCTCAAAAGGCAATGCACTGGGTGTAAGGAACATGAAAGCAATTTTCGGATTCTTGGATTGAATAGGAGGTGCGCTCAAAATCTCTCTAATCACAACACGGGATGCAATCTCAGCATCAGTATATTCCCTTGCAGGAGCAGGTGGAAGCCAATCGGTAATAGCCTTGCAACCTCTCGAAGAAAATATGTAACAAGCGGCGCTGCTTTGAGGAGGGTAGAGAAAAGCACAAATCACAAAGATGCTGACCAAAGAAACCAAGACAATAATCCACAATGGCCTCTTCAGAGGTGGGCGATGGCGAGCCCCGGGCACGGTCTGCATGTCACCCATGCCTAGTCGCCACTGACCCGTCTTCATCTAGAATAAATGCATCACAATTTCATCACCTAATGATCTCATTCCTGTCTATTGTCCCCATCCACCATTGTACTATTTGATATGGATTTAGTATTGACAGTCTAGCAGAGAACCTTCAATTGATTGGTGTGGAGATTTCTGCAATCTGCAAGTAAAATAATAAGCAGACTAATTCATACAAATTTATTCTGAAAATAAACAGGATATCCTAAGCAGGTACAAGACTGTCGACAAGTTGGTAATACCATTCCTAATAAGAAAAATATGCCTAGATCACTACTAATCCTAATAGTAAACAGTAACAGGTACAGCAAGCATGACATATGGACATAAAAATCATTAGAAAGAATGTCGGATTAACTCAGTCCCAAAAAAAAATGTTAGATTAACACTCTCATGTATGAGAATGCTAATATGCCTCACACAGAAACGCAATGCAACCTTTCAAAAAGTAAGCGGCATCAGAAATCAAATCAAATTGATAATAATCAAGCAATTAATTCCAAAGGTAATTGTTATTGCTTAGAATCGTTTGCCGAAATTGCATTTGAAAAGAAATCCTAGTCTTCAGATGGGTCGTACTGTACGGTTTACAAATTACTAAAACAAAACTTCAACTCTTTGTTTCTCTTCCCTTTCTTCTGCTTACCTTTTGTCAGCAACCGAACGTAAGGTCCAGAAAAAGATCGGAATTTGATAAGCGAACCTTATTTTCAGAATTCAAAGCTCAGAACCAGCCCAACAACTAAAACCAAACGCCTGAATATGTATGTAGGTATAAAAAAATTAAAAAAACAAATAGCCAACGATCGTAGTAAAGAAAAGTCAAACCAACACACAGATTCCAATCTAAACCCGAAAATTAAAACCCAACTGCAAGACGCAAGCTCTACTGCCTCTTTAGTCAACTCAACCACTCACAACCCCCAAAATTTTCCACCATTTCCTTCTGCCCCGTTTGGTTTCCAAGAAACCAAGCAAAAGCCGAACAACCACTTCCCAATAACGTAGCTACACCAACAAAACGAAAATTCAAAAGCAAAGTCTTATCTCACTCTCACTCTGAAAACTTGGAAAGCATGGAAAGAGGTACCTGATGCAATGAGCTGAAAGGAGCTTCGAATCAAGAATTGAAGATCTGGAATCTGAAACTTCTTCTGCGTAGTGAGTTATCGTTGACTCTCTCTCTCAAGATCTAGGGCATACACACAAGAAGGAGCAGAGAAGACGACCAACAGTCTGGCCTCGCAGAGAGAGAGAGAGCTGGATGAGTAGAAAAATGGAAATGAAAAGAATTAAAATTGGAAAAAAATTAAAATCGATTTTAAATGGGATGTGTTTGATTTTGTGATTTTTTGATTCCTTAAAGACGATTCTTTTGTGTGTCTCCTTCCCAAAATTCTCTCTCTCTCTGTAGTCGAAACAGTCGTTTGCCTTTCTTCCAAACACAAACACAGCCGGCGATTTATTCTCCTTTTTTTATTTTTGCGCTGATTATTATATTTTTAATTTGGACTGCTGCCTACCCTTCCTCGCAATCATGGCGCGTGTTTCTATTCACTCTTTTCCCACTAAAAATGTCACTGTTTTTCCCTTTTTACTATTGTTTATAAATTTAAAAGAAAGTGAAAATTTAGGGCCTGTTTGGGAGTGCTTTTGGAATGGCAAAAAGCGCTTTCTAATACCTAAAAGCGCTTTTGACAGCGTTTAGCAGAAAAGTTTAGAAGTGCTTATGGGTCATAGAAACGCTTTCTGGAGAAGCACATGCTATGTGCTTCTTCAGGAAGCACTCCCCAGTGCTTTTCCACGAAGCACTTTAATTTTTTATGAAAATTCTAAAATTTTATAATAAAAGCGCTTTTGTTAGAAGCACTTATGAGCAGAAGCACTTCCTAGAGAAGCAGTCTCAAATGAGCCCTTAGTTGTTCCTCCTAAATTAGTTTCGTATTGCTCTCTGACTCCGTTTGGTTCACGGAATAAATTTGGGGAAAAATCATTTTTCATGTCATTTTTCAAGGAATTGGAAATTGAATATTTGATAGGACCCGACCCAAATTCCACTTTGGAATCCGAGCTGAACCCTGTTCGTGATCGACACATGGCGGGTGCCGAGCACAATTGACTTGGTTGCCCTTTTTCTGATTAGAAACTTAATTCCCTTAAATCCTGACTTCTACCGAAAATTCGGCAGAGTCTCCCCTATAAATCAAACGTTCCCAAAATTTACACCTGTCAACAAGCACTTAAATATATACACCAACTGCCAGTATACAAAAATAAGTAAGTTCCAACAATTAAATATGTTCCAGGGCAATGTCAGAGCAACTATACAGATTTATTTACAAAGGAGGTAACCACTTGTGAAGCAAGGAACCCTACATCAAAACGGGGAAGAGCGGGAAGCGGGAAATGCCCGGTTGTGGCTCTCGGATGCACGTCTACAGCCTGGGGGCGCAAAACATTAAAAAGGTGAGTGGACCCAAAACCAAAGTTTAGAAAATACATATGAACATACTAACCCCACTGTAAAAGCAATTATAAAAACTAAATCATTCTCTTCTGTATATACGTACTGAAACCAATGCACTCATATATACATATATAAATATGTCAATCATGTTCATGGTCAACATCAATCTCTTAAAAGCATTGAAATCAGTTTAAAACTACCACTTAGGTGTACCTCTTTGTTTCCGTCAATTCCTGTTATCCATTAATTCCCCTCGCATCACCATTAGTGACACGTCCTCACAGGTCTCGGTGACACAAAGTCAATCAGAGCTGCAACCTCGCAGGATTCAGGGGACCTTGGTCAACCTGATCCGCGTCCTCGCTCCACACGAGTCCGGGTACCATAGAACTCGTGGGGCAGTTGTCAAGCATGCTGACTAAACCGAAGACAACTTGATAAAATCCGAAGGCAACCTGGATGTCCGTGGACATCATCATATCCGAAGGAAACATCTGTATATCTGGGTACCTCAGGTGGCTTAGAAAATAACAATAACAATAATAATAAGCAAAGTTTTGAAAGATCTGGTAAATAACTGAATTTCTGTTAAGGCTAGACTCTGCTGCCATTTATCTGATGTTTATCTAAAATTCTCTTTCTCTATATCCCTAAAGGATATTCCACTCGGCAGCATGCAAATCATAATATTTAAAAGCATGTCTCACTAATAAAACACTAGTCTTTGAATAAAACTTATTCAAGATCAAATACTGAAACTAAATTGCATAAATTCATTTATGAAAACAAAAGTCCACTCACGGTTGGTCCGAGCTCACTGGACCTTTGGAAGGTCCCTCCTGCGGGTCAACTGGTGCCCGAGTGCCTGATTCAAATACCATAATAAAATATGAGTAATGCTACACTTACCACATTTTTATCCCACATTTCTATACCACATGATGTGGCATGTCTATTTTATATGTCACATCAATTAAATCAATGAAGTGCATTTTAATTAAGTCAATTAGAAAAATAAATACTGGAATAAACCATAAAAGAAAAGAAAATATTAAATCATTTTAATTGATGTGGCTATCCACCTCAGCTGCCACATAAGGTGGTATGAGAATGTGGTATACAAATGTGGTAAGAGTAGCATTATTCATAAAATATATTAATAAAACTGCTCGATATAAATATTTAAATAAAACCCTAACCCCCGGCTTCTAGAAGTGCGTGCATCAATTTAAAGTTATTCATATGCCCACATTACGTTCCTTTAATCCTAGGACATTCGTCCCGTGAATCTGGTTTCGATCGGACGATTAGATTCGTCACGATTGACGATTCTAAACCCTTTACCCTAGGGTTTGCGATTTCGGAGTATCCGAGACTCCGATTCACGATCCGTCAAATCCTACACAATCCTGGTAAGGTCTAGATTAACATATCTGAAAGTGATCACGACCCAACGGTTCGAAACTATTGAACCCGGATAACACACACAATGTAAAAGTCCGCTTAACACTCAAACGACGTCCGAATTGAGATCCGCGAATTTCTACACGCTCGTGAGAATACGAGGATCATTCTGAAACTGAGAGTGGTCCCCTCCAGACTGCCCACGCGCTGACAGCTTGGGTGGCTTGAGAAATTTCCGGTGGCCGGAAAAACTCCAAACCGCCGGCCCAAACTCCTAACTTAGGTAAAACACCCAATTTGGAACCACTTTTGTTCTTGGACCTACCCCAAAAAGTGATCGGAAGTGGCCGGAATTACACTCTCAAAACCGGCTGAAACTTAAGTTGAGAATTGAACGATCTACGCTTGAAATTTCTAAATTCCTACCCAAGCAGGAGCTAAGTCACAAAAAATAGGTAGGAATGCATACCTTGATCGCCCGATTTGGTAGCCGGACGACGGAGATTGAAGGTTGTGAAAATCGATTGAAACCGGCGGGTTTTTCTCCAGTTTCCGATGAGCTCCGAGGTCGGCGACGACTGAGGCTGGTCGGGAAGTGATGGGGGAAGGCTGACGGTTTGAACGGATCCGGTCTTGTGGCCGGTGGTTCACGGTGGCGGTAGTTATGGAGGAGAGAAGGTGGCGGGTTGAAACAGGGGGGGCTGTGTCGCGAGGAAGAAGAGTGAGGCAGGAGAGAGAAAGTCGGTGGTTAAAAAAAATCCTGATCTCCAAAATTACCATTTTGCCCCTGGAAGTATTTTGACCGTATTTTCTTCGTTATAAGTCCAAATCGAGCCCACTACGTGTCTACGGACTCGTTTCGTCGCGCTCTACGCAACGATGCAAACAAAATTTCCAAACTCATCTCCGGTCAAAAAGTCAACTTCTCAATTACTAAAATAGTCTAAGGGCAAAAGTGTCATTTTTTCCTTAATAAACTAATAGTTAAATATTAATTTAGTTTTGGGTTATTACAATATTTCTTTCCCACATGCTGGGAAAGTAACCTAGAGATATCACTTTATTTCATTTTCCATATTTGTTTTGAGTAAGAATAGAAAACAAATTTTGTATAAATTTTCAATTCTATCCATATTAAATCAAATAAAAAAAGAATGCATTTAATGATATATTGTAATTCTAAATTGTTAATTGGGACAAATTGGTCATAAAAAATGTTTATTTAATATTGGCTCATTTTCCCAAACTTTCCAATGATGAGGGAAAACAAAACCCAAGTTTGGAGAATAAGAGCATCCACAATGGGCTCCCTAAACCACCTCCTTAGACAAATTTTAGGGAGGAATCGTAAAAATGCATCTCCAACCACGCTCCCTATCCACCTCCTAAAATATGGAGTCCTCTAGGAGCTCCTAAATCTGAGGAGAGAGAAAGGACCCCTAGTGGCTCCCTATAATTTAATGCTGCTTTATTTAATAAGTATTTCAAACCTTTATTTAATGCTAACTATTTTTTATTTTATTTTTTAATAGAGATTGACCAATCAAAAAAGAGTTATAGTATTTATGACTCTTCAAATTAGGGAGTGTGGTTGGAGTTGAAATTTTTTAGAGAGCTCCTAAAATAGCTTTCTTATATTCTTAGCCAAATTTTAGCTAAGAAATAGAGAGCATCATTGTGGATGCTCTAACTTCACTTTCCCCCTACTTTCACATGGGCCACGCAACGATTTCCCATATATGGACTTACCAAATATGGGAAAGTAATTGATTTCCCATTTCCAAGTCTCCTTTCCCATGAACCAAACGGGACATCTAAGTTTTTCATGCACTTCCAAATTTCCTATTGTTCCCCTTTACTATTAATTTCATTTACCATCCGTTTGGATGGAGGGAAATAACTCGGGATTCAACTAAAAGTCAATAATTAAATAGGAGAAATTGATATTTTCATTGTTTGTCAACTTATGCATGGAACTTATTTCAAAGGACCCACTAGTGTTGTGGTTTGGAGCAACTGCTCTCCAGCCAGAAAAGGTCATAAGTTCAAGTCATAACATTTCGTGGAGTGTGTGTGAGTTTAGTATGCTATCGCCCCTCTCAATAGAAAATGTCTTTAAAAAAAAAGCATGAAACTTATTAAATGACATGCAGAAAAAATCGTGAAAATTGAGAATCAAGATTTATGAGTTTAATTTCTGCTAAAAAAGGCCTCATTTCGCAATTTCTATTAAGTATGAAATCGTTTTTATTGTAATTTATGTCATTTACAAAATTCGACATTCATATATCCAAACATTAAAATTATTAATTGCCATAACTTTAAATGAGTGAGACCTAAATTCCGTCATTTAAGAATTCAATGTAATTTTCAATTCCTTCATCAAAACGGAAGTGCAAGTTAGATTGGAAATTCAAATTACGGCCAATTTGGATTCGAAAATTTTCAATTTTGACAAGTTCAAATCAATTTCAACATCTAAAAGTTTTAAGGGTGTAAATTGGATTGAATAATTTTGAAATGTTCCACACACAAAACAAAAAATACAAAAAATTCAAGTTCCGAAATTTCCCTAACAATTATGAGTTTTTCGAATAACATTTTTTGAAACATAATTGGAGGATAATTTTTATTCCAAAAAAATTTGAATTAGAATTGAAATCCCCTGATTTCGATCCAATCCTTCCGAAAATTAAGCCTAACTTCATCCAATTTATTATTAAATATTGTCACAGTGAAATGTAATTAGTTAGGAAAAATAAATACATTTAAATTACAACACATTCATTATTATCATTATCATTTTTTTTTATAAAACTAATTATTGTCACGTTGTAATATCCATGTGATAAGGGCTAGTTTTCAACTACCAACAAGTTGATATAATAGACCAAAAAAGTAACAGGTTTGAAACTCTATGACATTATTTGTGTGTGTAAGAGAAATTCTCATTCTCTCTAGTTTAGACTATCACATGTACTAAAAAATATACCAAAAAAGTTGTTTGGGCTTTGGCCCCTTCCTTACCAAACAAAAATAGACCAAAAAAGTAGATTTATAGGATGAATTATTTATGCTACTTAATGGAGTTATTATTAACACTACATATAGTCATTCTATGCTAATAACATTTGACCTACTCATAACTTTTTACTCCTAAATTTGGTTAACAGCAAACAGATTTTGCCAGAAGGACCAAAGTTGCATGCAATTCAATATTAAAGGGCTATATAGAGTTCAAAAACTTAATTTAGAGAGCAATTATTAATATAAGCAAAACATTATCAGAAATGGAAAAGGCAGGAAAGCCCTGAAAACGCGTGAGCTACACATGAGGTAGGCGCGTAGAAGTAGCGTTACAGAGTGCCAGGCCTGCTTGTGGCGTAGATACGGCGTATATACGGTTTTACCGTATCATCAGACCATTGACTGCTAAAAGAAACAAGATGACTATTATACCCTCTGCTGGCCGGGTGGGGGGCACAGGTCAAGTTGTGGTCAATTTGTCATTTCTGGAGTGCGCGCAGGTTACCGAGAAGCACGTAAAGGAGGAAGGCTAAAAAAATCAAGAAGTGGAAATGACATGGCATGTTGCCATAAATTACCAAAACGCCCATTTAGCTTCTTCTTGAGCTTGTCCCAAATGTGCACGAAATCACAAATGTCAATTCGATGATCATTTGCCGTGAAGAAATATTTTTATGCTTAATCATCTGATTTGCCATCTTTGATTTTTTATATATAATTATAATCATTTTCTATATTAATTATTTCTGAATATAAAAATAGAGGTAGAATTACCCTTGAATGATGGTAAAAGATGTTTTTACCTTTATTTATTTATTTATAAATTAGAGGCTTATGGGTAGTATGAATAGACGTTTAATTAATGAAAAGTCAAGGTGGTGGGGTGGCTTTGTTGCATAATTAATTCAAATGGATAGTAATTCATTTATTGATTCAGTTCGAACTAAATTGGAGGCGAGTCTGAGTTATATATTGGATTGGATGGTTGTCTAATATCAACATTTATAAGTTTTTAACTTTTTAAAATTAAGAAAGGAGTGTCATGGTCGTTTGAACATATGAGATCATTGGTCTGCAAATTAAGATCATTTTTTACTAAATTAAATCCATTTAACATAAATTCACTATATAACAATAATACATGTGTAATTTAATTGAAATAGTTCAGTTTAGCCCGAGTCACTAAACCCGGCCGGATATTACAAGTTAGAAGGCTTGATGCGGCAATTTTGTAATGGATAATTTGGGTGTACATTGGATTGGATCCATAGAGCATATGGGTTATTAATATACAAATTTATAAATAAACCCAATCCTAGACATGTATTTATAAAAAAACCCAAGCACTATTTAAACATAGAAACACACCCAAAATCAACCCCAAAGTCAACTTTTTGGGTGTGTTTATAAATGTGTTTTGAGTGTGTGTAATGATGGATTTTGGGTGTGTTTATATGTTTAAATAGTGCTGGGGTTTTTTTATAATTTCAACCCCCATTTTGGGTGTTTTAGTGAAACTCCCTTATTAATAATAATAAGGCAGCCACGTTGGTTCACGTGAAAGGTGAGCTGTTGACCAGGTGAACCCACAACAGCATAATCATTTTTGGGACTTATGGCCGCTGCCTGCTGCTGTGTTTGTGTTGCTCATGGAATGGTCTCTCTGCCTGGCACTGCCACTCGCAGCACAGGAGGCAATAGCCAATTACATTTTTTTTTTAATACATTAAATCTTCAATCAATTTTATCAATTTGTCATCTTCTTCTTCTTCTTCCGTTTCTGAACAAGTAATGTAATTTTAATTTTGTTATGATTATTGTTGGGGTTTTCGTCCATTACTAGTCAAATCTCCAATTTTTGTGAGTTTAGGCCAGGGGAGCGCGGTCATTATATACCTTGTTGGCCTAATATCATTTCATGCGGCACACTGCACACGTGTAAATGTCTCGTTTGACGAAATTTGATGATTCAAATAAGATTTGTAAAGGATATAGATCACAATGGTATTCTTAAGGAAATCACATTAATTTTGTGACATATGGAGTAAAACATATGAATCATTTGTAATTTGGAACATTTTCTTTTTTCTTTCCTAAGATAAGGTGTTCTAAGCAAAAGCGAGGATGAATTTGTTTCATTTCGTAGACCCTTTTAGAATTTTCTTTTTCAAGTGCTCTAGTTTCTCAAATATTACCTATTTACGACTTACTTATTTCACATATTTTTGCGGGTTTTAAAATTTTTTCAAGTTCCATAAAATTGAGTGACTTTTAATATATTATCTCGATGAATATTATTTAGGGAGTTTCACTAAAACACCCAAAATGGGGGCTGAAATTATAAAAAAACCCAACACCCAAAGCACTTTATAAACACACTCAAAACTCATCATTACACACACTCAAAACCCATTTATAAACACACCCAAAAAATATACAATTGTTGATTTTGGGTGTGTTTCTATGTTTAAATAGTGCTTGGGTTTTTTTATAAATACATGTCTAGAATTGGGTTTATTTATAAATTTGTATATTATTTATTCATGTGTTGGTAATAAGAATGAAAAAGTTGATCAAACTACTAAAGTCTTAAGGTTATGTTTGGTGGGCTGGATTGAATGAGATATTTTTAATTAAAATGGACATGGATCCTGACCATTGTTTGGTGGGCTTAAATGTGTCTCAGACTGTATATGGGCCTTCGGATCCAAGTCCCAAATAACTAGGGATATGAAACCCAACGCGAGACGTGGTTTCAAATAAAGAAAGGGGTGTCATCATTTCTTTTAGCCTCAGCCTCTATCGTCATCGTCTCTTTTATACTTGCCCCGAAATATCCCCCGTTAGGGCTTGGGACCCAACCTGACGAGGATTTCTTCCATCACTCCCACGGCTAAGTTCTATCAAATTGTCATTTATCAACAAAAAACTTTATAATCCCATCTCTTTCAAGTCCCTAAAAAAAACCCACCATACACGTAGGAGCCAATCAGTGTTCTAATCTGTTCAGATTTATTTTTACACCACCAAACCCAACACATGTGCTTAAAGCCTAGTTTTCATAAATGAGAATCCAATCCTTTAGACTCTAGATATGTCCAAACTCTTAATCAATTAAACTCACGTTAGACATTGTAGCTATTGATATCTATATATACTGCATCACCCATTAAAGTAGGCACCTAGTAAAAATTGCAACAAAGCTTCAAACTAAAAAAAGAATGGTGAAACTTGCTTCTCTCTCAACCCATTTCCTTCCCACCCGAAGGGGCTTGCCATCTGGAACTACCACCCGGACTTTGCATGTGCTCTTATTTCTGCAGTCCACTGCAGGCAGCGAAGCCATCCAAGAGATCGTGCACCGAAGCCATCCAAAAGATCATGCACGGCGGGGCTAGGTTTGTGCACCTAAGAGTGCAACACTGACTATTGTAACGCAAAATGTGCTAGTCAATATAATGATGGGGTTGGTATTTGTGATCATATTGTTGGACCCCCAGTGTGTATGCGCAACTATGAATGCGATTGACTCATGGTAGCTCCAATTTGTGAAGCCATCCATCCATCCATGTTGGAAAATATATAAATATAATGTGAGATGTGTGGGCAAATTGTGAGATGTGTTTGAAAGAAACAAAATTCTAAGAGGGCCTTCTAATGTTATATTATCAATAGTGACTAATTAAATGAAAGTTGATCATTTAAGAAGATATATAAAATAATAAGCTACCTGTTTTTTTTTATAAAAAAATTACTCCAGGTTAGGTTTTGGATATAAGATTAAGTGCCCGTTTGACATTGTTTATTTGGGCTGATAAGTGTTATTTAAAAAATTTTGGGAATCCCACCATGTTTGGTAAACTATGAGAAAATCACTTATTGCTACAAATTGCTGTGAGATAAAGTTATAAGGGAAAACAGCTAATGAGGTGCTTTCATTTTCTAATTATGCGGGAATCAGTTTCGAAGATGCATTGAGTTTAATGATTATGCGAGAATCATTTTCTCATTATGTTAGAATCAGTACCAACAACACTTTTAATAAAAAGTTTACCAAATACGCTCATAAATGATTTCTCTCACAACAAATCTAACAATGATCATTTTCATAGCACATCAATGTCAAATTGGCCCTAAATGCACTCATTCTTAAACTAACAGATTTTCTCCTATATGGACATATGAACATTATTATTGTGCGGACACCATGTATTTTCCACTATCCCTCCTTGTTTTCCTCCCTATTTATAATGATGTACGCACAGTAATAACGTGCAGACGTCTGAATGAGAGAAAAACTGCTTAAACCAAATTCTTTTTTCCTTCAACATTTATTTAACTGATGATGCTAAAAGCATGTATAGTGGTGAGGCAAGGGATTAGGAGTTTGGCCTCCTAATCAAATCTAGCCTCTCAAATTATTAGATTTTTGGGTTTTTATGTGAGAGGCTAGGGGTTAAAAGCCAAATTTTATTATTTATTATATAATTTTTGTAGCAATGGAGAGAATTTAAAATGTGAGAAGTGATGGAACAAATTAAAATTCCATGGAGCCTGGGTTCCGAATGGCCTAGGCCAAAATTCCCCATTAGAATTATTTTTTGTGTTTGGATTTGGAAGAATTAGAAAAACAAAAAAAAAAAAAAAAAAAAAAAAAAAAAAAAAAAAACATTAAGGTCTATTTTTGTGCAAATGAGTTGCACAAGGATCTGAATCATGATTACAAGCAATCACAACCCCTTAGGCCTTCTCCAACCCATTTCCTTATAAGTAAATTTAGGTTTTAGTCACACAAAAAACTTTCACTTTTAGAAAAAGCTAAAACTTAATTTTTTTTATTTTTATTTTTAAAAAAAACCCCTCAACTTTTAAACCAAAGACATGCAAATGTAAAGGATTCCTTAAGAAATCCAAAAATAAATAAGGGCATTTTTGTTAATTTTGGCTTCTTTAAAAAATATTTCTCTCTCATCTGGCCTTTTCCAAAATGTCCCTTAATTATAAATCCAACTTTTCCTCCTCCAAAAAGTAACTATTTAGATTTTGTTCGGACTCAAACCCTTTTTCCCCCCAACCATTTAGACTCAAATTTTAAGTCCGCAATTTTATTAAATTACTTAAGAATAGTTGAAGTCTAATTTTTTTTTAATGGATAATTTTTCTTCATTTAATCTTTTTAAATAACTTCATAATTTAATTTTTTGAACAATTTGACCCAAAAAAATTGAAATTTAAGGAATATAATTTTATTTGAGAAATAGGTGGGTATTTATAGAGTTTGGAGTGAGTTTTGAGGTTGGATATGATTTAGATTAATTTAAAGTATTATTTTAACCATTGAATTTAAATTTCAGCCGTTGGATCTTTTTTTTTAACCATTAAAATAGGTTGGATTTCATATGGATCGTTGACTTGGATTATTGTTGGAATAAAAAAAAGAAAAAAAAGTGTTGCGACACCATCGCGTGACACTTGGAGCTCGACATTTTTTGCAGCACCAACAACATGACACATGACGCCCCATTGATTCCTCCTTACACATGGGCTATGTTAGCCTTAAGTGGGTTCCACCAAAAAGTTTTCCAGTCTAGGCAATAGCTGGTATTTGGCCTCAAGTTTGGGTTTTCCCAAATTTTAATCCCTTACTTTTCTTAGGTTGAGAGAGAAATTGAGCTAAAATTTGGAATATTTTGAGTTTGGCCTCATGGGTTGGAGATGACTTTATTATCGAGTCTGGGCCTCATTCTTGAAAAATCAAGAGCTAATACTGAAGCTTATTACAGCAGTTAAAACTACAAGGATGGTTGTGTACATTTATCAAGTGTAAGAGATAATTTTCATCTCCACTTTTGGTAAATCTTTTGTGTGTTTTTGTTCATACTTTCTGCTAAAATTCAAACAAAACCTTCACTTAAGCCCAAATGGCCGAAGAGAAGCGATCAGAAATAGCCCATTTAACATAAGCCCCAAAAAAATAAAATAAAAAAAACCAATCAAACCCTACCTTCCACGTTTACACTATAAAAAACAACACAAAACCCTAACTGCCCCTTCAGTCCAGAGTTCGTATATCCCACCTCCCCTTCCCTTCGTTTCCTGAGAGCACAAATGGCCGCCGCCGCCGCAGCTGCGCGTCCCCTGGTCACAGTCCAGTCCTTGGAAGGCGACATGGCCACGGACCAGACCCAAACCGTTGCCCTACCCGACGTCATGAAGGCCTCGATCCGGCCCGACATCGTCACCTTCGTCCACTCCAATATTTCGAAGAACTCCCGCCAGCCCTATGCCGTCTCCAAGAAGGCCGGCCACCAGACCTCAGCCGAGTCCTGGGGTACGGGCCGAGCCGTCTCCCGTATCCCTCGTGTCCCCGGAGGCGGGACCCACCGGGCCGGCCAGGGAGCTTTCGGCAATATGTGTCGAGGTGGCCGCATGTTCGCGCCCACCAAGATCTGGCGCCGCTGGCACCGGAAGATCAACGTCAACCAAAAGCGGTACGCCGTCGTTTCGGCGATCGCCGCCTCGGCGGTGCCGTCTCTTGTTTTGGCCCGCGGGCACAAGATTGAGACTGTTCCTGAATTGCCTCTGGTTGTTAGCGACTCCATTGAAGGTGTTGAGAAGACCTCCGCAGCTTTGAAGGTTTTGAAGCAGATCGGGGCTTACTCCGATGCCGAGAAGGCGAAAGACAGCCACTCGATCCGACCTGGAAAGGGTAAGATGAGGAACAGGCGGTATATTAACCGAAAGGGGCCGTTGATTGTGTACGGGACTGAGGGAGCCAAGCTCGTGAAGGCGTTTAGGAACATTCCTGGTATTGATATCATCAATGTGGAGAGGCTTAATCTGTTGAAGCTTGCTCCCGGTGGGCATTTGGGTCGGTTTGTCGTCTGGACCAAGTCGGCTTTCGAGAAATTGGATTCGATCTATGGCTCTTTTGATAAGGTTTCTGAGAAGAAGAATGGGTATGTGTTGCCGAGGTCGAAGATGGTGAATGCTGATTTGGCGAGGATTATTAACTCCGATGAGGTTCAGAGTGTTGTTAGGCCGATCAAGAAGGAAGTGAAGAGGGCTCCATTGAAAAAGAATCCTCTGAAGAATCTGAATACCCTGCTTAAGTTGAATCCTTATGCAAAGACAGCTAGGAGAATGTCTTTGTTGGCCGAGGCGGAGAGGGTCAAGGCTAAGAAGGAGAAGCTTGACAAGAAGAGGAAGCCCATTTCTAAGGTAATCAAATCACCCCAACTTCTGAGATTATATGTTTCTGTTTGTGGTCAATTGCTCCTGTTGATTATTTACATGTTGGTTAAGATTGTTCGATTGGGAATATGTTTTTGTTGTAGAAAATTTGGGGTTTTCATTTTTAATTGGTGTTGTATTTCTACTAGTGCTATGAATCAAAGCTTGATTGTTGTATGCTTAATTGCACTATTGTTTTGATTCCAAAATTTGAATTGTTTGAATGCACGTGTTAGTCTCTGTAAGTGCATCTTTAATACTTTTGTTTTTTTAGTTGCGTTATCATACTAAGGTTAGGGAATGCATGTTGCTTTATACATGTTATATATGTAATTTTATGTTCAATTGCTTTTGATTATAAGGCAGATAATTTTCGTGATTGATTGTATCGATGTGGAGTCTGTTTTGGAGTATGATTGACATATTCATAAATCAGTCCTGATTCTTAATAGAATGCTGCCTTCATGTTATCGAGCCAGATATCCACTCACGGTCGTCGTTTTTTATGTGGAGGAATTTCTTTAGTACTGTTCTTAATCTTTTGCACTGTGTTATGTGATCTGGGCTTGTGTAATAATGTATTTCTTTGTTGTCTATTTCTCTTTATCCAGGAGGAAGCTTCAACCATCAAGGCCGCTGGCAAGGCATGGTACCAAACGATGATCTCAGACAGTGACTACACAGAGTTTGACAACTTCACAAAGTGGCTTGGAGTATCCCAGTAATTTACTTCTTTAAAATTCTAAAGACGTTTTCGTAGTCTATTTTGCTTTTTTTTTGGTTTACCAATGTCTTTTGTTTCCTTGAGTTGGGGATGAGGAGGAAAATTGATGTAGCAAGAGAGAATATTATGATGTGTTTTTCCTGCTGGGTTTTGTCTGGTAGACTATTTTTGTCATTCGTAACTGGAATTATATTAGTTTAGCTTGTCAATTTTGTTCCATGACAATGTCTGGCGTATTTCTGTTTGAATATCTTTGATTTATATATATGTTACCCAGCTTCAAAATAAAATTTAACTACATATTCATCAAGTTTGATAGTTTACAAATATAAACTTATCCTCTTCAATTTTCTTTAATACTTTCTGAAAACGTCGAAGGCGACTTGGTTTTCAAAGTTTTCGAACCATGAAGTTGTTGAATTGAGAAACAGTTGTGGTGTTTTTAGGAGCTTCAGAGAACTAGCCGATTTCAGAAAGATTGTTTTCATCTGTCTTTCTGTTTTTGTTTTGTTCGTATAGCATTTGGAGTTGCTGAATATGTTTTATTTTTCCTTCAAATCAAACAGTTTATTTCAATTTTTCTTTTTAAATTCAACATCAGTATTTCACTACCAAACGTATTTTCTGACTTTAAAAAACTCAACCCTAACGTTTGGAATGATCAGAATACCGATTGCGGTACCTGCATTTCACTCTCTGCAAAACTTGCGGCCGGCAGTTGTAGAAAATGAGGCTAAAAACTCCCAAGAACAGAACTGTGTATCTGAAAAACCAAGTAATTTCATATTCCAATAAAGTTCTTACATTGGCATAACAACAGTGATACCAAAATTTGTAGAAAATAATAAAAGGTCCAGCAAGTTATCAGGACATTACACCCGCTGATGCAAAAGCCGAACCAACCACAACCACAACCACGAGGATCCTAAATCAAAGAGAGGAGATATCTGAACCCTAAACCCTGAATTTTCGACATGAGACTTTATTATGTAAGATCAAATAAACTCTCTACCGAGTAACGAAACAAAAAGGTAGAGGAGGATCTAGACATACTTTTGCTCACCATCCATTAGGTAAAAATCATAGAATGAACTAATCCGAAAATTAAACACAACATTGCTACAAAGGTCATCCCAAGGAAGGATAACATGATGAGGGCATGGATGCTTCTTAGTCTCTGCCCTGTTGTCATTCTTCTTCTAGGAGCAAGTGTTTCTCGACGACCAAACATGGTTAATTCTCTTTGCTAGGGCAAAAGTAATTGCTATTGCGTAATTATGATTGAAGAAACGACATGGTTCTCATGTTATATATATATATAATCATTAGAATCCTTTTACAAAAAGATTTAGGATTTTACTCCAATTAAATTAGGAATTTTGTTGGCGAGTTCTTATTTAGTTAGAATTTTGGTTACAGGATGCAAAATAATAAAATTTTTCCTTTTAATTTTTTTCATTAACTAAATGCATTTCTTGGTATTTTGAAAATGCATTCTCCATGTAGTAGGCCCCACATCAAGGACATCCCCCAAATTCTTTTTCCCTTATGAGGCTATACTCCGGAGTTATTATCTATATATATATAAAGCAAAAGACAGATAATGGTGAAACATTCAAAATACCAAAAAATGTCATTGATTAATTCAAACATTAAGAATTGAAATTATTAATTAAATGAGTATAATATGGTAAATTCATATTTTTTTTCTTCATATTTTTAAAAAATAAAAATAAAAATAAAAACAAAATCAGATAATAAGTCCTTTTTTTATGGAACATAAGTACCCATGTTATCTTTTCTTAATTCTAAAAATAAAATAAAAAATAAAAAAGAAAACTAATTGGCACATGCGTGAACTTGTGCCAAAGGACTAGTAAATAATAAAGCCGCAAAAAATTTCACAATAAATTCCCTGTAATAGGATTGGTATGTGACTTTGTTCCATCTTTAAAGAGCCTATATTCGAGCCCAAGATTTATCTTCTATTTGTTGTCGCCCTAGGCCTTGAAAAATTAAAGGCCGACCGACTCTGCACATAACATAAGTTCCTGAAAACCAATAGTCCAAAATATCCAAGTAAGAAATAAAAAACCAATATTCCAATTCATCTAATTAAAAGAAATCAAATGAATTAGTTTTAAAGTTACAAACCAACATGAAAATAACAATAAAACAACAAATAATGCAACAATCCATTCATATTTTGTAGTGTAATGTGATCCACTAATATTTTGTCATGTGTAATAAATTAATTTTAAATATTAGTTCGGTACGAGTTTTCTCAGGTTATGTAAATGCTCTACTGGGTTCTTTATTCAATATTTTCAGTTTGGATCATATATTAAAAAATAATATAATCAAACATAACCAAATCATATCAAGGAAAGAAAATGGATACACAAGTAAATTACTCTTAATCACTTAAACTATAAATTCCCTTAGAGCACTTCCACTCCTATGAGCTAGGGCAAGGTAAATTACCATTCATATGAGATATGAGGAGATGAATTTGTATAGGATTTTGGTGTGGGAAGTAAAGAATATGATTAGGTATTTATAATAATTTTTTTTTCTTCTAAATTTCTGAATTATTTATTATTTATTTCAATTTTTTTTGTTATTTAAATTGGTTGCTAGTGCGTCACTTTGCCCTGTGCAACAGCACAGGTTGGATTTGCCTAGGTTGGTGGGTCAGACGCGTTGCCCAGGCTTGCCCTTGCCCGCTGGAGCCGTTCGCTGGCCTAGGCCCTACCTTGCCCGAGCAAAAGGCCTTGCGGTGGACTTGCTCTTATGTATGATATATAGTATTGCTGTAGGACAACATTTTATTTTATTTTCCAGAACTTTAGGGACAACTCTCTTTAATTTATGAAAAAATTACTTTAGGCCGACGCAAATTGGAGTCAAGGGTTTACCTAAAATCAAAGGCCCTTGCTAAGCCGCGTGGCCGACCCGTTAGCACATCCAAAAAAATGTCAGATGGTAGCTAAAAGTAAATTGATGGAATCAAATAGAATCACAAAGTTCGGAAAAAGGCAAAATCTCTCTGAGCCCCAGACCAACCTCCGACGTGGCACCACCTAACCCTCATTTATTGAATGTGCCTGACAGGCCCAATAGCAGAAGAAATGGGCCCAAAGAATGAACGCCAAGGCCCAATAAAAGCAAACGGACAGATAAAAAAAGGCGATAACAAGAAAGTTCTACCGTTTTCTTCTCGTCTCTTCTCTTCCCCTCTTATCTTCTCACGCTTCACACTTCGCCGCTCTACCAGTCTCAAAGCTAAGCTCCCACCCAACTCTCTCTCTCTCTGTCCTCTATCTTCGCCTCCTCCCAATTTGTAGGGTAGTTTTAGGGTTTCTATACAGATTTTAAAAACCCTAATTCACCTTAAAACACTTTCAGCAATGGCTTCCTCCACCGCTCAAATCAACGTCCTCGGCACTGCGCCTGGCTCTTCATTCAAGAGGCCCAATTTCACAACCCCGAGGACGGTGTTTTTGGGCCAGAGGCTAGGCCAAACGACGCCGTTGAAGGGCTTTATGAGCCTGAGATCCAGCGGCGTTCGAAGGGTTGGGCCGCTACGCATAGTCAACGAGAAAGTTGTGGGTATCGATTTGGGGACGACTAACTCAGCTGTTGGGGCTATGGAGGGTGGGAAGCCCACCATAGTGACTAACGCTGAGGGTCAGAGGACGACGCCGTCCGTGGTGGCGTATACGAAGAACGGAGATAGGCTTGTGGGGCAGATTGCCAAACGACAAGCCGTTGTGAACCCGGAGAACACCTTCTTCTCGGTGAAGAGGTTCATTGGGAGGAAGATGTCTGAGGTGGACGAGGAGTCTAAGCAGGTGTCGTACAAAGTTGTTAGGGATGAAAATGGGAATGTTAAGCTTGATTGTCCTGCTATTGGGAAACAGTTTGCCGCTGAAGAAATTTCAGCTCAGGTATAATTTTGTGGGGTATTTGTGTTTGGGTTTTGTTTGCTTCTGTGTTTTTGGTGATTGTTTGTCCAAATTTACTTATTTGGGTCTCTTTAGGTATTGGGAAAAGTAAGAGAATAGAAATGGGGTGAATTTTTGGAGTAATCTGTTGTCTTATGCTGTTTTGATTTATAGAAAATAAGATTTTGAAGTCATTTCTTGGTAGTCAATGGTTTTGGTGATGGGTTTTGTGGAACTTGTATATGGGTTTGTTTGTATGCTGGGAAAATGGAAGAAAAACATGAAATTTACTGGTAATTTTGTTGGATGGTAACGTATGGACAGTGTATAACTTGCATTGAATGAGCTGGTGAGTAAAACTAGGCACAACTGAGACTGGATGGATTGCTAAATTGTGATGCTTCAGTGCAATGCTGGGAAATTGCGTGTTCTTGGCACATCTGGGTTGTAAGTTTGATTGTTTATCACATGGAAACCTCTGGCTTGGAATTATGGGTGGCAAATCTTCTTATTTTCATTTGCCCACCCTGAGCCAGACTTAATAAGTGGGCGGTAGATAACTGGTTATAATGGGGTAACTAGTTAAGTTCTAAGGACGTTTGTACTTGTCTTTTAACGTGAATTTGTGAAACATTAAAACATTTGGGCATTACTTGTTTTCCATAAAAAATGTCGTTACCTTCTGAAGCTATTTGCATGATTCTGTTAATAGAATTTGATTTGTTTTCAAAACCAGTGTAATACTCTGATTGTCTTATTTTGAATTCCTTTTATCACTGGTTTAGGTTTTGAGGAAGCTTGTGGATGATGCTTCAAAGTTTCTGAATGATAAAGTCACTAAAGCAGTGGTCACTGTGCCTGCTTACTTCAATGATTCTCAAAGGACTGCTACAAAAGATGCCGGTCGTATTGCTGGTTTGGAAGTTCTTAGGATCATAAATGAGCCCACTGCTGCCTCATTAGCATATGGATTTGACAGGAAGAACAATGAAACTATCTTGGTATTTGACCTTGGAGGTGGTACTTTTGATGTCTCAGGTATAATGTTTGTTCCTGGGATATGTTCCCTAGCCAATTCTGTAATTAAATTGTTGGTTTTGGTGGTGTTATTAGATTTATTTATAAATTTTTTCATTGCATAGATAATTTTTCTAACTTGTTCTTCTTCCATTACAGTACTGGAGGTTGGTGATGGTGTGTTTGAAGTGCTATCTACTTCTGGAGATACACATTTGGGTGGTGATGATTTCGATAAGGTAGGGATTTTTTATTTATTAATTATGTAATGCTATGACTGTGCACTTGAATATTTTTACATTAAAAAATTTATCTCCTTTGCGTGAAGTTTTGAGGCCTAAATAGTGATAAGGATGGTTCTGATAATGATGTTATTGTACAGAGGGTTGTTGACTGGCTTGCTGCAGACTTCAAAAGAAATGAAGGAATAGATCTGTTGAAGGATAAACAAGCTCTTCAGCGGCTGACAGAGACAGCTGAGAAAGCCAAGATGGAGTTGTCATCTTTGACTCAGGCTAACATTAGGTTCGTTGCAAATATCTGAGAACCTTTACTTTGTCTGTGAAGCGTTTTGCAGCTCTCTGGGCTGTTTTCATTTCTAACAATGTTTTATTGGTGATAATTGTTTTGTTGCAGTCTGCCTTTCATTACTGCGACTGCTGATGGCCCCAAGCACATTGAGACAACCCTTACAAGGGCCAAGTTTGAGGAGTTGTGCTCAGATCTGCTTGACAGGTGTGAACTGTTGTTTCAACATGCAAAGACTATGGATATCTGCATATTTTTCTGTAGCTCCTTCTGTTGCTAATATCAAGATATCCTATTTGGTGCTTAGGGTTGCAGGGTGCTTTTTGGTTGCCATATTTAGGGGTATAATTTGTGGTTCTATGGACCCTGGAAATATTTGATTCTATAGTAAAGTTTTCATTTAAATTTTATTTTAGGCTTCGAACACCTGTTGAAACCTCCTTGAGGGATGCAAAACTCGCCTGGAAAGATATAGATGAGGTGATACTTGTTGGTGGTTCAACACGTATACCAGCTGTGCAGGAGCTTGTAAGGAAGGTGACAGGGAAGGAACCAAATGTTACAGTTAATCCTGATGAAGTTGTTGCCTTAGGGGCTGCAGTTCAGGTGGGTCTATGATTTCCATCTACAGGCTATGCCCATTGTGGTGTGACTCATTTTTCTGAATTGTGAGGGGACAAAGCTTCTTTTCTTTTGTTTTGTTAACGGATATAATGCTTTCTAAAGTTATTGGTTCTTTTATTCATGAGACAGTTTGTGTTACTATTATCATATCTGACCTGTGATACTTTTTATTATAATGATTCTAGGCTGGTGTATTAGCTGGTGATGTCAGTGACATTGTGCTCTTGGATGTGACTCCACTGTCATTGGGTTTGGAGACCCTTGGTGGGGTCATGACAAAGATCATCCCAAGAAACACAACTCTACCTACCTCTAAGTCAGAGGTGTTCTCAACAGCTGCAGATGGACAGACAAGTGTGGAGATTAATGTACTTCAAGGGGAAAGAGAATTTGTTAGAGATAACAAATCTCTTGGGAGCTTCCGTTTGGATGGTATCCCGCCTGCGCCACGCGGGGTTCCTCAAATTGAAGTCAAATTTGACATTGATGCCAACGGTATTCTCTCGGTTGCTGCTGTGGATAAGGGCACAGGGAAGAAGCAAGACATCACAATTACTGGTGCCAGCACCTTGCCTAGTGATGAGGTATGTCTATGTTGTTAACTAGCAAGTAAAATATTTGCCAGCTTCCTGATATTATATTTGGAGCTGAAGTCTAGGCATGCCTTTACTGTGTCTAAGTCTTGAATTATTTTGATGGAAATGTCTGAAAACATACAGGTGGAGAGGATGGTTAGTGAAGCCGAGCGGTTTGCAAAGGAGGACAAGGAGAAGAGAGAGGCGATTGACACAAAGAACCAGGCTGATTCTGTTGTCTACCAGACTGAGAAGCAGCTGAAAGAGCTGGGAGACAAGGTTCCAGCCGAAGTTAAAGAGAAGGTTGAGGCAAAACTTGGAGAGCTCAAGGAGTCAGTTGCCGGGGGTTCAACTCAAGCAATAAAAGATGCCATCGCTGCCCTTAACCAGGAAGTAATGCAGCTTGGCCAGTCTCTTTACAACCAGCCTGGCGCTCCCGGTGCTGGTGCTGGTGCAGGGCCAACTCCACCTGGTGCCGAAGCTGGTGGACCTTCAGAATCATCGTCCGGCAAGGGACCTGATGGAGATGTTATTGATGCAGATTTCACCGACAGCAAGTGAGCAAGATGGTTGGATAGAAGTTAGTGGTTTACTTGCATAATTTGTTTTCACTAAATGTGTATAAGAGAATGATTTTGCGGGGATGGGATGCGGTGTTGGATTACTGTCATTTTTGTTTTATGAAGAAATGAGAAACAATGTTGTTAGATGGCAGAGGGCTTAGTTACTTGAAATGAAATAGGTGACTTACGAACGATATTTATGATTGTCATGTTTTTCTCAGTAAGTGGAAGTTGATATTTTAGCCCAGATGTTTAATTGCTTGATCATACTAATCTTAGGAAATATGTGTCATTTTTAAGCTAGTCTTTTTAGCTTGAGCTTCTTTACGAATCCTGAGCCTCTAGTCTTTTTAACACACGACGTGTCATTAAACTTTTAAATCAGGTTATTTTATTTTATTTATATTTGCAAAACTGATGTAAACCCTAACCATAATGGCGTTAAGGTCAGTTTAACGCGAGCCTTTTTTTGTTTGTTTTTGTTTTGGCTCTCTCGTGAGCGTCCTCTTGTGGCGTACTTTCTCCTTTTCTGTTTTTTCACTTGTTTCTTCCTGGTCGTGCTCTCTTCCCTCCCACTTTTTTTTTTCTTCTTCAACTACTTTCTTCCTGGTAACGTGCTCTCTTCTTGGTAATGTTGTGTTGCAACCACATTGAGGTTAATTTATAAATTTGTATAATTTTAACGCATGTAGCAAAGATGACATAAGCATGTGTAATGGAGATGTAAACCACATGAGAGATTGAAGGAATTTTGAGACTATCATGAATTTTAGTTGCATTTAGGTGTGTAATGGAGATGAATTCATTGTTTAAAAGAGTTGTTCATTCTCTTTCTCAATTGATTTGAGAAGTTTGGTTTTGTGTTCGACTTATTTTAATGTTTCAGCTGGAAAAATGGCTAGTTTCTCCCACTGTTTTTCTATGCTTCCCAGGAAGAAAGAAGTTGAAGAAGAAAAAAAGTACACTCGCGAGAGAGAACCAAAAACACACTCGCGTTAAGGTTAGGGTTTACATCAATTTTGGAAATAAATAAAAAATGAAAAAATCTGAAATAAAAATTTGATGACATGTCGTGTTATGCCGTTAGACTGGTTGAATGGCTTAGATTTATCGAAATGCATGTAAATACACGGAACCTAAATGCAGAGGCTCAAAATCCCTTGTTTACATGCTTTAATTAGGAAATATTAGGCTTGTCATTGTTAATTAGTGTCCTACCCTACTTGTTAATACAAACCATCATGCTAAAAAAACTGGCCTTTCAAATACTTCCAATTTGTGCAGCAGTAGAAGCATGCATTTCCAATATTCTTAGGATAAAATTGTGTATTAAGCCATGGTTTTGTTGATAAAATATTAAACTTTTGGTTTGAAAACCAATAAATTTTGTTATGATATTGACACAATATATAGCCTATTTATAATTTGGTTTTGTAATCGGAGTCTTTTTTAGAGTATCAAAAACAGAATATCGAGAATCGTTTCTTAGATGGCTCTCTAACTAAAGAAACTCTCACTCAAGAGAAGGCTTTCTAAATGGGATACAAAAGGAAAAATAGAAAATATTGGAAATACATAAACCTCATTTCATCTGTAATTTTCTCAGGGGAAAAAGAAAAAAGAAACTACATATAGTCCAATATCCGTCATCCCTGAACTTCTAATTGACTTGGGCGTGTTGATTCCTAAGTAAGAAATTTCAAGCTTTTTTTCATCTGCACATTACAATGTTTGATTTTGAATGTAGCATCTGATTCAAGTGACGAAAGGCTCTCGAATTCAACAAAGCCTTGATTTTGGGATAAATGGGAAACTTTCCATCTGCAGTAAATGAAAGTAACTTTATTAGGTTATGATCAAGTACCTCAAAGTAACCAAGGGATCAAACATCTGCAAAATGATCACTACAATCACAAAATTTCTAATGTAGCAGAGCTACTAACAGAATCAACATCGGCTTTGAATGAAAACTTCAATCTTGTTCATTTATATTTTGTATTATATTGTTAAAATAAAAGTAACCATGTAAAATTTAGGTGTTGAAAGGATATATACATAGACATGGCTTTACCAAAGGAAACAAAACAAATACTACTCGAGTATCTTTGGCAAAGAAGCTTCAGACCATAAAGTGAGAAGGTAAAAAGATGAAAACACCAAGCACATCCCAAGCCAGTTGCTATGCAAGCATGGCATCAAACCATTCCCAAAAACAAATCAAAATTACTCCCAGATAAATATTCATAGGAAACAATATTTAGAAAGCATCTAGTTACCTCATGTACTTCACTTTGCAGGATAGGCACGCTTGAGCCTGCGACGTGTGTGGTTAACTTGGGAACTATAACTACGCTTCTTTGTCTTTTTTCTGCACAATTCAAGCATGATTTCATAGTTAAAAGAGTAAATTTCATCACTTCAACTTTACTTCCTTCTAACCTGAAGATTGCTGAATACAACTAACCTGAAAAGATGATGAATGTTGAATAAAACTAACCTGAAAATAGCCGAATACAACTTAAACAGGAAAACTGCAGGCAGGGCTAGTAAAGCAGCGGCCTATGTCAATTGGGGAAAGAGAAGAAGAAGAAACCATTAGATATATATTTCAGATAGCAAATAACAGGATTTATACCCCACCCCCGCCCTCAACAGTAGAAAGAAGTTAAGGACAAAAAGTTGTAGCTGTGTATTGATATTTAATAACCTTACTAGAGAACATATAATATAAAATAATTGATGTTACATTTACACCATATTAGTTAAATACATACCGCAAACCATGCCACTTCCATACTTGCAAGCGATTGCGTGAACTCATTACCTTTTAGCATTTCTTCAACCTGTCATAATGAAATGGATTTTAGAAACTAGTATGAGACAATCATAGATCTAGCTACCACTCATATGGAGAGTTAGCCAGGTCCTTAGGTATTTATGTCTCGATCTGCATAATTTTCTAAAATTTGATGTTTACATTTTTGAAATTCCATGGAACAAAATCATTGATAGATGCAAAATAAAAATATGTAATTACTTAAGAGAAGAATATTGTATATAATATATCATGCAAGCATTCATCTTTAGCCCCCTTCTTTTTTTTATTTTCTTAATTTTGATTATTTTGTACTATTCCCCTCTCCTTTCTCTGTCATGAACAGATAAACAATAATTGAGATACACAGAAGCAAAAACATCAGTTCCTTCTTAGTCCTTTAACTCCTTTTAAAAATTTGTGTTCCCCAAAGTTGTCACATCCCAAGGATTTTTTTCCCTTTTAGTTTCTGTAACCAAACTAAAATCCTAGCGGCACCACATATCATGCTGCATCTCCCACTCGTGTTATATTAGGTATTAATGTTATACATAAAAACATAAGTACGAAGTCATACCTCATGATGGTAAAACGTTGCAGTTCTGATGAATTGTCCATATGCATAGATTACTTTTTCTGCACACGGCTGCAAAACAACAGATACTTTATCTAAATGTGGTCTTGTCACCATTGCAACCTGATCAATGTATGGGTCGGTAAATTTCTTAGCTTCCTGCCACAACATAGAAATGCCATAAGAAGGAATTCCATCCATCTAATCTATGCACTTAATGAGCTGAAGTCTCATGAAGGGCTTACCTGAATGTAAGGATCTGCCAACTTTTGCAGCTTAAAAACAAGTGGTGCTATAGAACTCTTTGATGAATGATAGACATCAACAGTATTTGTAGCGACGGACTGAATATGTGGTTTAAGATAGGCTATAAATGCAAAAGACTGTTTCTTCAAACTTGGGATCCATTTCTTCAAATTAACAGAGGGAGAATTAGAAACGTTACCAACTTCGCTCAAAATGTCAAATAGAAAAGCTAACAGAACACCCACTATGCAGAAAAGAGAATCATGTCAAACACCAAGACTGATACTATCACTTCAGAACTTTGATTATGAATCGGATAAACCTCCGCCTGCTTTATGTTCCTTTTCAAATTTTAAGGTTTCCTTGATATAGTATTAGTACCCAATACAAGGGTTTTACATTTACAATTACAAGAGTTACGATTCAATATCTATAATGAAGAATCTCATCTCTGGACCACCCTCATAGGTGCACAAAGTTAACCTTGATGTGGCAAATAATATGTTCCAAGGTGTTGGGGCACACATCCTCTTAGCTTGTCTATAGTGTTATAGTTGCACCGATATTGTCCCTAAATTAACCACCAAGGTCCATCCGGGGTTGATCAGGCCCATGGATCCATCCAGGTGTGGGGTTTTATCTCAAAAGGTCTCTGTGCAATTTAACGAGATCTACCACTTAATCCCTAAACGGACAGTTCTTTTCTGAAACTTGGCCAAAAACTGAGGGACCATCATCATACCTTCAGAAACTTGGCCAAAAACAATGTACACAAATAGCAGCACAATGCCAATATTTGATGTAGGAAGCGTAATGTGTATTGTGTTGTATGTCCCACAATAGGTCCCATATCCATTGTCTGTAAATACTGCATGTTTGATTCCATTCATAAAGCATATTGAAACTGAATTTGTCTAAATTTCCCCTAGTAGTTCTCATACTTGTAAAGGCTCTGCACATACACTTGGAATATTGGCAACGCTCATATTAGTTGTCCAAGTAAGAACCATATCTCATGGTTTATACTAGCATACTCAAATTCATCATCTACTACCATAATCCATTTCTTGGTATAGGGTATCTACAAAGTTTTGATTCATAACTGATGCCAAGTTACATTATAAACATCTTGAAACTGGAATGAAAGCTCCACATGATACTTTCTGAAATGTTCCTGGTGTAGATTAGTAAAGAAAAAGAAGAGAGATAACACCCAGAGAATTAGAAGAAATGGTTGGGAGATTGACATTGATATCAGAAAAAAGTGTAATCTTAATTCATTAACCAAGTCAGAATACACTGAAACATAATGGCCTAGTTATACAGGCTAGCACAACGGGATAGACATTTGTTCCTCGGGATAAACACCAACAAATACCTAGATAAACATAGAAGATAATAATCTTCAAACTCATAAAACGGAAACATGAAAATGGAAGGAATCTAGTAAGACTCTATCAGTTCCTCTATTAGCTAAAGCAACGATAGACTTTGAATAACAACTTTTGTAGGAATCAAGACAGTACTAATGCATTAGCGCCTCAATAGAAGGAAAACTATAAAGCTTGAGAATTAGCATTTCAAAATCAAACCATAGTCTGGACTGATGAAGCAAAGACAACATCAAATCATTTGTTGAGAATTCATAAGAAATGTTGGGGATAACATACTGTTCTGAAGCTTTCAATGTTGAGCTCAGCCCAAACCTCAACTTGAGTTTTCATCTCTAAGGCCTGAGAAGCGCAAATAAATAAATAAATGCTCAGCTGTTTCCCATCGTCTGAAAAAAAAAAGCTTAGCGATTCTAGCTTACAAGACGCTAGTTCTCTTTAGTTAAAGATTCACCTGGAAACTCAACATCTCTATAGACAGAAGCTTAACAAATACAATTTGTGGAAAACCACTGACACACCTTTTCAATTCCCAGATCCAAGGCTGGTCTTCCCAGCTCGTTCCAGTAAGTCACGATGTATGACTGCACGTAAACACTTAGTCATGAATTAGGCTGATATTGTTAACCCGCTAAACTGCATAAAATTTACCTGAAAATTGCCTATATGAACTGCAAACGTATGCAGAAGCCATCCTCCATGGGCCTGATTATGGGTCCAAGATATAACTATCAGTGATACGGAAAACTTAATTAAGAAAATAGATTTAGATGATAACAAGAATATGACATGCTTCAATGCTATCCAAGTTCAAAATTTACCAGTGAATAATAAGATAAGGCTATAACCAAATCTGCATGCTAGGCAATCGATAAGTTTATTGTTCCACTAGTTTGATTGACAGAGGTGAAAGGCCACAAGTTTTTGAACAAAAAGGGTGTAACTAGAGAGATAACAACAACAATGTTGCAAAAAACACCAGGCATTAGAAAATTATAACATTGCCATTTTCTTACCTCTGTCAAATCTCTAGATATCGAAGAGATCCCAAATTTTTCCTTCATCCTTTCTTCCTGAGATATCATAAAATTAATACCATAATCTAGCAATAGAAAATTTCATGTAGCAAATAAACGGACAGAAAACCTCTGCCACTTGAAGATCACGTCCAGTTCTGCGAATTCCGATCTTCTGTCCATCATTAACTTTTTGAAGCTGAGAAGGAATAGAAAGAGAATTAGAAAGGAAAATTTCTCATACCAAAGTCCCCTTCCACAATTTTTTTTTGCATCCATGGAAAACTGAACTTGATTACAAGTTAAGTCTAGTTGTGTGTAGGACCTTGATCACAAACTAGCATCATAGTTCTGAATTTTGGCTCAATTTATTGGATTATGGAGATAAGTAATGTATACTGAGCAGTCCATTACTTCAATCAATCAAAAGGCCCTTTAAACTGTATCAAAGTTTTTGTCTGTTAAGATTATCTATTTGGCCCAGCATAACCCTTTTTAGCTATAAAGTAAAGCACTAATATGAACTAAAAGTTCAGCTTAATTAAATGGAATAGCAAGACACATAATTTCATGAATTCACTATTCAATATCTCAGAATTCTGTTCTGATTCTATCATGTATGTATGTATGTCGGATAAAACTATGTTTTCTGTGAATAACAAATTATGGATTGTAACCCCAACTTGAAAGTCATTAATGTGGAAAGAGAAGGAAAGTGAAAGCTACTAAGACAGAAACTGTAATATAGGCCTTCCAAGAAAGAAGGAAAAAGCACGGTACTTACATTTTCTAATTTCAAACTCAGTTCACGGATTTTCTGCTCAGCTATACTTGCTCGGGTTTCCAGTTCATCTTTTCTCTTATTTTGCATTATGATGTCCTCTCTAAGTCTTTTAACCTGTCATGAAGACTAAAACATTAGCCATGCAAGAAGACATGACATTGATATTAGAGCTAGTTTAAGGAAAACTAACCTGCTTCTCAAGCCCACCAGCCTGCACATGTGACTTATCTGTAAGTTCCACAACATCTAAAGAGTCTCTTCCCTAACCAAAAGAAAAGAGAGAACAGATAAATCAGAATCTTGTCAAATGGGGTGTAGCAAGCCTATCTTATTTTCCAGAAACAGAGGCCCATTGTTTACATAGAGACATAATCTACACTCCACTTGTTGACTAAATAGAATGAGTAAAAAAAACAGAAATGGACCCTCCACTGAAGGATCGATAATGTTAACAAGGACACACTTCTTAACCACTTTATTCCACTAAGAAAACACATCTTAATCACTTTCCATACTTCTGCCACAAAACTAATGGAACCAAACAGTGGCTTCATTATTTAACAGCTCTGTGAACTGAACTATATGGTACCAGAGAATGATTTTAGCCTTGAAACTGAAAGACAATGTAAGAAAATACTAAAACCTCACCTGGACAGACTGTATCCCACTTTGTATTAATGCAATGCTGTTTGATTTCTCTTGAATAATCTTCTCCATCTGTTTAATACTTTCATCCTTTTCTTTCAGTTCACGGTTTTTCTCATCAAGGCTTGATTCTTCAACAACATGAGAATAGGAACGTCATGAAAATAGACAAAATAATGAACTGAAATAGTAGCCAATTATGTAAAACAAAGTTTCAAGTTAGTTAGTGCACTTACTACATTATCGATCATTTGAGTTCTCTATTAATTATTTTGTTATATAAGACATACTATCTCAGGTCTAGAATCATTGAATCTGGGAGCACCTCAGTGGACTAACCTATTTTATCAAAATGTTGACACTACAAATATAATGGGGAGTCAGGATTGAGTTCTATTGCAGAAGAGGAATGCAGGACTAACTCGTACTACAAATAATTCTTCTTTCAATTGCATCTTTACGGCTTAACCCTCTTCGGGACTCTGAGAAACCGAATGAAACTAACTGAACACTCTGCAGTTTGCAATTGGTTTCCAGAAAAGAAAAAACTTTGCTCCATCCATACCAAAACACTAGAAAAAAACTTCAATCCATATATTCCTTCTACTGGATTTTCACATTTTCAAATCCCAATGTAAGGAAAACGCGCAATAGTAAAAAATATTTTATTTTCCTACAACCTCCAAGTAACAAAATGTACAGAACATACGATTATTTTACTTATAACAAAAAGGAAAAACAATATTACAAACCCAATGCCGTATAAAAATCTGATATATGGAATTGTATATTCACTATACATTCAATTCATTAAGACCACGGGACTATTATTCCCATTCAATATTCATTCACCCAAAAAACAAAAAAAAATTATGATTGCAACAACCAAGCGTAAAATTTAAAATTTTGAAGTTGATTTTTATTTTTTCCGCTTCGTACATTTTCTCAGAAAGCAAACAAACCCAGAAAGTACATGAGAATGAAGGTGTGAAAATGATCACCTAGAAGTGAAACCTTCAATTGGAGTAACTCAAGTTTCAGTTTCAGAGACGAACCAGCAACCTCTGGAGCAGAAGCGGAAGCGCCGTCGTTTGGAAGCGGTGGGTCTGCAGTAATTCTGCTGAATAATAGGGATAAGAATATGGAGAAGACCAAAATCTTAGAGGTTGCCATGAGGGAATTTGGACAACCAAGAGTGCAGTGATCACTGATGAAAGAAAGAAACAAACGCTTTTCCAAGTGAGAGTCTCAGAGGCGCTCAAAACTTGAAAATTTATACCAAGTAAGTTGGCCCATTGTACAATGTACTAGGTGCAAATAAATAGTGTTTTACTAATAACCACATACTTGTCTATGGTATAAGTGGATACCTATTGATACTATACCGTGAAAGTGAGAATTACTAATTTTGTCGTCCAACTATGTTATATATGGAGAAGGATTACACCATTGCGATTTCTGTGTGCAAATTGAAGGGGTGTTCAAGATTCCTTTTTTTATTATTCTTTCTTTCTCCTCTTTCTCTTGTTTCCATGTGTTTAGTTTAGGCCACAAATTTTTATTTATAAAGATTATGCTATTATTCTTGCCTCTCACTTTGGATTTTAGATAGTTTCCTTGCTATCTTTTGTACTCTTTTAGGGTGATTCTATTTTATAGAGCATTTGCTAAAAAAAGAAAAAAAAGAAAAAGGTTTACACCATAATTTTTTGATTAATTCTTTTGCCACCCAAATTATTTTATGAATCTCATTTTATGTACAAAACATCTGGGCCTCCAAATTTTTTTAAGCCCACTCATAAAAGAAAAACCAAAACAGGCCCTTTACTTATTCATATGTCACTTTTTGAAAAATAAAGGCCTTTTGACAAAAGAAAATAAGAAAATGGGCTTCTTTTTGTTTCAATTCCCTACCCAATCTTATAAAACATATACTTTCACATAATATTAGTCTCTTCACAAGTGCTTCCGTGCATGCGATATGCGTTTTTTAAAAGTTTTTAAATTGATTTTAGAATTAAAATAGATAATTGGTAGTTGTGTTCCATAAAAATAAGATTCATGATCTGATTTTTCTTTTAATTTTAATTTTTTTAATATTAAAAAGTATGAATTTACCATATTATCTTAATTTAATTAATAATTTCAATTCTTAATGTTTAAATTAACCAAGTGTATTTTATGGTATTTTGAATGTTTTACAATTCTCTCCCTTTGCTATATATATAGATTAAATCTAGAAAAAAAGGGGTTCCAACGTGCTGTTGATACACCACCATTAATTAATTCATCGATTATTGATACCATGTTGATCCAAGTGAGAGTCTCAGAGGCGCTCAAAACTTGAAAATTTATACCAAGTAGGCCCATTGTACAATGTACTAGGTACAACTAAATAGTGTTTTACTAATAACCAAAAATTATAGTCACATATTTGTCTACGTGTTGTAATGTAAGTGGATACTTATTGATATTATACTATGAAAATGAAAATGACTAACTTTGTCGTCCAACTATATTATATATGGAGAAGGATTACATCATTACGATTTCTGTGTGCAAATTAAATGGGTGTCCAAGATTCCTCTTTTATTATTATTATTATTTTTTCTCTCTTTCTCTTGTTTCCATGTGTTTGGTTCAGTCCACAATTTTTTTTTAAGATTATGTTATTGTCCCTACCTCTCACATTTGAGTTTTAAATAGTTTTCTTGTTATCTTTTATACTCTTTTAGGGTGCTTATATTTTATAGAGCATTTGCTCCAACAAAAAACAGGATTACACCATAATTTTGGATTAATTATTATTTTGCCACCCAAATTATTTTATGAATCTCATTTTATGTCATGAACCTTTTCTTTTATAATGTTTTTCCCCTTAAATTTTCATGTCTTACCATTCTCGCCTTTTGCTTTATATATATAAATGAAATAATATCATAAGCCTATAAATCATTTTTTTAAATCTATCTAAATATAAGAAGAAGTGAAAAAAAATAAAAAATAAAAAATAGGTAAAATTCAATCAATATTTTAAATTTGCTATTGGGTTTATTTTCTTCTGGCCTACTCAATAGTTTTTCATCTCCTATTAGTTTTAGAGCAATAAGGTAGGTCCATGTTTTATGGGCTGGATTGACCATTTTGCCTTTAGTTTGCAAAAATTGACTTTCTATAAAAGTAACATTTGGAGAATTGGGGGAGTTGAATTTAGAGCATCCATAATGGGCTTCATAAACCACATTCTTAGACAAATTTTAGGGAGGAATTGTAAAAATACAACTCCAACCATACTCCCTATTCAGCTCCTAAAATAGGGAGACCTCTAGGAGTTCCTAAATCCGAAGAGAGAGAAAGGACTCCCCATGCTGCTTTATTTAATGAGTATTTCAAACCTTTGTTTAATGCTAACTATTTTTTTATTTTATTTTTTAATAGAGATGGACCAATCAAAAAAGAGTTATAGCATTTCTGACTTCCTAAACTAGAGAGCACGATTGAAGTTTAAATTTTATAGAGAGCTCCTAAAATAACTTTTATATGTTTTTAGCTAAAATTTAACTAAAAAATAGAGAGCATGATTGTGGATTGTCTTAGCATCTAGGATGCAATCAGGATAAATGCTCTTAACTACTTGAGTTATAAGTCCCTGACATTTTTAAAAGTTATTTTCTACCTATCTAGAACATGTTTCTACCTTCAGGCTTGAATATTCATTTCTTTTGCTGCATTATCTATGAGATTTCTAAGAAATTTGTGTGAGATCTTTCCACAAAGAAGCTCTTAGTGGAGATGTATCGAACAGGACCTTGGCGAGAAATCTCTGTGGCTGAAAACTCCCTTTCGAGATTGTGTCGTGACTAGCAAAACCCTCAGCGAGCTGTCGAATGGATTACTTCTTCGAAGGAAAGATAACGTTGAAAAGCTATTACTTCTACTCCTAAAGTAGTAAAATTTGATAAAGAAAGCGTGATGTGCATGGATAAAATTCGATTGTGCGACCTGATGAGTCGATTTTATATTATATATTTAACCTCATTCTTAGTATATTTTGGTTAATATGTTGGAAGAATTTTGATACTTTGAATTATATTTCCAATATAGGACTTTCGACTTCCTCTGGAGCAAAACATAATCAAATGGACGAATTTTGGAGTAATTCCAGTTGGAGGACGTACGTGAGTCACTTAGCTTGATCGTATCAAAATATCAGACTTTTCCATCAAGCGATGATTTCCTGGCGAATAAATGAAGGAGCAGTGCGCTATGCTGGAATAGTGACGTTTTGGGCTTTTATTGCGATTTTGGAGCCCAAGATGACCTCGGATGGGTTCGTGGCCTTCTGGAGAAGTGTTCGGAATATTTTTATCTTTAAAACGAGCTATCTTGGGCCAGATTTGGGGGAGATTTGAGACTAAAACGTGGCTGGGCAGATTATGGGCAGATTCTCCTAATCCAATTTGGACTTTATTTCCTAGTCTTATTTACTTTAACTTAGTTTCCTTGTGGGGATTGGGTAGCTAGGTTTTAGGAGGTATTTAAGCTCCTTTTCACAGCAATTTAGGGATCTCCTTTTAGAACTTCTTTTTGGCTTTGGGAGCAATTGCTAGGGTTTTGGATTTTCGCTACTTTCAGGTGTTTTCATTCTTACTCATTCGAATGATATTTTATTGGATTTCAATTATGATTATGTGTAACTAATTCCTTTTGCTAGGGTGAGGCCGTAAGCCTTAGCATGAATATGTAGTTTTATTAATTTGCTTATGAATGGATGCATGTTTGCTTTGAATTATTAATCACTGTGTTTAAAACTATCTATCTATTTTAATGATTGATCACCATTAGGATATGTAGACAAGTAATTTGATGCAATTTCTGTTGGAACATCACCCTGAAATTGAGGAGGGCTTCTTGTGATTAGTAATTGTAAGTTCACTTAAGGCGAACATCACGCTCTTAAGGGTTGCATGGTTTTTCAAAGGGTTTTCCCAAAACTTAATGAGTCTTGCATGTTTATATTTGATCTGAACATCACAGACGGATTGCATGTTAGATATACGTTTTCGCTTGAACATCACAAGGAAAATATGCATTAGGAAAACCTAACCTTCAAAGCATATATGTGGAAATTCATAAGTAATTGATAGAATTGCATAGGATTGCGACGGTGTTGGCTAAACCCTAGTTTTCTCTAAATTGTTAGTCTTTAAAAAGAAATCGTTTTTCTTCTTTGCTGTTATTATTTCCCAACTTTCAGATTTCTTTTACTGTTAGTTTAATCTTTACAAATTCATAAACTTCAAATCTTTGATAAAATCTATTTTAGTTATTAATTAAGAGTTAGTTTAATTACAGATTAGTCAAACAATCTTTGGGGACAACGACCTTGCATGAGCATTTATACTACAATTACCTTGTATTCTTGCAAGTATTTTCAGTGATTTTAACCCTGTTTGCGCAGGTACTAAAAATCCTATCACGACCCCTTCTATGTTCTTGAAAACTTGTATTTATAGGGTTCATTTCCTTGGATTAAAATCCTTTTTAGTAAAAAAGAGACTAAAACACAAATTTCACAATGGTTTTTCACCAAAGCATCTTAGCATTAACCTTACCAATTGATCTAAATGATACTGTTAGTGAGCAGGTAGCAACCTCTGGACATTTACAACTAATGAATAAGAAATTCATATGCGAATTCCACATCTCGTATGTCATGGCATTGCATGCAATATATAGCCACAGAAAGTTGAAGAAAAAATGAGGAGAGAAATGAACATATATTCTGTGTACACGTTGAACCCACTCTCAGAGACATGAACATGTGAGTGCCATGCATTCTTATGCCTTGCCATCCAAAAAGTTAAAAGAGAGTTGTTTGAATGTATCTCTTTGACACCGCAATATCGTTATCTCTTCTGGTCAGCACTGATCAGATTTGGGAATATGGTTGACATGCTGCATGGGAGATGATATTTTGCAGAATATAGAATCTGATTGGAGGTCTTGAAATTTGAGAGTACGTTGGTTTGGGACACCTTATATCAATGAGAAACACAATAATTTTGTTAAGAATGGCAACTACGTTGGTTTCTCAAAAGAAGGTTTCTATAGTGAAAATAAAATTGATGCCCTAATAAGACTTTTATTTATTTATTAAAACAAAGTGTTTGACTGGTTTTTTTGATCAATAGGGTTGAGTTTGGAGGGGTTCGAACTTGGAACCCCTTCTAACATTGGAAAGAGAAGTACGTACCATGGCTATATAAAAGCCTTTAGATTTTTAATTAAGTTTAAGAAGCAATTTCGTTATAAAATTTTGCAGGTGATCATTCTTTTGATTTAAATGCACATATAAAAATCCTCTGCCATCTTATTAGGACCAAAGTTCTGACAAAGTTTAGTGAAATTGCACATTATTCTTTCTAAAAAGTCGGGTAAAACATGAGCATGTTGGGTGCCATACTGCCATGCTATATGTTGACGCTCAAAAATGGTTCGGCACTTTTGAGGCCAACTTAGTGATGAGGTGTGATAGATGATGGGTGAAGGTGAGGACCTTCACCAAGTGTGTGAGGATTGGAGCAAGTGATAAACATACAGAAGACAAGATATACGTGGTTCACCCTTAATGAATGGGCTACGTCCACGGAGAAGTGTATTCTCATTATTATAATATTGTGTATTTACATTTGTACATGGGGTTGGACCCAAATATAAAAGTAAGAAAGGAGAGGCCATGACTAAATATCAAGCCCAGCCCAAGGATCCTTTTCTAAGGGGAGAGTGGTCTCCTTTTATAGGTGATGGGGAGCATTCACTTCTTGTAATATTCCAATGTGGGACTCTTTGCTTTGTCTAGAGTTGCTTCTAGTTGCTTGGTCAAATATGGTATAAACAGAAGTCCCCCAAGTTCTCAAGCAAGGAGGTACTCCTTGGTTGAGGACTTGCAATTTTCAATGCATTGACCGAGCAACACCTTAGTCTTCTTCCAAGTAGTGTAGTGTCGATGGTGCTGAATGATGACGGGGTGCCGAAGGCGTCGTTCTCGTCGGATGATGGCAGGGTGCCGAAGGTGATGACGGGGTGCCGAAGGCATCGCTCTCGTCGGATGATGACAGGGCGCCGAAGGCAGCGCTATGTCAAATGATGACGAGGTACCGAAGGCATCGCTTCTTGTCGGCTGATGGCGGGGTGCCGAAGGTGATGATGGGGTGCCGAAGGCATCGCTCTCGTCGGATGATGACAGGGTGCTGAAGACATCTCTCTTGTCAAACGATGACAGGGTGCCGAAGGCATCGCTTGTCAAATGATGACGGGTGCCGAAGGCATCGCTCTCGTCGGCTGATGGCAGGGTGCCGAAGGTGATGATGGGGTGCCGAAGGCACCGCTCTCGTCGGATGATGACAGGGTGCCGAAGGCATCTCTCTTGTCAAACGATGACAGGGTGTCGAAGGCATCGCTTGTCAAATGATGACGGGGTGCCGAAGGCATCTCTCTTGTCAAATGATGACGGGGTGCCGAAGGCATCGCTTGTCAAATGATGACGGGGTGCCGAAGGCATCGCTCTCGTCTAATAATGACAGGGTGCCGAAGGCAACGCTTTGTCAGATGATGACGGGATGCCGAAGGCATCGTTCTCGTCTAATGATGACAGGGTGCCGAAGGCATCGCTCATGTCAAATGACGGGTGCCGAAGGCATCGCTCTCGTCTAATAATGACAGGGTGCCGAAGGTAACGCTTTGTCAGATGATGACGGGGTGCCGAAGGCATCGTTCTCGTCGGATGATGACAGGGTGCCGTAGGCATTGCTCGTGTCAAATGACGGGTGCCGAAGGCATCACTCTCGTCTTGTAGAAAAAGCTTACCAATGTTTATTGCCGATGGCTAATAGTCTTGGGTTTTTTCTTTTGGAGTATATACCGATGATCTTTTCCAATAATTATTGCCGATGGCTAATAATTTTGGGTTTCTTTCTTTTGTTTTTGGTTGTGTTGTTATGAACGCCAAATGCTATAAGTGGGCCTTTGAAATTTAGTGATTCGGCAAGGGAGCAACTCGTGGGCCTCCAGAGGTGTGTCTTGACTTCGATATGGCCCTTGCCGTTCGGCAAGGGTAGCTTGGAGAAGGGAGTTTCGTGAAGTCAAGGTGCTGGGCCCGTTTGTTTTTGGCGTGAGGCCTTGGGCGGCATGGCCTAGGATTTTTAGAAGGTGAGAGAGCAGAGTCTCTTTATCAGACCTGCCGTTCGGCAGTTTGTGTACAAGAAGGCAAAATGTCTTAGTTGCTTTCGGCAAGGTTGCCGATCTGCAAGGGTGATTTAGAAATATTGGAGCTGGGTTCTTGCCGAGTCCCCTGGTGTTTCCACTTGAGTGTGTTTGAAGTTGGACCTTCGGCATCATGTTTTTTGTGAGCTCCTTTGCTGCCACAAAGCCCTTGCCGTTCGGCAAGGGGTGGATTGAAATCTCTTTAGGAGCCTGTGGTGTCTTCGGCAGATTGGGTTTGTTTTCGAAACCACTGGTTCAGCAGTACCATATATGCCGTTCGGCAAAGTCTGCCAACAACCTCTGCTTTGGTAAGTCAGCCTCATGCGATAGTGGTGTCGGCAAGATGACCAAGGCGGTTGTGCTGGGCAAGGTGAGCCGATTCGGGTTGTCGTGCCTCCGGAGTCTGTGCGCAACCCTTGCCGTTCGGCAAGGGTGTTCTGAGAGAGATTTTCAAAGCCTCCGTGTTCCTGTGGCACGTAAGCTGGGTTCGTCGAGGCGAGGCTGGTTCGGCAGCAATCTCATAACCACCTAAAATCCTTTGTACAACTTTCGCCGTTCGGTGAGGAGCTGGGAGGTCGTGACTGGAGAGTGACTGCCCACGGCTTCAGCAGGATGTTAATCTTCGCCAGGGAGCCGTGAAGGTTGTCGAGCTGGGTTTACGGTTTTGAAAAGCTTGGCCCTTGTCGTTCGACAATGGTGGAGAGGAGGCTTCGTGGTCACAGCCTCGGCACGACGTGGTTCGAAGGAGAGGTCGAGTCTTCCATTGATTCCGGCGTGAAGTCACGGTGAGGCCCTGGTGAGACTTGACCGTCCCTCTTCCTTCGGCAGGCAAGACTTGGTGGTTCCGATGTGATTTGAGCAGATTTCGCAAGCTCCCTGTTTCGTCACGACCCTTGCCGTTCGGCAAGGGTGTTGAGAAGTTTCTCGAGGGTTTGTATGCACAGCTCCGGTAGAGTGGCCAGGAGGCTGGTTTCGTGGAGGCACCTTGATTTTTGGAAGGAGCCATCTTGCAGTCCCCATTGCTTCCGCACAACCCTTGCCGAACGGCAAGGGTGGATTGAGTAAAATTTTGGGGCTGGGCTCTTGGAGCTAGGTCCATTGATGTCCGAGTGTTCATTTGGTAGTCAAGCACCGAATTGTATGGAAGACTGTGAGGCTGGTTTGGTGACGGACAATTTTGACTTCCAAAGGTGTAGTACCATTCGTGCTGGTTCGGCAGCACAAGACCTACCGTTGGGCTGTTGTCCCTTGGGTTGGTTTTTGCTCGAGATTTTGAAGCTGGGTTTGGCGAGATGCATTCTTGAAGGAGGTAGGATCGGCAAGGTTTGTGTGCGTGGACCGGGTCTCAGAAGCTGCAGCAGGAACTGGGCCGCACGAGCTGGGTCTGTGTAGTGTCGGTACCGTCGTCTGCTAGCACCTTCTTCAGTTCCAAACCGATATTAATTGCTTTACCGAACGGTAAGGCATCCTCCACAAGCTTTGGGTGTCTTGAGAGGTTTCTCCTTACTTCCAACAAGGGTGCTGGGTGTCTTCGCGAGTGCTTCAGTTTTGGATTTTGGGATTGTGGCTGTTCGCATGTTGTAGTTGGCCTTTGTTTTGAGATGCCAATTCAGGGAACGACATGCAACTTTTTATCATATTTCTCTTTGATAGCCACTGATTTGAAGGTGGGTGTGTAGAGAACTGTAGGAGATATTGGCATGAATACTCCTTGCCATGTGTCGTAGTGCATATGCTAGTGCATGTAAAGCCATCCAAAGTTGGGCAATATTCTGGACCACAAATAAGCCTGATAAGATCTTAATAAAATAACAATAAGATAAAAAAAAGATAAGGACTATTCCACTTATCTTTTTTTAGAGAAGGATGATCGCGATGTGCTCATATTGATATCCTTTTGTATGGTGACCGATAAAACCAGAGGGGTAGATTTGGGTTTGTGCTTTGCCATTCTGATATACCATCCATTAGAGAGCTTCTGTCCAGCATGGTGGCTTGACCCAACGGTGGCCCTGTGCCATTTTGCTATGGTAAAAACCGGTTCTGCACTTGGGACTGCCTGAGGTGCTATTAGCTTGCCATTTTGGCAATTTTGGGGTTGGATGGGAGGTCTTTGACTAATCCATGGCCCAGGGTGTCCTGCGGTACCGAACGGTAAGGCCATGTAAATTGCTCCAGACCTTCCAATATGGAAAATAGGACAAAATAGCATTAAAATGATAACAAATGGAGGCTATGCCACCGATTGAGCCATTTGAATAATATATGCATGCATTGAATTGCATGCCATGCAAAATGAGAGTCAGTGTCTGATTGACTTCTCCTTGAAATGTCATCTTCTGCTAATGTTACTTCAGCCATTCATGGTTACTCCAACATTAGATTGCCGTTCGACAAGTTAGGAGATGCTGATTGCAGGGGTGCCGAAGGGCACTGAAAAAGGGGAGAATGACAGAAGCTTTTTGTGTCGATTCCCACAGACGGCGCCAAACTGTTGACGCTCAAAAATGGTTCGGCACTTTTGAGGCCAACTTAGTGATGAGGTGTGATAGATGATGGGTGAAGGTGAGGACCTTCACCAAGTGTGTGAGGATTGGAGCAAGCGATAAACATACAGAAGACAAGATATACGTGGTTCACCCTTAATGAATGGGCTACGTCCACGGAGAAGTGTATTCTCATTATTATAATATTGTGTATTTACATTTGTACATGGGGTTGGACCCAAATATAAAAGTAAGAAAGGATGAGGCCATGACTAAATATCAAGCCCAGCCCAAGGATCCTTTTCTAAGGGGAGAGTGGTCTCCTTTTATAGGTGATGGGGAGCATTCACTTCTTGTAATATTCCAATGTGGGACTCTTTGCTTTGTCTAGAGTTGCTTCTAGTTGCTTGGTCAAATATGGTATAAACACTATCCAAATTGTAACAAAAAAGACAATGTAATATATATGATATATCTCCAGATCGACCTCTACCTCATCACCTGGGTCAGCGCACTTGTGTATCGAAATTAGATTTGGAAATGGTTGACATGCTGGTAAATAATTGTAGAATATAGCATCTGATTAACACTACAAGAAAACCAAGTTTTTACCATTTAAGGCGCACTTGTGTACCAAGTTTGACTCACTCTCATTATAATGATGTGAGGATTGTCAAACTTTGTTTTTCTCTAAATATTTTATGTTGTACAGGATAAGTATACGAGTTATATGTCTTGTGTTACACATATATAATTGTGTCCGATCGTGTTCGTGTAGATGTATACTCTTGATCACACGAAAACGAATTCTCACCCTACATATTTTTAGTGGTTATGTACCATGTCGTCAAGGATATACATTTAAAGCTACATTATATTAGCAGTGAATTCTTTGCGGATAGCTCAAGATTATGTGTTAGTAGTCCCGTGACCCTGCTCCACGCAGCATCTTAAGAAAATACGTGACTTGGAAGCTGCTGGTCTTGCAAAATTAATCACAACATCATGTATTAATAGTGGCCAAAGTCCCGATCATGATACAATCCTTAGCAAACACTTTAATAAGATTTAAATAGAATATGATTCGGGGCACTACTGTACGTAGTGTCTTTGTAGAAAACCCACATAAAGAAATAGAGAAAATCGAACTTATCCTCTGCAGAGACAGAGATGCCTTATCATGCCACAACTACATGCATGCATGACTCCCACTCAACTCAAGCACTCAATCTGAACAAGTCAACGCCCTTCTTTTCTTTCCAACTATATATAGAAGGAAAATGATGTAAAATATGAGCTTCCCATAAAAAAAGGTACATATATTCCAAAAGTGGAAGAGCTTTAACTGTCACACGATGGAATAGAATCATACCTTTAATTTTTGAGGTATGAGTTGTCTGCATGCAGTCTATGGCTATAAATAGGATGACAATGCTGCATTATGTAAATGAACTGAAGTGGTTCAGATTAATAAAAATACCATTTGTTCAAGAGTCTTGCATGAGGAGATGGAAAGTAGATATGAGCCAAGGATGACTTGCCAAAGCATATGGCCTTTCCACTTGTTTATCTTCTGGCAAGCTGTCCTTGGTTCACGTTTGCTCTCTTTTCTCTCATGTGAGATTCAAGGACTAACGCCTTCTTTTCTCTCATGTGAGATTCAAGGACTAACGCCTACAACTGGAGAGGGGGAGAAGAATTTACTTTATAATTGTGATTCTAATGCAAATTTTTGCTTGTGTTTTCTGTCTGCAGCAACTGGAGGAGTTAAATCATAACGTGTTTCCGCGATTTCCCTTTTGTGAGAGCCTTGTGGTTGATAAAATCGTAGCATTCAACACAAAACTAATTGAAATTGGAGGAGAAATTATAAGCTCAGTAAGGCGCATGACTTTACATCTCTCCTGTGGGATACGCCCCCCTCAACACACTCATTGACATCCCAGCCATTGAGCATGACATTGTTCTTATGCAGAACCCTCAATCCTGGACATATAAATTTCATGCACTCCTGTTGACATATAAGTTCATCTTTATTTTACTTTTGGTAAACATAATTTGATGTTATTTATTTATTTATTTTATTCAAATAGTTCTGATCACATCTCAGACTTCTGTGCGTTTCCTGAAGTCCCAATTATTTCAAGATTTTTTTTTTGGTGCTATGACACCGCAAATTTCTAACATATTCCTTATGGAGTGTCTTTGTAGGCTTACGAGTGTGTAGAGAAGGCTAGAGAAAAGAAGTCCAGTAGTCTTTCTCGCTTACAGATGCAGAGAGTATGGCTGCAATGGCATCTATTTGGGTCAGGGCATTCAGACGATGATGATTTGCAGGGAAATCTAATTACTTTATACCTTGCTTCAGCTCCATATTTTATCCCTACCACAAAATTTTCCTTCAATTATTAACTAAATATCTTGTCTACAAAACTACTAACAATACATGTAAAAATTGAGATTAGATAAAAACACACACACAAATTTTTTTTGCATACATACATACATACATGTATATTAATTGTTGCTACTTGGTAAAATTATTTGGGTAAAATTTTCCTTCCAAATCTGATTAGGGGAACAAACTCAGGTCCATATCAGAAGATGTTTGGGCCCATTTCACATCCCCTGCAGGGAATAAAGAGAACTTTTATAGGGATGGGTTCAAATTGATGTAGATTTTCGAACACAAGTATTCAAAAATCACAAATTAAATTACTTGCAAGTACACAAATCAATAATAGTATGGAGATATGTAAGTACTAGGTCGAATCCACAAGGACTGATAAAAATAACTTAATTAATTAAATCACACTAAACCCAATTAAACGAACGATTAATTGATTTGAGTGATGAATTCAAGAAAACTTAAATTGCAAGAATTAAAGAAAGAAAAATAAAACACACAACAAAGATAGGTTTAAAAGAAAAAGATAGTAGGGTTATACAACGAAACAATAAACTCCTAATTACACAAGATTTGTACAAAAGAGAAAGAAATAAAATCCTAATAAAATAATCTCTCAATCAAACTAGGATCTCGCCAACAATAAAATATTGAACCCTAGTTTATATCTTTCTCAGGGAAAGTATATACAGATTTAGGGCTCGTTTGGAAGTGATTTTAGATAGGCCAATAATCATTTCTACGAAGAATCACTTTTCCATATAATCATTTTAAGTGATTTGAAGTGATTTTATGAAGAAGCACATGAGATGTGCTTTTCCCCAAAATCACTTAGTGATCATATGGAGAATTATGTGGGAGATGCTTCTCCTCAGAAGTGATTTTGGATGGCCAAAATCACTCCTAAATGAGTCCTTAGGGATACATAGAAAAGCAGTAGAAAAAAATATTATTCATATTAGATTGACTAATCACATTGGACCAGACAACAGAAAAATAAAATACAGTAAACCGAACAGACTAATAACATTAGCCCTACTTGTGGGTGAGTTTTAACATATATTATTTTTATTCAATAATATGTGAGAATTATGTGTATAATACGTGAGTTTTATGTATATTATTAAATTTTTTATAAAAAACAATATGTGTATTTAACATGAAAAATATGTATGTACATGTAATATATGAGTATTGTAAGTTTGATTTTTAAAAAACGTGAATTTTACCGAGTCTTAAGACGTGTACAAAACATGGATTTATTATTAAAAAATACATGCGTACGTGTATAATATAGTATTAAATGTGAAAGTGCTAAATTCTTTATATGGGTAATAACTATGGAAATTAAAAATCCAAAAGGGGACAATAGAGACTCAGGTACTGGCCTAATCGTAATGGATAATGCTCTAAACCATTCTCATCAATAAATGAAAATAGGGGAAAATTTAAAAGAAAAAAAGGATCCCAATATATACATAAAGAGTATAGTCGATCGGCTATATTATTTATTAAAAAAATTATAAAGCAAAAGAGCCTCGTAAGGCAGCACAGCTATGCTATTTAACAAAATAAAAATAAAAAGGGGGAGTTAGCCGATCGGCTGTACTATTTTATTTAAAAAATGGAAAAAGCCCAGTACGGCCGTGCGGCGATACTATTTTTTAAAATTATACAAACCACGTATAGCCGCGCGGCTATACTATCTTTGATAAATAAAAAAATAAAAAAAGCCCAGTACAGTTGCGTTTTAAAAAACAACCCGAGTATAGCCACCTGGCTATACGATTTAAAAGGAAAAATAAAACAGGGCCTGCCTAGTGCTTATGTGTGCACGTGTCAAAAACTGTATAGCCGTTCGGCGATACTATTTTATTTTTTTAAAAAAAAGTGGTATAATTAATTAAAATTTTCTAATATATATTATTTTTATTCAATAATATGTGTGAATTATGTGTATAATACATAAATTTTGTGTGTACTACTGAAAATTTTATAAAAAAATATGTGTTTTAAACATGAAAAATATGTACGTACATGTACAATACGAGTATTGTAAGTTTGCTTTTTAAAAAACATGAATTTTACCGAGTCTTTAAGACATGTACAAAACATTGATCTATATATTATTGAAAAATATGTGCTTACTTGTATAATACAATTAAACATGAAAGTGTTATTGTTTTAAATTCATGTTTTCTATTGTTCCGCGAACCATTCTTGCTCCCACAACCTCCGAGAAGATAAAGTACCAAATGACCAGTGGATGGATCCCTTCAGTGCATTGCACAACTTATTTCACTTTCAATGCACATCTAGAAGAAAGATGGCAAGTTGTGCCATTTTCTTCCCATGCTTGGTATGTGAGTAAGTTATCCTTCCAAACATCTCACACAGGCCCTTTCCTTGTTTAAGAATCTATTCTGAGGACAGCAATCAAAAATTTAGCCCATCCCTATTATATGTTTCTTTATTCGATGCAGTGGATGTGAAGTTGGGCCCAAAGATCATGTGCGGAGCCTGAGTTTCTTCTGCTAATCAGATGAGGCAAAAAGGTTGCAAAAAATATTAGAATATTGGTTATGGCCTTTGGGAGGCATAATCATATCCACACTGCAAAGTGTTTTCTTTTTCTTTTTCTTTTCTTTACTGTAAAGCTGGTTTCCGTACTGTGAATCATTTCTGCCTATATAATTAGAAGCAAATGCATTACTGTATATCAATATCAGAGATACAGAGATACATCTTTTCTTTACTGTATATCAATATCAGAGATACATCTGTGAATGTGAGGGAGAAAAAAATTCAATAACTGTAGATCGTTTGTATATGTAGCCATTAATTCTTTTGTGCAGTCTCAGAGTGTTCACATGAAGCACAAGAGATTGGATTGCAGCCAAGGATGACTTGCCGGTATTTACAGTACTCTTGCTTTATGCAGCTGAGGTTTGCCGGCAAGTTGTCTTTGGCTACATTTTGCGCTCTTCTTCTCATGTCAGCCTCTGAGACTTGGGATTGTTTTAGTTCTATCAGGGGAGAGTGGAAGCGTAAATACTCTTTAATTACTTGAGCTACAAATTTCTTGTATTTTTGTGTGTGTAGAATTCAGTTATTTACTCAATTTTTTTAAGAGGAAGAAGTTTATTTCCGTCACCAAACTATAAGAAAGGTCCTCTCTGATCCCAATTAATGAGCAAAACTCACTTTTTTATTTTTTTTATTTTTGTTAGAACAGATGTCAAGATCAAGAGCATTTCAATTATTGGTGGTGTTGATGGAACTTTAATTTTTTCTACCTAAGGTCTGGATTTCTTATATTGGTGTAGTTCGAACAAAACAAATATCGAAACAGTCTTTGATAGGTGTTCAATGTTCACTTCATCGCATTTTTGCAATGGAAGATGTTGGTTTAGTTGAGGCTCATGTAATCTCTCTTAATATCAAAAACAAAAAACAAATCCATGTTTTTACCCTAAGATGACACTTCCCAAGTGAGCATCAATCTACATAAGAAAAATGATGGGTTAGGTTTAAAGTCACATACTCAAAAGTTTTCATAACTTACTTCCAATTGTTGTTGCCTCCATTATAAGAATATAATTGCACAATGTGCTTTGCATATGCAACCCCTGTTCAATGAAGAACATGACGGCAGTGAATATGAACTACATGAAATGAAAATCAGCAACTACACACCATTTAAGTATGAGAACATTCTCACCAAATATAGAACCATCAGGACTCCATCGGATATGATTAACAGATGCATATGAATCTTTGACCAGAGCTTCCTGAAATAATTGACATTGGTTCAAATTTCGGATCATATCAGTAAGGTTGAAAGAGTAGTGCATAATCCAGAAGCGACGCACCTTTAAGGCCATCGGGCCTGCGTCAAGATTCCAGACTCTAAAATTTCTCGAAAGCAACTTTTCCCCGGAACTAACATCCCATGGTGGTCCTATGTCTCCAACACAAGTTCCAACTGAAGAATCACATTAGCAGGATTCATGAGTGAACTATCAAAAGTAGTTACCGCACACGATCATCCTAAAAAGACAGGAAATTTATAATGATGGGAGAAAAAAAAAAAAAGAACATAGTTTCTCATTACTTAACATGGAAGAATTGTCTGCCAAGTGGGATGAAAATCCATGCTCATTGGAGATGAGCCTTCATGTAGTGTCAGGCAACAGTAGTGGGCAAACCATTGGGTATGGCACATGTGACTTTGGCCAGGATCAGTAACAGTTGATTTTAACTAAACAAATGAAAGAAGACCAAGGTCAAGAAACACAAGTTCTATTATGTAATTCTGTACATAAATTTGATTCAGATTACCTCATCCAAAATCGGAAAGAACATTTTTTTGGCCAAGCATGGATAGTCAATGACCTCTATAGCTGTAGCCACAAAAATGTAACCAAAAGTTAATAATAACAACTATGCAATGTGTAAAATGACGACACACTTCAAACATAAATTAGAGGGTACCAGTACCCAACAACATCCCTTGAAGAACTAAAATAAAATACCTAGGCTCTTTGCAGCATTGAGAGATACTGCTCCTGGAGAAAGCGCACCTTGTGTTACAGATAAACTTTTGGCTCAGCAGAAGAAGTTGCAAGTGGATTTGATGTTGCTTGTGAAGGCTAAATACATAAGGTTAGAGCAATCTTAGAAGAAACCAGAAAGACTAAACAAAATCTTGTTTAAAACAAGAAAAAGAAAATCAGCTAGTGTGCTGATGAGCAGGAAACATATTGGTTAATGAGGACCAATAAGAAAAGAATTTCAGTTTACCAGAACATATCTTACTTGCAAACTGTTCCCAGTCAATAGAGACAAAGACAAACAGTCCTGCCAAACAAACATGATCAATGAAAAGGGTTTTAATAACTGGATTTGGACAAAAATCAGTAAGTGTAGACACCGAGCAGGATCATTGGTTAATGAGGACAAATACTTAGGAAAAATAAATTTATGTCACCAGAACATATCTTACTTCCAAATTGTTTTCAATTGGTAGAGGCAAAGGAACATCTTCCTGTGGTTCACAAACATGATCAACGAAAAGAGTATTAATGACTGGATTTGGACGAGAGTTTTTACACTGTTTATGTTGCCAATTCAAGCTGTCAAGTTAAACACACAAGTCAGTCTCTCTCCCAATTACAAAAACCAGAAAGTGACTAAATCTTTTACTAAATATGAGAATAACAAGTACTCTCTCTCTCACACAAACGCACACACACATATGTATGAACATATGCAATCACAAAATAGAAAGGAATACCAAAACTAGGAGGAAGCATTACCTTTGGTTAATGAGATTATGTAATCTACGACTTTTGATGCTAGGATGCTTCAGTTTGCCACGGAAAACTGGATTTGCCTCAGTTATTTGCCTGAGTTCTTTCATCATAGTCTTCCTCATAGACTTTATATCTCCACATATAGAGATTGCCTTATGATCCCTGTTGTATTGAACCCATACACATGTGATGCTTTTCTTTGAAAAGCTCCTCATCAAAAACTTTGAGATCCTTCGTGAGGATATCTAACGCCTTGGTGCGACAATTGCTGTCAAGAATGAACCAAAAACATGCAGAACATGGTATTTTTTAGGAGATTGTTTATGTATAGATTATAAGTAGCTTTAAAAAAAATGATGTTCTCACTTGTCAATGGCCTCAAGGAAATTTTCCTTTCTGATCTGGAAATAGATCTTCATTGAGTAGTGATTGTTATTTCTGTTTCATATTGACATATTGGGGACATCAATCAGGTTGAGAGGAAAAATTGTGAGGGTCATTTTTTGAAAAATTAAACTTAGTTTACCTAGACTGCAAAATGGTTCTTTTTCATTGCTCATAAGTTTGACTCCAGCTCCAGTTAACTGCATCTAGAATATTGGTTTTTGATCATTATTTCATCCCTTTCAGTTTGCTTCTCTGTTTTTCCCACCCAGCAGCAGCACCCCACACAAAAATCTGCAGGGCCAAAATGACATCGTTAAATAACCAAAGTCACATTAGAGTATAAGCCATGTCTGAAAGTAATTGTAGTTTCCAATGTGCATCAGCACCAGAAGAAACTAGTACATTCAGAGTGTTCGAGAAGGAAAGGCTAGTGACTCTTTTGGCGTGACCCTCAAGCTTCCTTGTAACCTGCAAAATATATAAATCAAGGCAATGACAAACTTTTCGGGTTAGCTTCATCACAACATCGAGCATGATTTTTGTTTTTTTTACAAGAACAAACAAACTACCTCGTCTGAGTGGAGATTGTATATTACAATGGTGGAATTGTCCATGCCAATAGCAACTATACTGTCATCTCGGGGGTGAAAAGCAAGACATGTTGCCGCAGGTGGTGGTGGCATGACTTTTTTCATCGTCTGCTTTTTTACGCAACAGATTTTTATGAGTAGAATGGGTTAGATCATGATAAATTTGCAAACAGAACCTACGCATATTGACAAACAAGATTTGGGAAGTTTCGGATGGGAAAAGAAAATTTCAAGAATACTGTTTGTGTTGGGTTTACCTTAAATGTTGTCATGTCAAAAATGGAGATCATCCCTCCTGTTGCTGATATGAGATATAAATCATTCTTGGACAAATCAAAGCAGGACATAGCCTCTTCAGGGTTGGTGCTGGGAAGGTCATTGTTCATCAGCTCTAAGCCACTCCTTGGTTTCCATATATTAGGGTGAACCTTGTGAGTTTGGGTAATCACTACAATTTTTGAGAGTATTCGAAGTGGATTTTGGGTAATCACTACAAATCTTTTAGTATCCATTTTGGGTCACAGGAAAAGCCCTGAAGGATGTCATTGGTCTTAGGTCCTCTTAAAAAAAAAAGGGTATAGCCGTTCGGCTATATGCTTTAAATATATTATTAAAGGGGGTATAGCCGCGCGGCTATAAATTTAAAAGGACCCGCCTAGCCCGCCTAGGCGGCCGATTTTTGGAAAACTTGAATGGCGTTTTTTCTCTTCAGATTTCTTTGATCCAAAGCATCCCAAGGTCATTGTTCAAACTCAGGATCAGATGAGACTTCATGTGCCCAGTAATTGAAACCTAAATTAAAACCAAAATATGTGGTAAACCTGAACTGAATCTGAAATTTAAAAAGAAAAAATTCACCTTTTGGGTCAGTTAACCAGACCAACTCAGTTCGTAACCAAACTAATGAATACAACAAAAGAAACATGAAACTGAATATTTAGGTAAGAGAATATTTGTTCATCATCAGCTTCCTAGCAACCAAACATAACATAAACCAAAACAGAAAATGGAAAATACTGATTTTCAGAGACGCCTTTACGTTGTTGATAAACGTGAGTTGCTAAAACCCTAGCTTGATGTATTTGCAGAGATGCCAGACTCGCCAGGGAAAAAGAAATCTGAAGAAAAAAAACGCCATTCAAGTTTTCCAAAAATGGGCCGCCTAGGCGGGCTAGGCGGGTCCTTTTTATTTTATTTTATAAATAGTATAGCCGGACGGCTAAACTCTTGAAATAATATATTTAAACAGTATGGCCGAACGGCTATACCCGTTAAATAATATATTTAAAAGGTGTAGGCGCGCGGCGGTATGCCTTCAATAATATATTTAAACACGGCTGCTGTAGAAGAAGAAGTGCTTCTCAGCATCTTTGATTATACTGGTTTGAAAATGGAATTTTGAGCAAGAAATCCCCTTCAAAACCCTAAGAAGCAACAAACCCAAGTCTCCAAGTGGACCAATCAGCCCAAGAAGCAACCCAACAATAAGTACCAAATTTCCCCAGCCTTTCATGCTTGCCAAGGTCTCTAAGTGAAGACCAATCTTTAAACACCAAAGGGAGCCTCTTCTCTTCTGATTCTCTCTCCCCACACTCAATCCTCATGAGCACCACACCGAAATTCCAAACAGTTTTCTCTGGTAAACAAGTCATAGAGTTCTCCAAACAAAGTGTGAAACAAGAACAAGTACCAGCAGCTCAGACAAAAAGGGTCTATGGTCATGGTGAAAGAAACAGAAGTAGAAGAAGAGTAGGGCCCAGCAAGAGCTTATCCGACCTGGAGTTTGATGAGCTCAAGGGTTTTATGGATTTGGGTTTTGGGTTCAAAATTGGGGAACAAGATAGAGATGAAGAGGATCAGAGAAATAATAATAATAATAATAATATTGATCCAAGTAGTCATCATGTGGTTTCAAGTCCTTATCTGTCTGAGGCCGATGCTTTGGATCAAAGAAATCTGAAGAAAAAAAACGCCATTCAAGTTTACGAAAAATCGGCCGCCTAGGCGGGCTCGGGTACTTATTTTATTTTATAAATTGTATAGCCGCCCGGCTAGACTGTTTAAATAATATATTTAAAAAGTATGGTCGCTAGGCTATTCTCCTTTAATAATATATGTGAAAGGTATAGCCGGTCGGCTGTACTATAGCTGTCGTCCTTAACTAATATATTTAAAGAGTATAGCCGTGCGGCTATACCATTTTTTTTTCATTTTTTCTTTCATTGCTATCTAAGCGAAGGGAACTACAATAATGTTACAGATAGAACACAAGCCCAGATCAGCTAATTACTGATCCATCACTTGCTCCATTAACAGTTTTATCTGTTTGTCGAATAACAAAGTGATCAACAATTTTAACGGTATTTAACGGATCCAGTTGAGCGGCAGCTGCTCTCCACTTGTTAGGAAACTTTCTAAGGTGGCTTATTTGTTGTGGCTGTCTTGGCTCCCTATCCCATTCAGGTCTAGCTTCCACTCTTTCGGGACCTGCATGTTTTAATTAGCTTTAAACTCTTAAAAGTCCCAAATACGCATCACATTCTTACCTTATCAACTGCAAGAGTGTAGACTTCAAGATCCCCGTCACTTTTGATGTGGAATCGGGTGAATGACTTGTAATTAGCAATTCGGAGGGAGGAGAAGGCTTCGTCAAAGTGTATGTGAAGCCAGTTCATGCAGATATATAATTAACTTCCAAGTACTAAAGAAACTACAGGAGTTGAGAACACCTAGAAATAAAGGAAGACGGAAGCATAATAGATTATGCCATCCCATTCTTGCATATATTGTTTCGGGTTACAGCCATAACCTGATAAGATTTCTTCATCGTCAGAATGCAACAAAGAAGAGTAAAAATAAGTTTGCAAAAGAGCTTTCCATACCTCTGGAACGTCGAATGCAGACATGAAATACTTGATGCATGCTGGATAGAGGCCAAAAGTCCATTGTATCCCAATGTCATATGGCTATCTTTTTAGGCAATTCTCAACAGAAACAAAAATGATTGAATTATCTGAAAGTTAAAATAATAGATGAACAAATATAACAGGCAAGGACAGAATAACTGCCAAGATCATAAATCACATTAGTATACAGGATGAGAAAGGTGTGCTTCTTCTCTGTTCATGTAGGTCTTGAAAATGATACATAACAGAATAGCTGCAGCCAGGTGTGCAGACACATGAAGCTATACTATTTTTTAAAAAATAGAAAAAGCGAGTATCGCCGCCCGGCTATACTATTTTTACAAAAAAATTAAAAACCGAGTATAGCCGTGCGGCTATACACACGTAAAAAAAGACCCCCCCAGCGATTAGGTGCCCACGTGTCAAAATAAGTATAACCGCCCAGCTACACTATTTTTTAAAATTTGGAAAAACAAATTGAGTACAGCCGACCGGCTAGACTATGTTTGAAAAAACAAAATCAGAAAAATAATTTATTTTTATTAAAAAACAGGGACCACTTTACAACTTATAAGGTAGGTCACTATACAATATTTTAATATATATTATTTTTATTCAATAATAGGTGAGAATTATTTATATAATACGTTAATTCTATGTGTCTTATTGAAACTTTTGTTAAAAATACGTGTGTACATGTACACTATTAAACGTGAAAGTGCTAAATTCTTTGTTCGGGTAATTACTCTAGCCCTCTGTTTGGATGAGGGAAATAACTCGGAATTTAGGTAAAGTCGGGAATTGAACAAGAGAAATTGACAATTCCCTTGTTTGGCAACTTTAACGCAAAACTTATTAAATGACGCATGGAAAAAATCATGGAAATTGATGTATCAAATTCCCGAGTTTAATTTCCACCAAAATAGTCATCATTTCACAATTTCCGTAGTGCGGGAATTCATATTTTCTAGTGTGCCAAAACTTACATAAAAAGAAAACCCACCAAACTTTTACATGAGCTATCCAAAAATTGAAATTTTCAATTTCTGTAATTTACAAAATTCGACATACATAAATCCAAAAACTGAAATCTTCAATTGCCAGAAATTGAAATGACGGAAATCTAAATTCCGTCATTTTAAAATTCTATGTAATTTGCAATTCCTTCATCCAAACGGAGCATAGGTGTTTTAAACTACTCTTATCGATAATCGGGGAAAAATATTTAAAAGAAAAAAGGATCCCATTAAATTACTTATTTTTGTTTGGGTGTTTTAATTAAATTTATCCAAATCCCAAGAGCCCCAAGGCACAAGGCCCTAGTCTTTGATTGATATAATTATTATTAATCAAAGTCGAGCCTACAGCCCAGCCCATTAGCCCAACTTTCCAATGTTAACCACACTTACCAAACCATCTTCTCAAAAAAGGGCACCTCAAAAGATAAGCCTACATATAAATCCTTATTTTTATTGTTGGTGCAATGTGGAAATATATTTAAAGAATATAGTCATGCGACTATACTCCAAAAGTAGAAAAATTGAATTACTATTTATTGAGTAATATAACTCATCAAGTTAATTAAAATATTTAATACTAATTATTCACTAAAGAAATAATAAATAAAATAAGACAAAGATAATATTTAATTAATAAAAATAAAATTTTAAAAATTAATTAACCTAAACATACTAAGTTTATATTTATTCAATTTTTTAAAAATCTCTTCCAATGAAAGTTCGTCGGAAAATTTCTATCCCGACGAAATTTGCCAGATTAGACATTTCCAGACAAAACTTCGTCGGCAGAAGTAACTTTTGTCGGGAGATGTCTAATTCGGCAAAACTTTGCCGACATAGATCTCTGCCAACGATAGTTCGTCGGGAGAGGTTTTTTATTTTCTTAAAAAGAAAAACCGAGTACAGCCGACTGGCCATACTATTTTTAAAACAAAAAGCCAAAAAATCGACTATAACCGTGCGGCTATACTATGTGAAAAAAGTGGACCCCCTTGCGCCCACCAGTCAAAATAGCTATAACAGACCGGCTATACTAACTTATAAAAAAGAAAAAAAAGAATAGAGCGAGTATAGCCGGCCGGCTATACCTTTATAACAAAAAAAAACCAAGTATAGCCGAATGGCTATACTATTTATACATGTAAAAGAAAGAGGACCCCCTTCGATTAGACGCCCACGTGTCAAAAAAAAATCTCCGCCCGGCTATACTATTTTTAAAAACATTAAAAAAAGCAGTATATAGCCGCCCGGCGATACTATTTTTACAAAAATGTTGTTGCCTCCATTATAAGTGCCCGTTTGGCATTGCTTATTTGGAGTGATAAGTGATTTTTTTAAAAATTTTGGGAAGCCCAGCCCGTTTGGTAACCTGTGATAAATCACTTATTATTAAAAATCGCTGTGGGAGAAAGCAATAAAGGAAAGCAGCTAATGACCTGCTTTCAATTTCTGATTATGCGACAATCAGATTTGAGAAAGCGCTGGGTTTAATGAAAATTAAAATATTCCGAAAATACCCCAACATGATTTCACGCTCTCCTCTTCTTCGTGCGTCTTCTCTATCCCAAGCCACAGAGCATTGTTCTCCTTCTCTTCCATTCTTCCTCCATTTTTTTCTTGTTGGATCAATTGAAGCGCAATCCTAAGAAGCCAGAAGAATCAAGTAAGAGACATATTGTGTTTATTTCTTCTCAATTTCGTTCTTCCCTTTTTCTCTTTAATTTTTAGGGTTTTAACTATCTTGGTTCTTCTTCATGCCATCTCTTCACAGAGATCACTCCTCTCCTTCTCTTCCACATATTGCCTACGATTTTTTCTGGTTGGATAAATTGAATCGCACTACTAAACTACAAGATTCAGGTAAAGCCGCATATTCTGTTTATTTATTTTCAATTTCCTTGTTCTCTCTCTTTCTCGTTGATTTCTAGGATTTTAACTTTCAATTGTAGCTGCTGTTTGTTTTCTATATTTCGTTTTGGCATGAGAATGACATTTCTGTATATTGGTTTTGGGGCCCTTCCTGATGGGGTGAAGTTCCTATAAACTGGTTCAATTGGTAGAAAAGGGAAATAGGCAAATAGATTTCAAGGAGGTACTTCTTGGAATTTTCTTACTTGGAATTTTCTTCTTGGAATTAGGCAAATAGATTTCGAGGCAAATAAGGTCAACCTCCAAAGCATGAAGCTGTATTTTTTACTTGGAATTTTCTGTATTATCTTTGGCATAACTTCTTCTTTTTTAGGTTCTTCAATTCTTGTCTACTTCTTCTTTTTTATTATTTCTTTCTAATGTTGGGATTTAGGAACAAAGGAATTTAGGGATTTAGTGAACCCATCTATTTTAAGAAACCCAAATGCCCAAATGAGCACTTGATGAAGAAGATTTCTAGGTGAAGCTTCTCTGCTTGTCAAGCATGTATTAGCATGAACAACTCCATCCATAATCGACGAGCTAAGAAAATCCTCCATTTAAGATAGTTGCAGAGCAGATACCGCCATTGTTCTCCTTTATGCTACTTACATTGGCTTAAAGATAGTTGTTTGATAATTTCCAGTTTGTTCTATTATATGTGTTATATATATATATATATTAGTTATATATATATTTTCAGTGTTGAATATTCCAACGTAATTTTTGAAATTCTAATCTGTGATAAAATTGTGCTACTAGTTTAAGCATCACTCAGGAAAGAATGATCCTGAGACTTTTATAGCAGAAGTCCTATAAAATAATTACTATTCAATGTGGCACGAAGTTATAAGTATACATAAGGGTTCAGTTTGGTAAATTAGTGCAGAATTTTTTTTCTTTGCTCTGTTTTTATTTTGAATTTGAGTAATTGGTTTATTTCATATTTCATCCCTTTAGTTTTCCTCTTGTTGTGAGCTTATCAATTTGTGGGCTTGCAGCATGCAATTTTGTCGGAAGAAGTAATTATCAATTTCTGTATAATTTGGGAAATATCGTATAGACAAAAGAGATCCTGTTGGTGTTTATTTTGTTCTGTGTGTGTGTATCATTACTCTTTGAGATCCTTGCTCTAGCATATCTTAAAGGTGCAGATTGTTTCTTCAATTCTGTTTTACTCTTCTTAGTTGTAAATTTATGTTTCATTATTGTCTTGTCTTTTGGGTTTTTTCTTTCCCTGTCTCTATGCCGCTTATCTATAATTTGGTTTGTTTGTAATTCGCTTATATACCTATTATTTTCTTTTGTGCTTATATATAATGTCTTTGTTGCAATAAGATGGCAAAGAAGAATAGTAACTTCACCACAACTGAAAGTGTTGCAAGTGGATCTCGAAAATTGTCAGCATTGTGAATGCTCAAATTATATCCATCTTCATTGACCTTTGTATCAAGGAGGTGGATTTAGGCAATCGTCCTGGTACTCACTTTAATAAAGTTGGATGGGCAAGATTGGTTACAAATGTTAGTAAAGAGATAGGAAGACCATATGAAAAATTAATTGAAAAACAAGTGGGATTTACTGAAAAAAGAATGGAAATTGTGGAAAGATCTAAAAGGGAAGGAAACGGTCTTGGGTGGAACGTTGCTAAGAATACCGTTGATGCATCTGATGAATGGTGGCAAGATAAAATTCAGGTATTTGAATTTTTTGTTCTTGTTTTAATATAGTATTGATATCCATGTTTTTTTTCAAACTTTGTTTAAAATTCATTATAATATTTGTATATGTCATAATGCAGGCAGAACCCAAATATGCAAGATTCCAATTTGAGGGTATTAGTCCTGAGATGGAGGAGAAGTTAGATAGGATGTTTTTGAACGTCACTGCCACTGGTAAGCATTCTTGGGCACCTTCATCTGGTGTACTTCCAGTTGAAAGTGATGATGATATCAATCCATTTGAAGTTAACGGTGATCGAATGAGTCTGTGCCAATTGAAAGCACTCAAACTACAACAACATGTGCCAAAAGAGAACTAATCAATCACTTGAAATTCAAGATAATAATGAGAAGAAAGGTAAAGGAGGGGGGAAAATGGGAGGTGCTGCAAAATTATCACTGCAAATTGAACGTCTTGTTGAGGTGGTTGAGAGTAGGAGTACTGGAACATCAATGGCTAATACAGTTTCACAAGGAAACTAGTATTGCTGAAGTGATGAAAGATATTGCAACTTTACCTGGGGCAGAGCGTGGTAGCAAGTTATGGTGGTTTGCAACTAAATTGTTTTGTGCTCAGGAGAAGAGAGAGATGTTTGTTGTCATGGAAGATCCTGACCTCAAGCTTCAATTTCTAATCATGAGTTAGCTGAAGGATAGAATTTGCTAGTTTGGTGACTTTAATTTATGTTTTGTTTTTGTGTTGTTAATTTTTTTGAAATTGTGAGTGATATTTGAATTAATGTTGGATGATCTTTTATTTGAATTTGTGGGTGATATTTTAATTCTTGTCATTATATTTTATGTTATATAAGCATACATGCACAATGAAAGTGATATTTGAAGGAAATAAACACATTTGCAGGTTATTTTAGAACATGGCCATTCCAGAAGATGAGCGGAGATCAACCAAATTATATGTGTCACTGCACGTCTTATTGAACTTTATTATGTGAAATATATTCACAAGACCCCGTGTATGAATGACCATCATACAGGAAATATTTGGTTGATGGGAGTGTTACAAGGAAATGAAAGTCGTTGCCATAATATGTTTAGGATGGACAAAGATGTATTTATAAGATTGTGTGATGAATTGCAAAAAATTATGGATTAAATGGTTCAAGAAGAATGAGTGCTGCTGAGATGTTAGGGATGTTCTTGAACATCTTAGGACATGGTTCTGCAAATAGGCAAGCACAGGATCGCTTTCAACATTCTGGTGAGACTGTGAGCAGATATTTTGGTATCTTACTTGATGTTGTATGTCGTTTGGCTGTAGATGTAATTAAACCATTGGAAAATGCGTTTAACAACACTCCAAAGGAAATCCTACAGGATTCTAGATATATGCCTCATTTCAAGGTAACTATTGCATCTGCTACTCTTAAATATTTGTCTATGTTTTATTATGTTATAATTATTATCAAGCATGTCTTTTTATCTCTTGTAGGATTGTATTGGTGCTATAGATGGTGTTCATGTCCAAGCCATAGTATCTCCTTCTAATCAAATACCATTTATTGGTAGAAAAGGGATACCTACCCAAAATGTGATGGCTGCATGCAATTTTGACATGCAATTTATATTTGCATGTGCTGGATGGGAAGGCACGGCTCATGACACAAGGATATTTCTATCGGCTTTACGTGATCAAAGTTTGAATTTTCCTAAACCTCCATCTGGTATTATTTCTATCTAAAGAAAAAAATTCATATAATTTATATTTAAGTTTTTAACATTGTGAATAATCAATTAAATTTCTTTTTAGGAAAATATTATCTAGTAGATGCGGGATACCCACAAATGAGAGGCTACTTAGGACCATATAAAGGTGAAAGATATCATCTTCCTGATTTTCGTAGGGGTGTTCAAACCGATGGGTCATAAAGAGGTATTCAATCATGCACACTCTTCCCTTAGAAGTGTTATTGAACGCACTTTTGGAGTATGGAAAAAGAGATGGAGTATTTTACGAGACATGCCTAGTTATCCTTTTGCAAAACAAGTAAAAATCGTTATTGCAACCATGGCACTTCATAACTATATAAGAAGACATGCCAAACGTGATTGTCATTTTGATGAAAGTGAAGATGACCTAAATAGTATTCAAGGTGAAGAAATTGAGATAGAGGTTGATGCACAACAAGAAGATGGTCCTGCAACACAAGAAATGGAGGCATTGAGAAATCATATAGCCGCAAGTTTAATGAGTTCATCTACATAGAAATGTATATGATTGCTTGTTCATGACTAGCTTAGTTTTTGTTATGACCATATTTTTTACAATATATTGTTTTCAATGGAAACTTTATTTATTTTATAATTAAAACAAAATTTAGGGTGTGATGGAAACATATTTAATATAAAAAAAAATAATTTATATATAAGATAAAATAAAAGTGCTTTTCCTTTTACCAAATTTAAACAGAAAAGCCAATTCAAGATAATACCCTTTTAGTCATTATACACTGCTCACAGCACTTTCATAAAAAATTTACCAAACACTCAGAAACTGATTATTGTACAAACAGCACTTATAAAAAAAAGTTTACCAAACGCCAAACTGCTTTCTCTCACAGTAGATTTCTCTCACAGCAAATTTGACAGCGATTATTTTCACAGCACAGCAATGCCAAACTGGCCCTAAGAATATAATTGCACAATGTGCTTTGCATATGCAACCGCTGTTCAATGAAGAAGACGACGGCAATGAATATGAACTACAAGAAATGAAAATCAGCAACTCCATACCATTTAAGTATGAGAACATTCTCACCAAATATAGAACCATCAGGACTCCATCGGATACGATTAACAAATACATATGAATCTTTGACCAGAGCTTCCTGAAATAATTGATATTGGTTCAAATTTCGGATCATATCAGTAAGGTTGAGAGAGTAGTGCATAATCCAGAAGCAGATGCACCTTTAAGGCCATTGGGCCTGTGTCAAGATTCCAGACTCTAAAATTTCTCGAAAGCAACTTTTCCTGAACTAACATCCCATGGTCCTATATGTCTCCAACACCCCAGGTTCCAACTGAAGAATCACATTAGCAGGATTCATGAGTGAACTATCAAAAGAAGTTACCGCACACAATCATCCTAAAAAGACAGGAAATTTATAACGATGGGAGAAAAAAGAAGAAAAAAAGAACATAGTTTCTCATTACTTAACATAGAAGAAGAGTCTGCCAAATGGGATGAAAATCCGTGCTCATTGGAGATGAGCCCTCATTTAGTGTCAGGGCAACAGTAGTGGGCAAACCATTGGGTATGGCAACTGTGGACATGTGACTTTGGCCAGGATCAGTAACAGTTGATTTTACCTAAACAAATGAAAGAAAACCAAGGTCAAGAAACACAAGTTCTATTATGTAATTTTGTACATAAATTTGATTCAGATTACCTCATCCAAAATCGGAAACAAGATTTTTTTGGACAAACATGGATAGTCAATAACCTCTATAGCTGTAGCCACAAAAATGTAACCAAAAGTTAATAATAACAACTATGCAATGTATAAAATGACGACACACTTCAAACATAAATTAGAGGGTACCAGTACCCAACAACATCACTTGAAAAACTAAAATAAAATACCTGGGCTCTTTGCAGCATTGAGAGATACTGCTCCCGGAGAGAGCGCATCTTGTGTTACAGATAAATTTTTGGCTCAGCAGAAGAAGTTGGAAGTGAATTTGGTGTTGCCTGTGAAGGATAAATACATAAGGTTAGTGTGGCTGATGAGCAGGAAGCATTGGTTAATGGGGACCAATAAGAAAAGAATTTCAGTTTACCAGAACATATGTTACTTGCAAACTGTTCCCAGTCGATAGAGACAAAGACAAACAGTCCTGCCATTCACAAACATGATCAATGAAAAGGGTTTCAATAACTGTTGAATCGGTATCAACCTTTATACTTTTGGTTGAAAACAAAAGCTGAAACTGCAGAGAAAGAAGGATAGAAAGCAGAGTATATTGAAATGTTCAGTATATTTGCACTATAAAAAAACACAGAGGAATTACATGACTATATTCCTCTTCTCAGTCAAAATTCAGATCCTATTTCTCAGTCAAATTTCAAGAATACTATTTGTGTTGGGTTTACCTTAAATGTTGTCATGTCAAAAGTGGAGATCATCCCTCCTGTTGCTGATATGAGAGATGAATCATTCTTGGACAAATCAAAGCAGGACATAGCCTCTTCAGGGTTGGTGCTGGGAAGGTCATTGTTCATCAGCTCTAAGCCACTCCTTGGTTTCCATAAATTAGGGTGAACCTTGTGAATTTGGGTAATCACTACAATTTTTTTAGTATCCATTTTGGGTCCATATTTCCTGAATTGTGAAGTGATTGGCAATTCTGGTAGGTTGGTGCCACAGGAAAAGCCCTGAAGGATGTCATTGGTGTTGGTATCGGTGGCCTTTTTTCTTGCCTTTTCCAGTCTTTGGCACCTGCACTGCATACACACACACACAAAAAGAAAAAAAAACAAGAAAAAAAAGATCACATAAATATTACGAGAAAAAAGAACTTTGATGATTGATGAAGATCTACCAACCAACATAAAAGAGGACAGAACTGAATAGTGGAACAAAACACAAGAGAGAAAAATAAAAGGGGTTTCAGAATGAGAAGTAATCGGGGGCCCATCTCTTCTTTTGTTTTTTTTTTCCTTCAACATATAAATGCAATTTTCCTTCTCAAACCCTAACTCTAACAAGAGCCGTCTTCCAGCCCCTCTCTCTCGCTCAGACTTCTTCTTCAATCCTCATCTCTCTGTCTCTCGCTCATAGCACCATCGTGATCTCTTCCCTGACCTTGGAGATTCCAAAATGGCGTTTTTTTTTTCTAGGCGCAGCGCCCGCCTAGACCGCCTAGCGCCCACCTTGACCCCGCCTAGCGACCGCCTAGCCCGCCTAGCCCTCCTAGCCCGCCTAACCCCAGCCCAGAACATAGAGATCTTGGCCACCATCTGCATGTATCCTCATGTCGCCCGCCTAGACCGCCTAGAGGCCGCCTAGACCGCGTAGCGAGCCTAGCCCCAGCCTAGCCCCCGCCTAGAACATAGAGATCTTGGCCACCATCTGCATATAACCTCATGTCCATTAGCTCCCCAAACCACATGACGCAACCTCTCCTTCCGTTTGAAATCTCCATGTAACAATAAGCAGTGCAAGAACAGTTCTCCAAACACTTCTCTTTACATGCCTCAAGGCTCATGTCCCCATCCACAAATGCACCCCCACTCTCAGGCAATTTCACACTCCTGTCTTGTGGGGGGAGGGATTGGGTGAATATAGTGTTTTCTAATTGATGTTGTCTATGCCACAATGCAGGCTGCATCCCTCAAAGAAAAGATTAACCGAATGTTTGGTGGAGATTCAAGTTTATCTTCCTTTGGTCGAGTATTATGTGGATAAATATGGAATTAAAATGCTAATTTAAACACGTTTTATCTGCAATCAGCAAGATGTGTTTCCTATTTATTTATTTTTTTAAAATTTATTTTTCGGATCTAGGGGAAGGGATTAAAATTTGGAACCTCTTCCAACAAAGTGGAGAGAACTAGCAGCAGAACAATAGCTAGTTGGTGTCTCCTAATTAAAATTAGGATGCCCAAATTTCTGACCTTTCAACTGTCTGAAATCACAAAAAACTTGTATTTGATAGCTTTATAGGATTTATGGTAAAGATGAGACCAGCTTATTTCTGAAACCATTATCATGTGATTCTTTTGCATTCTGTTTTTCTTTTTCTGGGTGGTGCCTTCAGATAAACAGCACATAAAATAGATCAGTGCTTCATGTAGCTCTTCATGCTCCAAGGGATGCAGTTATACGGAGTGATGGGGAAAATGTGGTCCCAGATGTTTGGGAAGTTCTGGACAAGATCCAAAAGTTTTCCGAGAGTATTCGAAGTAGATTTTGGATAATCACTACAATTGTTTTTAGCATCCATTTTGGGTCCATATTGCCTGAATTGTGAAGTAATTGGCAATTCTGGTAGGTTGGTGCCACAGGAAAAGGCCTGAAGGATGTCATTGTTGTTGGTATCGGTGACAGCTTCTTAGGTCCTCTTCAAATAGGTTTAGATGATGCTTTCCATTTTGTCAATTTATAACCTCTATTTTGCAGTCTTGTTTACTATTCACTGGTTTGATTACATTTTGTAGATCCAGAGAGGCTATCGAAACAGTAAGGGGAAGGCAACTGCATTTGCTCCAAAAAGGTTTACACCATAATTTTTTGATTAATTATTTTGTCACCCAAATTGTTTTATGAGTCTCTAAATTTTTTTAAAGCCCACTTATAAAAGAAACCAAAACAGGCCCTTTACTTATCCATATTTCACTTTCTGAAAAATAAAGGCCTTTTGACAAAAGAAAATAAGAAAATGGGCTTCTTTTTGTTTTCAATTCCCTAACAAAATCTTATAAAATATGAAAGTCCAAATATAATATTAAATCCAGAAAAAGAGGTTCTAGCGTGCTGTTGATACACCACCATTAATTCATTCATCGATTATTGATACCATGTTGATGTACTTTGTATTATTATTTTTTCACCGAAGACATAAACTTCGTTATTATTACATTGGAGGAAAGAAACCCCACCTAGGGTTCAATCCTGGGTGGGTGCCGGGGGGTGGGGGGTAGGAGAGGAGAGGTAATCCACCACCACGGTGTAAATGATGCCACTAAGGATATGTTTAGTTCTATTTATTGATTGTGAAATTTTTTCACTTACATGTATGGGGTCTCAATATTTCTCTTTGTACAAGGCTTTCAAAATCAATGGACCTGCCCTAATTGTGCCATGACTAGCAAAACCTTAAGCAAAATGGATTACTTCTTCGAAGGAAAGCGTGATGTGCGGTCCCTTCTATGTTCTTAAAAACTTGTATTTATAGGGTTCATTTCCTTGGATTAAAATCCTTTTCAGTAAAAAAGAGACTAAAACACAAATTTCACAATGGTTTTTCACCAAAACATCTTAGCATTAACCTTACCAATTTATCTCTTCTGGTCAGCACTGATCAGATTTGGGAATATGGTTGACATGCTGCATTGGAGATCATATTTTGCAGAATATAGAATCTGATTGGAGGTCTTGAAATTTGAGAGAGAGAGTACGTGGTTTGGGACACCTTATATCAATGAGAAACACAATCATTTTGTTTAGAATGGCAAGTACGTTGGTTTCTCAAAAGAAGTTTTCCATAGTGAAAATAAAATTGATGCCCTAATAAGACTTTTTTTTTCTTTATTAAAACAAAGTGTTTGATTGGTTTTTTGATCAATAGGGTTGAGTTTGGAGGGGTTTGAGCTTGGAACCTCTTCTAACATTGGAAAGAGAAGTACGTACCATGGCTATATAAAAGCCTTTAGATTTTTAATTAAGTTAAGAAGCAATTTAGTTATAAAATTTGGCTTAATTATGTACATGCTCCCTGTGCTTTCCAACTTATCTCAGATTACCACCTGTGGTGGAAAACGTCTCAAAGTACCCCCCAACGTGCAAAAAACTGTCTCACGTTACCCTTTCCGTCAGTTTTTTTGAAGTTCCGTTACGAATGTTACTGTTCATCTCCCCCAAAATTCCAGAACAGTAGCCCCTCCCCTTTGTTACTGTTCATCGCTTATTTACCCTCCAAAACTCAGAAATTTCTCCTAACCAACACAACTAGCAGCAAGAACAACTCGAGAGGTTGAAAAATCATACCTGGATCGAAGAAAATGGTGCTCGGAATCGCCCGAACGAGCAATGGAGATTTTGGGTAAAAACCGGCCAATTTCTTGCTTTTTTCGGTGATCCAGACGACGGTTGGCAGCGGCTGAGATGTGAGGGTGGTAGAGGACAACGTGCTGGTTCTTTTGATATCCATGTCGTCGCTTGGGGTGGCCGGAGGAGGCGATGGCAGCCCAAAAACTGGTGCGATGAACAGTAACAAATGGGAGGAGCTGCTGTTCTGGAATTTTGGGGGAGATGAACAGTAACGTTCGTAACGGAACTTCAAAAAAACTGACGGAAAGGGTAACGTGAGACAGTTTTTTGCACGTTGGGGGGTACTTTGAGACGTTTTCCACCACAGGTGGTAATCTGAGATAAGTTGGAAAGCACAGGGGGCATGTACATAATTAAGCCATAAAATTTTGCAGGTGATCATTCTTTTGATTTAAATGCACATATAAAAATCCTCTGCCATCTTATTAGGACAAAAAATTTGACAAAGTTTAGTGAAATTGCACATTATTCTTTCTAAAAGTCAGGTAAAACATGAGCATGTTGGGTGCCATACAGCCATGCTATCCAAATTGCACTTTAAAGTACTTGAATGCCTTATTTGTAACAAAAAAGAAAACCAAGTTTTTACCATTTAAGGCGCACTTGTGTACCAAGTTTGACTCACTCTCATTATAATGATGTGAGGATTGTCAAACTTTGTTTTTCTCTAAATATTTTATGTTGTACAGGATAAGTATACGAGTTATATGTCTTGTGTTACACATATATAATTGTGTCCGATCGTGTTCGTGTAGATGTATACTCTTGATCACACGAAAACGAATTCTCACCCTACATATTTTAGTGGTTATGTACCATGTCGTCAAGGATATACATTTAAAGCTACATTATATTAGCAGTGAATTCTTTGCGGATAGCTCAAGATTATGTGTTAGTAGTCCCGTGACCCTGCTCCACGCAGCATCTTAAGAAAATACGTGACTTGGAAGCTGCTGGTCTTGCAAAATTAATCACAACATCATGCATGCATGACTCCCACTCAACTCAAGCACTCAATCTGAACAAGTCAACGCCCTTCTTTTCTTTCCAACTATATATAGAAGGAAAATGATGTAAAATATGAGCTTCCCATAAAAAAAGGTACATATATTCCAAAAGTGGAAGAGCTTTAACTGTCACACGATGGAATAGAATCATACCTTTAATTTTTGAGGTATGAGTTGTCTGCATGCAGTCTATGGCTATAAATAGGATGACAACGCTGCATTATGTAAATGAACTGAAGTGGTTCAGATTAATAAAAATACCATTTGTTCAAGAGTCGTGCATGAGGAGATGGAGAGTAGATATGAGCCAAGGATGACTTGCCAAAGCATATGGCCTTTCCACTTGTTTATCTTCTGGCAAGCTGTCCTTGGTTCACGTTTGCTCTCTTTTCTCTCATGTGAGATTCAAGGACTAACGCCTACAACTGGAGAGGGGGAGAAGAATTTACTTTATAATTGTGATGCTAATGCAAATTTTTGCTTGTGTTTTCTGTCTGCAGCAACTGGAGGAGTTAAATCATAACGTGTTTCCGCGATTTCCCTTTTGTGAGAGCCTTGTGGTTGATAAAATCGTAGCATTCAACACAAAACTAATTGAAATTGGTGGAGAAATTATAACCTTAGTAAGGCGCATGACTTTGCATCTCTCCTGTGGTATATGCCCCCCTCAACACACTCATTGACATCCCAGCCATTGAGCATGACATTGTTCTTATGCAGAACCCTCAATCCTGCACATATAAATTTCATGCACTCCTGTTGACATATAAGTTCATCTTTATTTTAATTTTGGTAAACATAATTTGATGTTATTTATATATTTATTTTATTCAAATAGTTCTGATCACATCTCAGACTTCTGTGCGTTTCCTGAAGTCCCAATTATTTCAAGATTTTTTTTTTGGTGCTATGACACCAGCAAATGTCTAACATATTCCTTATGGAATGTGTTTGTAGGCTTACGACTGTGTAGAGAAAAGAAGTCCAGTAGTCTTTCTCGCTTACAGATGCAGAGAGTATGGCTGCAATGGCATCTGTTTGGGTCAGGGCATTCAGACGATGATGATTTGCAGGGAAATCTAATTACTTTATACCTTGCTTCAGCTCCATATTTTATCCCTACCACAAAATTTTCCTTCAATTATTAACTAAATATCTTGTCTACAAAACTACTAACAATACATGTAAAAATTGAGATTAGATAAAAACACACACACAATTTTTTTTTTGCATACATACATACATACATGTATATTGTTGCTACTGGGTAAAATTATTACAAATTTATAAATAAACCCAATCCTAGACATGTATTTATAAAAAAACCCAAACACTATTTAAACATAGAAACACACCCAAAATCAACAATTGTATATTTTTTGGGTGTGTTTATAAATGGGTTTTGAGTGTGTGTAATGATGGGTTTTGGGTGTGTTTATAAAAGTGTTTTGGGTGTTGGGTTTTTTTATAATTTCAGCCCCCATTTTGGGTGTTTTAGTAAAACTATTTGGGTAAAGTATTTTACCGGAAGAGGTAACAACCAAGAGCACAACCAGGAACGTTAACCTTCCAAATCTGATTAGGAGAACAAACTCAGGTCCATATCAGAAGATGTTTGGGCCCATTTCACATCCCCTGCATGGAATAAAGAGAACTTTTATAGGGATGGGTTCAAATTGATGTAGATTTTTAAAACACAAGTATTCAAAAATCACAAATTAAATTACTCTCAAGTACACAAATCAATAATATAGTATGGAGATATGTAAGTACGAGGTTGAATCCACAAGGACTGATAAAAATAGCTTAATTAATTAAATCACACTAAACCCAATTAAACAAACGATTGATTGATTTGAGTGATGAATTCAAGAAAACTTAAATTGCAAGAATTAAAAAAAAGAAAAATAGAACACACAACAAAGATAGGTTTAAAAGAAAAAGATAGTAGGGTTATACAAGGAAACAATAAACTCCTAATTACACAAGATTTGTACAAAAGAGAAAGAAATAAAATCCTAATAAAATAATCTCCCAATCAAACTAGGATCTCGCCAACAATAAAGTATTGAACCCTAGTTTATATCTTTCTTAGGGAAAGTATATACATATTTAGGGCTCGTTTGGAAGTGATTTTAGATAGGCCAATAATCATTTCTACGAAGAATCACTTCTCCATATAATCATTTTAAGTTATTTGAAGTGATTTCATATCTCAAGAGGTACCATGGGGACAATGAAATCAACAAAAAATCTGCACTCACTAAAGCACAAGGATGTCGAGAAAATCTCATTTTTGTGGTGCTATGAAATTTGGAAATCGGACACTTTCTGGATATGTAGCACATGCACTTCTAGTGGCATAGTATATGAAAAACAAATAACACCTGTTGTGTGTAACATAGAATTCCTTATGTAATGTCCTTGATGTTGCGAGTTACTCCAGTATTAGTGGAGGAGCGAGGTAAACAGAGGAGAGCAGTGAAACGGGGTAGGGAAGTGGTTCTTGTACCACATAGTGACATTAGCCATACTTGTGGGTGCAAAAAGAGCCCAATAAAGCCACGCGGGTATACTACTTTAAAAAAGAAAAAATAAAGTATCGCCGCGTGGCTATACTATTTATAAAATTAAAAAAATGAAAAGAAAAGAGAACCTGCCTAGAGCCTAGGTGCCCATGTGTGAAAAACAGTATAGGCGCCCGGCTATACTATTTTATTTAGAAAAACACCGTAATATAGCCGCACGGCTATACGATTTTATTTAAAAACAAACCATTGTATAGCTGCATGGCTATGCACTTTAACTATGTTATATTTAGAAGGTATGGCCGCGCGGCTATACTATGTCATGAAAAAAAAAAAGTATAATTCATTTAAATTTTTTAACATATATTATTTTTATTCAATAATATGTGAGAATTATGTGTATAATACGTGAATTTTATGTATATTATTAAAATTTATAAAAAACAATATGTGTATTTAACATGAAAAATATGTATGTACATGTAATATACGAGTATTGTAAGTTTGATTTTTAAAAAATGTGAATTTTACCGAGTCTTTAAGACGTGTACAAAACACGAATTTATTATTAAAAAATACATGTGTACATGTATAATATAGTATTAAATGTGAAAGTACTAAATTCTTTATACGGGTAATAACTATGGAAAATTAAAAAATCCAAAAGGGAACAATAGAGACTCGGGTAATGGCTTAATCGTAATGGATAATGCTCTAAACCACTCTCATCAATAAACGAAAATAGGGGAAAAATTTAAAAGAAAAAAAGGATCCCAATATATACATAAAGAGTATAGCCGATCGGCTATACTATTTATTAAAAAAATTATAAAGAAAAAGAGCCCCGTAAGGCCGCGCGGCTATACTATTTAACAAAAAGATAAAAAAGGGGAGTTAGCCAAGCAGCTGTACTATTTTATTTAAAAAATGGAAAAAAAGCCCAGTACAGCCGTACAGCTATACTATTTTAAAAAATTATAAAAACCACGTATAGCCGCGCGGCTATACTATCTTTGATTAAAAAAAAAAAGCCCAGTACAGCTGCGTTATTCTATTTATAAAATAAAAAAAAGGAAAAAGAAAACAGAACTTGCCTAGCGCCTATGTGTGCACGTGTCAAAAACAGTATAGCAGTACGGCGATACTATTTTTTTTTAAAAAAAACCGTAGTATAGCCGGTCGGCTATACTCGTTAAATACAAGTTGTGCCATTTTCTTCCCATGCTTGGTATGTGAGTAAGTTATCCTTCCAAACATCTCACACAGGCCCTTTCCTTGTTTAAGAATCTATTCTGAGAACAGCAATCAAAAATTTAGCCCATCCCTATTATATGTTTCTTTATTCGATGCAGTGGATGTGAAGTTGGGCCCAAAGATCATGTGCGGAGCCTGAGTTTCTTCTGCTAATCAGATGAGGCAAAAAGGTTGCAAAAAATATTAGAATATTGGTTATGGCCTTTGGGAGGCATAATCATATCCACACTGCAAAGTGTTTTCTTTTTCTTTTTCTTTTCTTTACTGTAAAGCTGGTTTCCGTACTGTGAAACTATCATCACCATTTCTGCCTATATAATTAGAAGCAAGTGCATTGCAATTGATATATCAATATCAGAGATACATCTGTGAATGTGAGGGAGAAAAAAATTCAATAACTGTAGATCGTTTGCATATGTAGCCATTAATTCTTTTGTGCAGTCTCAGAGTGTTTACATGAAGCACAAGAGATTGGATTGCAGCCAAGGATGACTTGCCGGCATTTACAGTACTCTTGCTTTATGCAGCTGAGGTTTGCCGGCAAGTTGTCTTTGGCTACATTTTGCTCTCTTCTTCTCATGTCAGCCTCTGAGACTTGGGATTGTTTTAGTGCTATCAGGGGAGAGTGGAAGCGTATATACTCTTTAATTACTTGAGCTACAAATTTCTTGTTTTTTTTGTTTTTTTGTTACCAAACTATAAGAAAGGTCCTCTCTGATCCCAATTAATGAGCAAAACTCACCTTTTTGTTTTTTTTTTTTTTTTGTTAGAACGGATGTCAAGATCAAGAGCATTTCAATTATTGGTGGTGTTGATGGAACAAGTCCTTCCAAGATGAGGGCGTAAGTTCGAACTTTAATGTTTTCTACCTAAGGTCTGGATTTCTTATATTGGTGTAGTTCGAACAAAACAAATATCGAAACAGTCTTTGATAGGTGTTTAATGTTCACTTCATCGCATTTTTGCAATGGAAGATGTTGGTTTAGTTGAGGCTCATGTAATCTCTCTTAATATCAAAAACAAAAAACAAATCCATGTTTTTACACTTGGTCGCTCGTGACTCTGATTGTTTCCCTCCTTGGCTGATCCCACATGAAAAAAGCCTACATGATCTCAATCAAAACTAACATGACTATATTCACCCTAAGATATCAATTAGGAAATAAAAGATGGCAATTGCAGTTTTGCAGTGCAGGCCATATAAGTTGAACTTTTGAACATCAGCACTATGAGCCAGTTTGGTACAGCATTGCCTCCAAAGCTATCATATAACCATATTTTGATCTTGCCATCCACTGATGTTGAAAAGACAAACTGAGGCATGTAGCATTAAAAAAAGTGTAGGATAATATTATGCAGAAACGGAAAGTAAATCAGATGATTCAAAACTTAAAACATCACTAGAACCACAACATCAATACCCAAAGTGGCCCTTACATGGACATTTTCTTTGGTATGAGGACAGACAGAACAGACATGAGCTTCATGACCTTCAAAAGTAACAGTCTTTGGCCACAAACACCCCAAACCTTACACATACGTTTATGAAACCAACCTTGACGGTCTTGTCATCAGCACAAGTTATGACCAAAAGTTGGTTGTGAGGGGAAAAGAATGTTAAATCATTTACACTTCCCAAGTGAGCATCAATCTACGTAAGAAAAATGATGGGTTAGGTTTAAAGTCACATACTCAAAAGTTTTCATAACTTACTTCCAATTGTTGTTGCCTCCATTATAAGAATATAATTGCACAATGTGCTTTGCATATGCAACCCCTGTTCAATGAAGAACATGACGGCAGTGAATATGAACTACATGAAATGAAAATCAGCAACTACACACCATTTAAGTATGAGAACATTCTCACCAAATATAGAACCATCAGGACTCCATCGGATATGATTAACAGATGCATATGAATCTTTGACCAGAGCTTCTTGAAATAATTGACATTGGTTCAAATTTCGGATCATATCAGTAAGGTTGAAAGAGTAGTGCATAATCCAGAAGCAGACGCATCTTTAAGGCCATCGGGCCTGCGTCAAGATTCCAGACTCTAAAATTTCTCAAAAGCAACTTTTCCCTGGAACTAACATCCCATGGTGGTCCTATGTCTCCAACACAAGTTCCAACTGAAGAATCACATTAGCAGGATTCATGAGTGAACTATCAAAAGTAGTTACCGCACATGATCATCCTAAAAAGACAGGAAATTTATAATGATGGGAGAAAAAAAAAAAAGAACATAGTTTCTCATTACTTAACATGGAAGAATTGTCTGCCAAGTGGGATGAAAATCCATGCTCATTGGAGATGAGCCTTCATGTAGTGTCAGGCAACAGTAGTGGGCAAACCATTGGGTATGGCACATGTGACTTTGGCCAAGATCAGTAACAGTTGATTTTAACTAAACAAATGAAAGAAGACCAAGGTCAAGAAACACAAGTTCTATTATGTAATTCTGTACATAAATTTGATTCAGATTACCTCATCCAAAATCGGAAAGAACATTTTTTTGGCCAAGCATGGATAGTCAATAGCCTCTAGCTGTAGCCACAAAAATGTAACCAAAAGTTAATAATAACAACTATGCAATGTGTAAAATGACGACACACTTCAAACATAAATTAGAGGGTACCAGTACCCAACAGCATCCCTTGAAGAACTAAAATAAAATACCTAGGCTCTTTGCAGCATTGAGAGATAGTACTGCTCCTGGAGAAAGCGCATCTTGTGTTACAGATAAACTTTTGGCTCAGCAGAAGAAGTTGGAAGTGGATTTGATGTTGCTTGTGAAGGCTAAATACATAAGGTTAGAGCAATCTTAGAAGAAACCAGAAAGACTAAACAAAATCTTGTTTAAAAAAAGAAAAAGAAAATCAGCTAGTGGTGCTGATGAGCAGGAAACATATTGGTTAATGAGGACCAATAAGAAAAGAATTTCAGTTTACCAGAACATATCTTACTTGAAAACTGTTCCCAGTCGATAGAGATAAAGACAAACAGTCCTGCCATTCACAAACATGATCAATGAAAAGGGTTTTAATAACTGGATTTGGACAAAAATCAGTAAGTGTAGACACCGAGCAGGATCATTGGTTAATGAGGACAAATACTTAGGAAAAATAAATTTATGTCACCAGAACATATCTTACTTCCAAATTGTTTTCAATTGGTAGAGGCAAAGGAACATTTTCCCGTGGTTCACAAACATGATCAACGAAAAGAGTCTTACTGACTGGATTTGGACGAGGGTCTTTACATTGTTTATGCTGCCAATTCAAGCTGTCAAGTTAAAGACACAAGTCAGTCTCTCTCCCAATTACAAAAACCCGAAAGTGACTAAATCTTTTACTAAATATGAGAATAACAAGTACTCTCTCTCTCTCTCACACAAACGCACACACACATATGTATGAACATATGCAATCACAAAATAGAAAGGAATACCAAAACTAGGAGGAAGCATTATCTTTGGTTAATGAGATTATGTAATCTTCGACTTTTGATGCTAGGATACTTCGGTTGAACCCATACACATGTGATGCATTTCTTTGAAAAGCTCCTCATTACCTTCGGCAAAAACTTTGAGATCCTTCATGAGGATATCTAACGCCTTGGCGCGACAATTGCCGTCAAGAATGAACCAAAAACATGCAGAACATGGTATTTTTTAAGATATTGTTTATGTATAGATTATAAGAAGCTTTAGAAAAAAAAATGATGTTCTCGCTTGTCAATGGCCTCAAGGAAATTTTCCTTTCTGATCTGGAAATAGATCTTCGTTGAGTAGTGATTGTTATTTCTGTTTCATATTGACATATTGGAGACATCAAATCAGGTTCAGAGGAAAAATTGTGAGGGTCATTTTTTGAAAAATTAAACTTAGTTTACCTAGACTGCAAAATGGTTCTTTTTCATTGCTCATAAGTTTGACTCCAGCTCCAGTTAACTGCATCTAGAATATTGGTTTTGATCATTATTTCATCCCTTTCAGTTTGCTTCTCTGTTTTTCCCACCCATTAGCAGCACCCCACACAAAAATCTGCAGGGCCAAAATGGCATCGTTAAATAACAGAAGTCACATTAGAGTATAAGCCATGTCTGAAAGTAATTGTAGTTTCCAATATGCATCAGCACCAGTAGAAACTAGTACATTCAGAGTGTTCGAGAAGGAAAGGCTAGTGACTCTTTTGGCATGACCCTCAGGCTTCCTTGTAACCTGCAAAATATATAAATCAAGGCAATGACAAACTTTTCGGGTTCGCTTCATCAACAACATCGATTTTTTTTTTTTTTTTTTTTTTTTTTTTTTTTTTTACAACAAACAAACTACCTCGTCTGAGTGGAGATTGTATATTACAATGGTGGAATTGTCCTTGCCAATAGCAACTATACTGTCATCTCGGGGGTGAAAAGCAAGACATGTTGCCGCAGGTGGAGGTGGCATGACTTTTTTCATCGTCTGCTTTTTTACGCAACAGATTTTTATGAGTACAATGGGTTAGATCATGAGAAATTTGCAAACAGAACCTACGCATATTGACAAACAAGATTTGGGAAGTTTTGGATGGGAAAAGAAAATTTCAAGAATACTGTTTGTGTTGGGTTTACCTTAAATGTTGTCATGTCAAAAATGGAGATCATCCCTCCTGTTGCTGATATGAGATATAAATCATTCTTGGACAAATCGAAGCTGGACATAGCCTCTTCAGGGTTGGTGCTGGGAAGGTCATTGTTTCCATATATTAGGGTGAACCTTGTGAGTTTGGGTAATCACTACAATTTTTGAGAGTATTCGAAGTGGATTTTGGGTAATCACTACAAATCTTTTAGTATCCATTTTGGGTCACAGGAAAAGCCCTGAAGGATGGTCATTGGTCTTAGGTCAACTTAAATAAATTAAAAAGCCGTTCGGCTATATGATTTAAATATATTATAAAGGGGGTATAGCCGCACGGCTATACAATTTAAAAGGGCCCGCCTAGCCCGCCTAGGCGGCCGATTTTTGGAAAACTTGAATGGCGTTTTTTCTCTTCAGATTTCTTTGATCCAAAGCATCCCAAGGTCATTGTTCAAACTCAGGATCACTCTCATTGCTCTCCAAGTGTTGCAGAAGGTAGGATCAGATGAGACTTCATATGCCCAGTAATTGAAAGCTGAACTGAATCTGAAATTTAAAAAGAAAAAATTCAAAAGAAGAGATGACTCAACAATTGGGTCATTTAACCAGACCAACTCCTTCTGTAACTAAACTAATCAATACAACAAAAGGAACATGAAACTGAATCATCAGCTTCCTAGCAACCAAACATAACATAAACCAAAACAGAAAATGGAAAATACTGATTTTCAGAGACGCCTTTACGTTGTTGATAAACGTGAGTCGCTAAAACCCTAGCTTGATGTATTTGCAGGGATGCCAGATCCACCAGGAAAAAAGAAATCTAAAAAAAAAAAAACGCCATTCAAGTTTTCCAAAAATGGGCCGCCTAGGCGGGCTAGGCGGGTCCTTTTTATTTTATTTTATGAATAGTATAGCCGCACGGCTATACCTTTGAAATAATATATTTAAACAGTATGGCCGACCGGCTATACCCGTTAAATAATATATTTAAAAGGTGTAGGCGCCCGGCGGTATGCCTTAAATAATATATTTAACAGTATAGCCGGGCGGCTATACGCCTTAAAAAAACAAAAACGCTGCGGTAGAAGAAGAAAGTGCTTCTCAGCCTCTTTGATTCATACTGGTTTGAACATGGAATGTTGAGCAAGAAATCCCCTTCAAAACCCCAAGAAGCAACAAACCCAAGTCTCCAAGTGGACCAATAAGCCCAAGAAGTACCAAATTTCCCCAGCCTTTCATGCTTGCCAAGGTCTCTAAGTGATGACTAATCTTTAAACACCAAAGGGAGCCTCTTCTCTTCTGATTCTCTCTCCCCACACTCAATCCTCATGAGCACCACACCAAAATTCCAAACAGTTTTCTCTGGTAAACAAGTCATAGAGTTCTCCAAACAAAGTGTGAAACAAGAACAAGTACCAGCAGCTCAGACAAAAAGGGTCTATGGTCATGGTGAAAGAAACAGAAGTAGAAGAAGAGTAGGGCCCAGCAAGAGCTTGTCTGACCCGGAGTTTGATGAGCTCAAGGGTTTTATGGATTTGAGTTTTGTGTTCACTGAGGAAGACAAGGTTCGAAATTGGTTTCCATAATTCCTGGTTTGCAAAGGCTTGGAAGTTTTGGGGAACAAGATAGAGCTGAAGAGGATCAGAGAAATAATAATAATAATATTGATCCAAGTAGTCATCATGTGGTTTCAAGTCCTTATCTGTCTGACGCCGATGCTTTGGATCAAAGAAATCTGAAGAAAAAAAAACGCCATTCAAGTTTTCCAAAAATTGGCCGCCTAGGCGGGCTAGGCGGGTACTTTTTATTTTATTTTATAAATTGTATAGCCGCGCGGCTATACTCTTTAAATAATATATTTAAAAAGTATGGTCGCTAGGCTATACTCCTTTAATAATATATTTGAAAGGTATAGCCGATCGGCTGTACTATAATTAAACCGTACAGCGCCACGGCTGTCCTTAAATAATATATTTAAATAGTATAGCCGCTCGGCTAGACCCTTTTTTTTCTTTTTTTCTTTCATTGCTATCTAAGCGAAGGGAACTACAATAATGTTACAGATAGAACACAAGCCCAGATCAGCTAATTACTGATCCATCACTTGCTCCATTAACAGTTTTATCTGTTTGTCGAATAACAAAGTGATCAACAGTTTTAACGGTATTTAACAGTGTAGACTTATTTGTTGTGGCTGTCTTGGCTCCCTGTCCCATTCAGGGTCTAGCTTTCACTCTTTCGGGACCTGCATGTTTTAATTAGCTTTAAACTCTTGAAATTGAACACGCATCACATTCTTACCTTATCAACTGCAAGAGTGTAGACTTCAAGATCACCGTCACTTTTGATGTGGAATCGGGTGAATGACTTGTAATTAGCAATTCAAAGGGAGGAGAAGGCTTCGTCAAAGTGTATGTGAAGCCAGTTAATTCAGATATATAATTAACTTCCAAGTACTGAAGAAACTACAGGAGTTGAGAACACCCAGAAATAAAGGAAGACGGAAGCATAATAGATTATGGCACCCGCTCTAGATAGTGATTCCATCCCATTCTTGCATATATTGTTTCGGGTGACAGCCATAACCTGATAAGATTTCTTCATCGTCAGAATGCAACAAAGAAGAGTAAAAATAAGTTTGCAAAAGAGCTTTCCATACGTCTGGAACATCTAATGCAGACATGAAATACTTGATGCATGCTGGATGAAGGCCAAAAGTCCATTGTTCTATTCGAGCTCGAAGGCCAGTTGGATCTGGAAAGTGCTCACTCTCCACCAATCGGTACCACTGATATAAAATATGATAGCCTGAAAATTAAAATTTTCATCATCATACAACATACAATCCAACAACATAATTTGCATATTTTCCCTCCATCATATACATTGTATCCCAATGTCGTATGGCTATCTTTTTAGGCAATTCTCAACAGAAACAAAAATGATTGAATTATCTGAAAGTTAAAATAATAGATGAACAAATATAACAGGCAAGGACAGAATAACCGCCAAGATCATAAATCACATTAGTATACAGGATGAGAAAGGTGTGCTTCTTCTCTGTTCATGTAGGTCTTGAAAATGGTAAACGAGACTTAAAGCTGACCTGAAGTTCCCAGTAGTTTATGCTGGATACACATCTCAACACCCAGTTCCAACAGTACGTAACATAAGAATCAGTGCAGACACATGAAGAACTCCAATTAATCATCAATCGTTTCTTCCGAGACACTTTAGAGGGGACAAATATAACTGCTACAATTAGCAACACCACAGCACCTGCTACAGATACATAAGACTGCCCCAGCATGTATCTGTAGCAGAACCAAGAGTTGAGAGGAAATAAACAAAGAAGTGAACTTTCTATAGACACCCTGACAGACTATGAAATTGCAAAACTTCAAAACCGAAACTTGCCCTGCTTGAATCTTCAAATGAAGGACAAGCTGCTTTGCTCTCATTAGAAGCTCCATAAAATTTCTTAAAATGACTAAAGGTGTGGGTGGGATGTAGAAAAGCCCCACCACAACCATTTACAAGTAAATGTTGCACATGAACTGGGTCCTCCGTTTTAACAAATGAATGACGCATATAATATTAACAAAAAGCAGCCGAGTACAGCCGACCGGCTATACTATTTTTAAAACAAACAGCAAGAACAACCGAGTATAGCCCCTTGAGCCCACGTTTCGAAATATGCATAGCCGCCCAGCTACACTATTTTAAAAAAAACAATAGAAAAAAGCGAGTATCGCCGCCGGCTATACTATTTATACGCGTAAGAAAAGACCCCCACTGCGATTAGGTGCCCACGTGTCAAATTTTTTTAAAAATGTGGAAAAAAAGCGAGTACAGCCGGCCGGCTAGACTATGTTTGAAAAAACAAAATCAGAAAAATAATTTCCTTTTATTAAAAAAAAGGGACCACTTTACAACTTATAAGTTAGGTCACTATACAATATTTTAATATATATTATTTTTATTCAATAACAGGTGAGAATTATTTGTATAATACGTTAATTCTATATATATATATATTATTTTTATTCAATAATAGGTGAGAATTATTTGTATAATATGTTAATTCTATGTGTCTTATTGAAACTTTTGTTAAAAATACGTGTATTAAGCATGAAAAATACATGCGTACATGTACACTATTAAACGTGAAAGTGCTAAATTCTTTGTTCGGGTAATACTCTGGGTGTCTTAAACTACTCTTATCGATAATCGGGGAAAATATTTAAAAGAAAAAAGGATCCCATTAAATTACTTATTTTCGTTTGGGTGTCTTAATTAAATTTATCCAGATCCCAAGAGCCCCAAGGAACAAGGCCCTAGTCTTTGATTGATATAACTATTATTAATCAAAGTCGAGCCTACAGCCCAGCCCATTAGCCCAACTTTCCAATGTTAACCACACTTACCAAACCATCTTAATGCTTTGTTTGTAAATACCTTTATAGGAGTGTGGATTTTCGATATGGAATTTTCACAAAAAAGGGCACCTCAAAAGATAAGCCTACATATAAATCCTTATTTTTATTGTTGGTGCAATGTGGAAATATATTTAAACAATATAGTCATGCGACTATACTCTAAAAATTGAAAAATTGAATTACTATTTATTGAGTAATATAACTCATGAAGTTAATTAAAATATTTAATACTAATTATTCACTAAAGAAATAATAAATAAAATAAGACAAAGATACTATTTAATTAATAAAAATAAAATTTTAAAAAATTAATTAACCTAAACATACTAAGTTTATATTTATTTAATATTTAAAAAATCTGTTCCAATGAAAGTTCGTCGGCAGATTTCTATCCCAGCGAAATTTGCCAGATTAGACATTTCCAGACAAAACTTCGTAGGCAGAAGTAACTTTCGTCGGGAGAGGTTTTTTACTTTCTTAAAAAGAAAAACCGAGTACAGCCGACCGGCCATACTATTTTTAAAACAAAAAGCCAAAAAACCGAGTATAGCCGTGCGGCGATACTATGTGAAAAAAGTGGACCCCCTTGCGCCCCAGGTCAAAATAAGTATAACAGACCGGCTATACAAACTTAGAAAAAAGAAAATAGAAAAAAGCAAGTATAGCCGCCCGGCTATACCCTTTTTCCAAAAAAAAACCCCGGTTTAGCCAGTCGGCTATACTATTTTGTAAAAGGAAGAGGACCCCCTTCGATTAGACGCCCATGTGTCAAAAAAAGTATCTCCGCCCGGCTATACTATTTTCAAAAATATTAAAAAAAGCAAGTATAGCCGCCCGGCTATACTGTTTTTACAAAAATGTCGTTGCCTCCATTATAAGAATATAATTCCACAATGTGCTTTGCATATGCAACCCCTGTTCAATGAAGAAGACGACGGCACTGAATATGAACTACAAGAAATGAAAATCAGCAACTACATACCATTTAAGTATGAGAACATTCTCACCAAATATAGAACCATCAGGACTCCATCGGATATATACATTTAACAAATACATATGAATCTTTGACCAGAGCTTCCTGAAATAATTGGTATTGGTTCAAATTTCGGATCATATCAGTAAGGTTGAAAGAGTAGTGCATAATCCAGAAGTAGACGCACCTTTAAGGCCATCGGGCCTATGTCAAGATTCCAGACTCTAAAATTTCTCAAAAGCAACTTTTCCCCGGAACTAACATCCCATGGTGGTCCTATGTCTCCAACACAAGTTCCAACTGAAGAATCACATTAGCAGGATTCATGAGTGAACTGTCAAAAGAAGTTACCGCACACGATCATCCTAAAAAGACAGGAAATTTATAACGATGGGAGAAAAGAAAAAAGAACATAGTGAAAATGGTACTTAGGTGACGAGGGGTAAATTTAAAAGATATTCAACCAAGAACGCAGCAAACTTCACACACTCTAGACCTTGACCAAATACTCTTATGACTAGTCAACTGTCATATATGAATTATACCAAACAATAACATACACAGAGCACACCAAGATGTACCTGCAAGCCTAGAGAATTACTAGTGACAACCTAGGCACTCAGAAGGACCCGTCAATCTAGGCATCCCATGTGCTAGCAACAACTATGGTGAAAGTGTGTGAAGACCAAACAGCAGAATCAAGCAAACACCAAACAGCAGAAAAAGATGACTAGTCAACTGCACAAACCCAGATGACTAGTCAACTGTCAAGAACACAAACCCAGAAAATTTACAGAGTTGGAAACCAGAAACTGTTTACCCAGAAACCCACCATTGGGAAAAACTGGGGGTCATCAACCGACCAGGCCATCCACTAAGTAGAAAAAGATTCTTACAAAGGAACACAAGCAAGCTCAAGAAAAACCTAGATCTATTTAGGAAGATGAGCTATACCTCCTTTGTGCAATCTTCTTCTCCAACTTAGCAAAGCTTGAAGCTCAGTTCTTCATGGCAATGGCAGCTCCTTCTCCAGCTCGTTCATCCCATGGCACTAGCTTGCAAGCTCCAACACAAACCGAAACCAAATTTGGATTCAAAGAAGAATGACCAATTTCTTCAAGAAACCATACTCTTGAAGAAATCAATCTTGAATCTGACCTAGATATAAATGATAGAATGATTTAAGTAGCTAGATGCAGATTTGTGTTTCAAATGCAGTTTTTTCAAAAAAGAAATCAATTGGAAAAACTCATAGATGAAATCATGGTTCTCTCGTGGAAGGAGAAGCGAAAGAAGGCAAGCCAAACTTTCCAAAACTTCCACCCGAAAAGAGACAATGCCAAATGAGAAATATCGTGGGCTATACAGACCAACAAATTCGTTAGGTCAGAAAAACCCACTTGGCAGCAGAGAGAGAGAAAGAAGAATAGGACAAAACAGTTTGTTATCCAGCTGGAGGCAAGGATGACTAGTCATATGAGAAACGGTTGACTAGTCATCTTTTTATGAAACAGTTTTATGTAATGATATGCAATGCTCAATACCTTTGTCAACTTGCTTGAGCCACCATAGAGCAGAGAATAGAGAAGAGCACCAATAAAAGTTTTCCCTAATCTAGACTTGAGCTTGATAAATTACATTACACATCCTATTACAAAGTTGTCAAGGGAAGCCAAAAGAAATTAGTAAAAACCATACATTAACACATAGTTTCTCATTACTTAACCATATAAAAAAAAAAAAAAAAAAAAAAAAAAAAAAAAAAAAAAAAAAAAAAAAAAAAAAAAAAAAAAAAAAAAAAAAAAAAAAAAAAAAAAAAAAAAAAAAAAAAAAAAAAAAAAAAAAAAAAAAAAAAAAAAAAAAAAAAAAAAAAAAAAAAAAAAAAAAAAAAAAAAAAAAAAAAAAAAAAAAAAAAAAAAAAAAAAAAAAAAAAAAAAAAAAAAAAAAAAAAAAAAAAAAAAAAAAAAAAAAAAAAAAAAAAAAAAAAAAAAAAAAAAAAAAAAAAAAAAAAAAAAAAAAAAAAAAAAAAAAAAAAAAAAAAAAAAAAAAAAAAAAAAAAAAAAAAAAAAAAAAAAAAAAAAAAAAAAAAAAAAAAAAAAAAAAAAAAAAAAAAAAAAAAAATGGGTTTTGTCTTTTTTATTAGGGCTGTGTGTTTTGTGTTCATTTTTTTTAGTGTTTCCAGTTTTGATTTTTTGTTCCCCACACCAAACTTTTTTGGCCCCCGTGTTTTTTTTCCCCCCCATGGTTTGTTTTTGTTTTTTCTTTTTCATGAAAAACCAGGGGGGTTTGCATTATTGGGCAAAAACGCAAACATCGTTGGCAAATTTATTATTCTTTCAATGGAGGCAACAACAATTGGAAGTAAGTTATGAAAACTTTTGAGTAGTGACTTTAAACCTAACCCATCATTTTTCTTACGTAGATTGATGCTCACTTGGGAAGTGTAAATGATTTGGCATTCTTTTCCCCTCACAACCAACTTTTGGTCATAACTTGAGCTGATGACAAGACCGTCAAGGTTGGTTTCATAAATGTATGTGTAAGGTTTGGGGTTGTTTGTGGCCAAGACTGTTTACTTTTGAAGGTCATGAAGCTATGTCTGTTCTGTCTGTCCTCATACCAAAGAAAATGTCCATGTAAGGGCCACTTTGGGTATTGATGTTGTGGTTCTGGTGATGTTTAAGTTTTGAATCATCTGATTTACTTTCCGTTTCTGCAATATTATCCTACACTTTTTTTAATGCTACATGCCTCAGTTGTCTTTCAAATCAGTGGATGGCAAGATCAAAATATGGGTTATATGATAGCTTTGGAGGCAATGCTGTACCAAACTGGCTCATAGTGCTGATGTTCAAAGGTTCAACTTATATGGGCCTGCACTGCAAACTGCAATTG